TTGCAGTCCTCCATCTTTAGACGAGGTTGTAGACTTATTCAGTCAAACTTCTTTGCTTAAAGTTTCTCCAAATTGATAATGTTTTGCATTACTTCAGTTAAAGTTCCGCAAAAAAAGCTTTGTATAAGGGATGACATTTTCCTTAAATTAAGCTAACTTTTTTATATTTTATTTATGTTAGCTGTGCTTCATAATTTATCTTTCAAAATCAAAAGAAAATCCATTTTAAAATTTTTGGAGTTTGAAAGTTGAAAACAGATAATAATTTTTTTGAGTAGGGATGTTAATTGGTAGAATGGAGCATTCCTATCTTTATTTTCAGAATTTTATATTATACCAATTTATGTACCCAAACTAATAAATATTTTAAATTTATTTTCATTTTTATTTATATGGATATTTAATGAGTTCGGGTAATTCTCATGCTTGTAACTTTTAAAAAAATAAAAAATAAAATTTATTTTTTATTTTTATCTTGTATATTTAAATAATTTTTACTAACATATATTTTTTTCAATAAAATATATTAATTCTAATTAATCTAGCATAATAATTTATATTATTTAATAAAAAATATATTTACTAAATATATATAAAAAATGGGTCCAAGTATAGGGTAGATACTCTATTACCTGTCCCTATCCTCATACCCAATAAAAATTTAAAATTATACCTATCTCTATCTTTATACCCACAATATAATACACATTTAGATGAAAAATTGGATTCTTCATTGAATATAGATAAAATTGACATCTCTATTTTTGAGTGTATAAAAATGATTATGGATTAAAAAAAAAAGTGAAATTGAGAGGCCAATAGCATAAAAAAATATGCTGGTAATTTGACTATGATGATGACCTATACCCACAATTGAAAATTCCAAAATCAAATAAAAATTGAACCAATTTATGTATAAGGAAAGGGATTTGGGAGTATTAATTGGCACTCCCATCCAATATCAAACTAATAGGTAGCAAGCTGGAGTTACAAGTGAGAGTATGAAACTTGGCAGAAATAGAATGGGTGTTCCTTCTCTTCCCCCAAAGTGCTTCTTCTTTCTTGGTCTTCTATGCTTGGCCATCTTCTTCAACATAGGTGAAACATCCTTACCCATACTGTATATACATCAAGTTTATCATTAAATAAATATACATAATTTTTATTTCTTTTTCTTTTTATGATTTGGGTTCCAGAGAAAACCAGTGCAGCAGATCGTCCAAAGGAATGGCAAGCAGTGATGGGGCCATGTTCACAGTTCAAAGATTGCAATAAGTACTGCCTCACCAGTGGATTTCCTTTGGGAGGATTTTGCAAAACATTGAATCCAATTGCTCCACCATTTTGTCTGTGCAAATACACGTAGCCGCCCCCTACCAACCTGCTGGGATTACAACTTCAAACTAGCTTCACATCATGGCTTTGAGATCGTCCCCTATTTCTCTCTCAATAATAATTCTGCATTTGAATTCAGAATTTGACAAAAGAAGAAATAGATCAACACATGTGGCTTTTCATATATACTGTTATTTTTATGAAAGTTTCTTTGATGAAACTTTGGTTAGCATTTTTTTTTGGATGAATTATTTGATAGTAGTTTGATTATTCATGATTCTCACCGAAACGCCAACGCGATCTCAGGCAGGTCCTAAGGCAGGTTGGCTGGCACCGAATTTGTCCAACCTGATCTCTTTGACAATCCCAATTAATGTGGATTTTCATCACATTTGACCTTTGTCACCCATGATCAGATATGGGCCCAAAGAACTTCACTAATGTGATTCTTTTGATTTAGTTGGAAAGAACCCATATTCATATGCGTACAAAATCAACAATACAACTTACTAAAATTGATTCTCATTGTTAATTATATAAATTCTTTTTCATAATTTTACTCGAATAAAATTTTGGGTGATTCAATATTTTCAATTTCTAGTATCAAAGGGACTTTAACCGAGTCAATATCATTCACTAGTTAGTATTTAAAATTTTTTTTTTTTTTAAGATTATTGAAGAATTTAAGTCCTCAAATATAGCTGATATTTTTAGTTTTCTACACAAACTTTCACAAGTCAAGTTCCTATGATTAGCTCTACTACATGGGAGAGTTATGTTGCATGTGTATTAGTTGTATAGGATTCCATGCTTGTTAAAATTACAACTATCTTAGACAGTAGTGTGTATTAATGTATATTAATAATCATTAAATAAAAAATGTACTACTTTCCAAATTGTCAATATCTTTTAATGATATCATCGTAATTTAAAAATAAATATATATAATTTTAAAAAATTAAAGTATAATTATTAAAAAATTTTAATTCAATTTAATTAATAAATATCAAATTTTATATTAGACATCATTTAAATGTATTTTGAATGATTTTATGCAAGTGCATTATAAAACAAATAGAGAAATGGAGTCCTCATCAAACAAAATTTATATGCTTACTTTATAAGCATAAAAAAAATCTTTTTAAATGTCATATGTCAATGTCCATCAACAAAATGACAAATAATAAGGATATTTTATATAGGAATAGATGGACAATATAGTCCAAAGTCGGAGATGAAACAACATTTGACATATCATCCCATAATTGCACATGAAGTCGTCCATGGCCCCCGTTGCCACGTGAATATCTTGCATAACAAAACAAAAATAAATATTGTCAGCTTGCAGTTGCATACGGACGGAGGCGAAAACACCCAACGCCCCAAGTAAATGTAACGATTCGAATATTTATATTATACAAAATATTAAAATTTATATATTGATATCATATTTTATATAAAATTTATAAATCATATAATTTATGATGAGATAAAAATATAAAATATAATTTTTTATTTTATTAAATTTATATATAATATTATTATAATTTTATATTTTTATATTTTATATTTTATTTTTATATCATATTTTAAATCGTAAAATCTAAGTAAAACTCCTCCATCAGTCCTTAGCTTTCAGTAATAATCCAATCCCCAAGAAACAAAGATGAGTCAGAGTACACGTGGCATGCCCTGCAAGTCGGTCAGAATTCGAAACATACCACCTTCAGTTTGGATTTTACTATTGGCCGAGTAAAAAAAACAATAAAGGCTAAGGTTACGTCAGTTTTGCATTGACACGTAGCTGCAATTTGAGACCTCCGCCGCTTCGCCCACGAATCCTGAAAAACCCAATACATCCTGTTCCAGTCTGTCCATTTTCTCTCTGTCCTTTTTTTTTTCTCTGAAAATTTGTTGGGAGAGACAAAAGAAACCTCTTCTCTCATTGGTCAGACTTCGGAGCTTCCAGAGTTTTCTTTAACAATTTTGATTGTCTCAACCCAAATTTTCATTTAACTAAAACTTGCTGTTGAATTAATGTATCATATGTATATAGGTTCTTTTTTTTTTTTTTTTGTTTTGAATTTGACGGCACTAACTTCATTACGTCGGCAAAATATATGTATTGAGATTAAAGTACTATACATACGAAATACGATTTCTAGGAATTCATTTTCCCACATCAGTACTTAATATAACATATAAAGGTTTTAATAAAAGCCTACAGGGTGCCGTTGAGGCTTTGGCCGGTCAATGGATTTTGATATTGATATTTAGACTTAAATTTTATTATGTATGAGTTTTAATTTAATTTTATGTTGAATTTATTTAATTAAATATTGATTTGATATAGTTAATTTATTTATTTGATTAATTTATTATTTTTATATGAATATAATATTTAATTATTATAATTTTATTTATAATTTCATATAAAAATATTAAAAAATTCTCTCACATTTAATAGTTAAGAATTAAAGTGCGATTTATATGAGCTTATTGAGATGTTTGTTTTCAAAGGATAATACATCTATGATAATTTTTATTAGAACTTAATGAAATTAAGTTTCTAAAATTAAAAATTTTTCACTAAATTCATTGATTGAAACATATTTAGATGTTGTCTAAATTGTACCGTAACAGCTTTATCGAAAGAATCACTTATTATTATTATTATTATTATATAAGAGTTCTCCACTTCTTTTATTTAAGAAAAAAGATTCCAATGAACCACAATAATTTATGCAAATTTTTTTTTTCTGTATACAAAAGATAGCAGTAAATTTTGAATCATGTCTAGTGGCAGATCATAATTTAGAATGTTCATTTATAATACATACAAGAGATTATAGATAGAATGTTAAAATAATATATTATTTTATTATAATAGTAAATATTCTCATATTTTAAATAAAATATAATTATATTATTGTTAATATTATCAAATACATTGTTCTTTATATACATAATTAAATAATCATTCATTTAAAAATCACTTATTCAACTAAGAATCGCTTATAAGTTTACTAATTTCTTAAAAATATGTACCAAAAAATTTTAGAGTATTCACGAAATTTTTTCTTCTTTAAATTTTGTATCTTTCAATCTTTAATAGTTATAAATGCTTTAAACTTTAGACACGTCTCTGATCATGTCTCACACCTCAAAGTGTGGAATAATTAAGCAAAACTAAGAGTACTAGTAATTTATTTAAAATGAGAAAAATGAATGAATTGCATTAGAAGAAGAGTCATAATTGCAAACTGGGGCATGATTAGAAAAGAGCAAAGAACTAGAAAACTGAAAAAAAAAAAAAAAAAGGGGTATAGTGTCAACCACTTGCTATTCAATTTTGCACTTGAAGGCTGAGGCACCGCTGCTAGGCACCATTCAAGAGGGAACGCATAGCTGATTGCACAAAATCCGGAGTGAGGAACTGAGAAAGTAGCGGCACGAGGTTTTGTTTTTGTTGTTTTGTTGTTGTTTTTTCTTTTTCCTTTTGATCTCTCTCTCAAAAACTGTCCCCTTCTCTCCCAATTAAAGTCCGTTGTCTATAATATATAAGCCCAAAAAACGATCTGAACTTATCTTCAAAAGCAAAACAAAGAGAAAAAGGAGTTAGAAATACAATTGAAACTTCCTCTGGAACAAACCGCAACCTACACATGGGTGCTTTAACTTTCAGAGGTTTTGCACATGTGGGTGTCTTCAAAAATGGTCTCTTCATCATCACAAGGTCTTCTCGCTTGGCTTCCCGGTTCTTATTAATATTTTCTTTTCCTTTCGCTGCTATATATGTTCATTGGCAGCCGATAGTGTATTGGTTTCCTGTAGTTTAATTGGGTGTTGATGTTTTCTTCTTCTTTGGTGTTATTGTTGTAAAGAATTGTTTGATCGGAGCCTCTAATAATGGTAGAATTTATTAGTAATTAATCATAGTTTAGTGAAGGGTGATGGTCGGTTTCTTTGACGGTAATTTGGGGTAATTGTTTATTTATTTCGATAGAATCATAGAATCAGATGCTTTCAGTTGCTTCGCTCTGTTGAGGTTCAGATACCCAAAGCGGGCCCTTTTTCACTCTTTTGCTTCCTTAATTAGATACAATCTCTCCTTGCACTTATCAGTACACAGAAAACTCTCCCCTTTTAACTATTTATTTTCTCTCTCTCTCTCTATATCTAGTACTCAAAAGGGTTTCAAGTTGCATATTTTTAATTTTTTTTGGAACAAAAAAAGGGGAAAAAAGAGAAATAGTATCTGAAATGAAAAGTAAACAACAACAGCTGCGAGGTGAAGATCTGCATGCAGGGGATAGAAATGAAGCAAACCCTTCAGAGTTTGATGCTGTTGAGATGGAAAGAGGGATGGGTACTGAAGAAAGAGAGATCTGGCTTGACCATGAACAGCAAGATGACTTTCTTGATGTTAACGATGCTTCAATTTTCTATGGCGATTTCCCTCCTCTTCCTGATTTCCCTTGCATGTCTTCTTCCTCGTCTTCTTCGTCGACTCGGGCACCTGTTAAGGCCATTGCATGTTCTTCTGCTTCTACGGCATCGTCTTCTTCTTCCGCGGCTTCTTGGGCAGTTTTGAAGTCAAATGCTGATGAAGATGTGGAGAGAAAGAACAATGGTTATTGTCATCAACATCAACATCGTCATCATAATCATAATCAACATGATCTGGTGGATGGAACACCAGCAGCGTTATCTTCCACCACCTCCATGGAGATTCTTCAGCCGCCAGATCATAATGTCATGGATGGTGGTGTTGATTGTATGGATGTTATGGAGAATTTTGGGTGCATGGATCTGCTTGATAACAATGATTTTTTCGATCCATCTTCTATATTTCACCATGACGATACTGGGCTAGAAGAGTTTCAGAAAGAGCAAAGGCCACAGCAGGAACAGTCGCAACAGCTGGAGCAAGAAGCACAAATGATATATAGTAAAACTGAAGATCAGACCCAAGAAGAGAAAGCTTCAGATGATTTAGCCATGGTGTTCTTAGAGTGGCTAAAGACAAACAAAGAGACAGTTTCGGCAGAGGACTTGAGGAGAGTTAAAATCAAGAAAGCTACCATAGAGTGTGCTGCCAGGTGTTTGGGTGGAGGAAAAGAGGCCATGAAGCAGTTGTTGAAGCTTATTCTTGAATGGGTTCAAACTAATCATCTGCAAAAAAGACGCATCAAAGAATCACCTTCCAGTAATAAACTTGATCTTCCCTATCAATACCATGACCGTTTTCAAAACCCTAACCCTATTCCAAACCCTACCTCAAACCCAAACCTGAATTGCAATTCTCTCCCACCATCTGAATCAAACTCTTGTTTTTCTCAGCCACTCTGGATGCCACAAGCAGGATATGTAACCGAGCCGGCAGCAGCGGTGGTGCCAGGTTTTGCACCAATGGTAGGGTATATGGGTGACCTGTTTGTAAATGGAGCTCCTAATATTAATAGCCATCCTTACCAGCCTCCAATCGATTATCAAAGGCTGGAATCGGCTCAAACATGGCCAGCTTCACAATTTGCTTTTGCTTCTCGATACAACTCATTTCCTGACAGTAATCTCCATCCAGCTCCTCCTCAGCCATCTGTTTTTCCTGTATATGGGAATCAATATCAGTATCAATATGTCCACGGGCACAATAACGACCAAAGGTTAGTAAGGTTAGGCTCATCAGTTACAAAAGAGGCAAGAAAGAAGAGGATGGCTAGGCAGAAAAGGTTTGCATCACACCATAGAAATCAAATTCATCACAGTAATCAACAAAGCCAGCACCAAAATCAGAGCCTTGACCAACATGCAAGGCTCGTGAACGATAACTGTGTGGTGGCAGCCCAAGCCAACCCCGGAAACTGGGTGTATTGGCCATCGGTTGCTGGCGGTGTAGCTTCAAACCCTCAGGTTCTGCCCAGTGAGGTTGCTATGGTGCATCCTGTGGATCGACCAGTCATGCAAGAGCAGACTTATCAGCGGCAGGTGGCATCAGATAGACGGCAGGTAGGTTCTTTGATCTACGATCATCTTTTTTTTTTTATTGTGATGATCAGTTTCATTACTTTTTGGGTTTTGTAATACTGATGCATGATTAAGAAAGAACATTAAATGTAGATATGTAATTAAAGATGATGTTTGCATTTTTGGGAGTGTTTTAGGGATGGAAACCTGAGAAGAATCTGCGGTTTCTTTTGCAAAAAGTGTTGAAGCAGAGCGATGTGGGCAATCTTGGAAGAATAGTGCTGCCAAAGGTACTCTTTCTTCCACCTCTTATCACATTTCAGAGAATATATGTAAGCATTAATTTCTATATATGATAATTTTGAGTTTTTCTAATGATTACAATTTTTTTGTTGTTGGAACGGAAACAGAAAGAAGCAGAAACCCATCTCCCAGAACTAGAAGCAAGAGACGGGATCTCCATTGCCATGGAAGACATAGGAACGTCTCGTGTTTGGAACATGCGCTATAGGTATTTTGAAATTTAACTTAATAATGTATATATATATATACTTTTTTAATATGATTTCCTTATTTCTCTTCCTCACATCAGTTCTAAATCACCTTTTTTTCCACTGCCTTTGTTATTCTTCTTTCTCTTTATGGAGTTTCAGATTCTGGCCAAACAACAAAAGCAGGATGTATCTCCTTGAAAATACAGGTGCAACATATTAGAGTTTTCTTTTATTATTATTCTTATTATTATTATTATTATTAAAAGGTTTCTAGCATTTATTTTACTATATGCTAATATTCAACTATTTTTTATATTTTTATTTCAGGGGATTTCGTGAGAACAAATGGACTCCAGGAAGGAGATTTCATAGTCATATACTCAGACGTGAAATGTGGCAAATATGTATGTACATTCTCTGAACTTCTTCCTTTTCTTTTTCCTACTAATTTTTAAAGGATATCTTATGAAAAATAAAGCAAATGCACCTCATTACAGTTGATACGAGGAGTGAGGGTACGGCAATCAGGACCAAAATGGGAGACCAAAAGGCCTGCAAAATCGCAGAAAAACCAGCTTGCAAATTCTCCAGCTGCTGCCATTAATGGTTCGTCGTCGTCACCTATCACACAAACAATAAAGTACTAGGGGAAATTAAAAAGAAAAAGAAAAAGAAAAAAACACAAAGATGTTGCGTACCTCAACAAACCATTGCCACATTTCCTTCATGCATGAAAATGAATGGACAAGTGGGCGGTCAAAGATCATCTTTTTGGATCCCCTTGGATAGGATTGTGATCTGTCCTGCCACATTGGTTTCCCGTCAAAATGCTAGCGTTGGAATCCCAACTGCCGAGACAATTAAGGAGTTTTGGGCGACATTACGTTAAAGGCTTTTTACTGTGGTTGGCTATAGGAGAGTAATAGGAATCACAGTTCCACTGATCTGACCCACCCCTCTCTTGATTTCTCTGATATATGTACTACGGATTTTCCAACGTGTATGTTGTTAAAGTGCAGTCTTTACTTCACGCTAATACTATTACAGAGTTTGTTTACAAAAATTATACTACTGCTATTAACAGTACCCACAGTCTCGTATTGGGTTTATTAGCTTTTCCTATATCGAACGTGAATATATGAAAGAGCTTTTCCCAGTATATTGTCTGTTGGGTTGCTGCGTCTGATCATATCAGATGTTTTTGCACAATTCGCGTCTATCAAATCAGTTTGTACAAACCTCGACGGATGGAAAAAGGTTGAGAAGTAAATATATAACTGGGAAAAAAGAAGCCATCCAAATGATTTGGCCGTGCATTTAAGGTTTCAGGAAATGTAGACAACTAATTCAGATAGACTGAGCAGACCAATTCAAATCATATATAGAACCCATTTGGATCAGTTCCTACCCAATTACGTAGCTAGAAAAAAGATTAATACAAATTTGAGCTTATATATTTTCTTTCACTTCTTAAAATATTTCCTTTATTTTTTTCATTTTTACTTTTGATAGGTCATGACAATATTTATTATATATTCTTCCATGATTTTTCTGCTTTCTTTCTTATCAAACTATGGATCTGAATGATTTTTGATGGCTTTGCACCAACTGAAGGGAAGACTGAGATCCATTTGTTTGGGCTTTATTTTGCTATGACCAAGATGACCCAAAGTCCTCTTATGTCACCCTAATTAGGCAGACAAGCAGCCTCAAAAGTCACGACGATATTCAGTAAGAGATAATAATAATAATAATAATAATAATAATAATAATAATAATAATAATAATAAAATCCTTTTTCTTTTTATAATAAGACAACAACCAGATTAAATTATCTAAATTCACTCAATAATCAACAGCAGGGTCAGTTTATTAGTAGAAAATAACTTCACTTTTCTGCCGTTCGAGGAGGCATAGGACATCACATCAAACTGGCTATGAAGTTTTGAAAGAGAGATATTTCTTGATTATTTTCAATTTATTCGGTGATTGTGAATAAAATATGATGACAACTTCAGGCGAAAATGCTAGAAATTTTTCTATAACATTAATGAACTAACATCATCTTTCTGTTCAAAGTACTTCTAACTATTAGTACATAGTTTGGTTCCCTCATTGATTTAAGGTCACACTTCTGAGTTCTTACATCATTTGACTATGTTCTTTTTCTGTTTTGTGTCAGCGGAGAAAACTGAAAAGTGAATTAAAATAGTGGTTGTGGTTGCTGTAAAGTACCCTTCTTTCCAGACAATGGAACTTGTTGAATGAGTGACTTCATTAAAACTTTTTCTTCCATCCCATGATTTATGAAAATTTACCCCTTACAAGTTATATGTCATGATTTATTTATATAATCTTCTTCCATGATCTTTTGATTCATCTTGAAAACATATCTTTCTTTTGCTGAATTTCAATCACTTATTGCAAACTTTACATATAGAAACCACAGTTTTCAACCAAAATGGGGAAAAAATAACTAAAATACTAAAAAGAGTTTTGCAGCTGAACTAGGGTGGAGTGAATTTCTTTGTATCTAAAACATAACTGCCTGGTAAATAAAGTTATTCTTACCGAGTACTGACTATTTGGAAGCTGGTTTAGCATTGGAAGCAGATGAGTATAGCAATGAAGATGCAGAAAAGCTTGTACTGCTGCTTTGGGGATATGAGTTTTGTATCATTGATGGTGGAGGCTTGCTGTTTCCTTGATGATTACATTCCCAAGAGCCGTTGAGAACCATGCTGGTTTTCATACACTCCTCCCTCTCCTGCTTTATTTCCTTTAGCATTGCTGCTACATCTTTCATGGTAGGCCTATCATCGGGGGAAGGATTTACGCAGAGCAAAGCCACCCCTAAGGTCTGCAACATTTCCTCAATCTCGGATTCAGGCCTAGCTTGTAAGCCGGGATCTAGCACTTCAATTCCTCCTCTTTTCAGTCTGACCCAATCTACAATGTGGAGTCCATCCTGTATGGTTGGATCAATTGGCTGCTTTCCTGTTAGCACTTCTAACACAACAACTCCATAGCTATACACATCACTTTTTTCTGTTATTTTCATCATATAGCCATACTCTGCAATCCACCAAATATAAAACAACATGAGACTTGCCACTGTGAAATTAGTGATATTCATAAGTTGGTGAAACATCACAAACAGGACACAATTCCTAGAATGAAATAGGAAAATAATGAGAGAACTGAGAAAGATAAAAATAAAGTGAAACCATACATGTTTATCATATCACGTATTGTGCAGTATATAAGAATGTGTTCACACTATGCCAGCATTAGTTAATTTGGTCATGATATATGGGTTAGTAAATATTTTATTCTGCAATCAGTGCTTGCAAAGTTTATGAGTACAAAAAATTTCATTTTTCATGTCTGTTGACAATTATCGCATGTTCTTGAGAAAATGAAAATTTCCTTCTTTGCTAGGTGATAATTCTGATCTGAAAGAAATTTTGAACTAACCTGGAGCAATGTAACCATAGGAGCCAGCAACCGTGCTAGAAGACCTAGCAAAATCTCCATTATCAACAAGCTTGGCAAGTCCAAAATCAGCAATATATGGTTCAAACTGGGGACCAATGAGAATGTTGTTGGCCTTAATATCCCTGTGAACAATGGGAGGAACGCAGTCATGGTGTACGTAAGCCAAACCTTGAGCTGCCCCCAAGACAATTCGATATCTAAGTTCCCATTCTAAGCAGCTACCACTGCGATCATGAAGAAGACTACCCAAACTTCCATTTTCCATGTAATCATACATAAGCAATCTTGTGCTTCGGTTCCAACAGCATCCTAAGAACCTGACTATGTTTTTGTGACGGATTGAACCAAGAGTTTTTACCTCAGCAGAGAAGGAATCACGAACTCCACCTATTCCAGTTTTGTCATTATGACAATCATATCCTGCTGCCATTGTCGTTGGCCAAAGCTTCTTTACAGCAATGATTTCCCCATTTTCAAGTTCTGCACGATAAACAATCCCTGAACAACCCTTGCCAACTACATTGGCTTCCACCAAACATTTCAAAACTTGATCAACTGTGAAGTTCAACTTCTGGAATGGAGTGAATTGCCAAGGCCATGAATCCCCTCCGATCTCAGAATCATTATCATCTCCTATCATCTTCCTAGCTCTAAAGACCGCAAAAGCCCCAAAGATTGCTAATGCAATGGTCAAGGTAACAAGCAGTGCAATAGCTATTTTAAGTTTTTGTGACCGTCTGAAACCACTATCACTTTGCGTACCAGTTGCTGAAGCATTGCTGAGGAAGCATGACTCGTGGCCCTTAGAACATAGCCCTTGGTTTCCTGCCAATTCTGTTGCTGATAACTGTCGAAACAACTTGCTATCTGGAAGATAGCCAGTGAAATTGTTGTAGGAGATGTTCAGAGAAACAAGATTGTCAAGCCCAGAAAGTGCTACAAGGTCACCTTCAAGCTTGTTGTGTGAAAGGTCCAATATGGATAGCTTGTTCAGTGCAGAAATTTGAGGTGGGATTACCCCAGATAGTGCATTCCAGCTTAGATTCAGAGCAATATCAAGAGCTTGAATGTCAAACAATTCCTCTGGAATTGTGCCAGATAGTGCATTGTTGCTAAGATCAAGCAACTGAAGATTTAAACAATGACCAAGAGATGAGGGGATTGCTCCAGAGAGAGAGTTTCTGCTAATGATAAGTCTATTAAGTGAAGTAAGTTGGCCAAAACTCTGGGGAATCTGTCCCTTAAACCGATTAACAGAAACATCCAATACCTGAAGTCTCATAAGAGAAGATAAAGAAATAGGCAAAGAACCTTTAATGGTGTTGTTGCTCAGGTTCAACATCTGCAACTGAGTGCAGTTACCTATCTCATCTGGCACCGAGCCACCGAGACGGTTTTCAGACAGATCAAGGAAACTGAGGTTGTCGAGGGACCCAATCTCTTTAGGGATCCCTCCACTGATTCTGTTATTAACAAGCCGGACTCTGACAAGGGAACTGCAATTACCAATCTCCAGAGGGATCATGCCCGAAATGTCATTAGAAATTAAGAGAAGCTTTGTTAGATTTTGAAGGTGAAATAAACTGGATGGCAAGCTACCAGTGAGTGCATTGTGTGATAAATCTAGAGCCTCGAGGCTCCTGCAACCAGCCAACGCTGGTGGAATGCTTCCTTCAAGTTTGTTCTGCCATGCAAAGTAGACTGTCAGCTTCGTTAACATCCCAAGCTCTGCTGGAATAGAGCCTGATATCTGATTAGTATCAAGCTGTAACTGCATTAGGCTTGTGGCATTAGATAGAACTGGTGGAATAGTGCCGGTGATGTTGTTGTTACTAAGCATGAGCTCTTGAAGATTTGAGAGGTTTCCAAATGACTGAGGTATGCTACCAGAAAAATAATTTAAGGAAAGGTCAACAGTTACCAAGCTTTTGCAGTTTCCTATTTCCTCAGGAATACTCCCATCAAAGTTGTTTTGCCACAGCAACAACTTCTCCAGCTTCTGGAGCTTACCCAACTGTGGTGGAAGTGACCCAGAGAGATCATTCTCATACAGATACAAGTCCACAAGCTCTGAACAGTTGCCAATGTGTGGTGGAACCTCACCTGAAAGCATAGTTGTATATACTGATAGACTTTGAAGTTTGCTTAGCTTACCTAGTGAAACAGGAATTGAACCAGAAATTTTAGTATCAGCAAGACCCAGCACCTTCAGGTTCTGGCAGTCTCCGAGCTCTTCTGGAATTTTTCCTACAATGCCCTTGTTCCCTCCAGCACGTATAACTTCCAGATTTAACAATCTACCAAGTTCAACCGGAAGATTCCCACTTAAATAGTTATCAAATATGAGGAGATTCTTAAGGCTGCTGCATTCACCAATCTCTGCTGGGATCTCCCCAGTGAACTGGTTGGAATTTAAAATCAAGTCCTTTAGATTTTGGAGCTTCCCAATACTTAAAGGAATATTACCAACAAGACTGTTTGAGCTGACATCAATAACGGTTAGTTGCATGCAGTCTCCAATATTAGGTGGGATTGTTCCAGTGAGATTAGCACCAGAAATGACAAGCTTTTGGAGGGAAGGAAGGGACGAAAGATTGGCAGGGAAGGGAAGAGCTAACTCAATAAACTGGATATTGATTTCAATGACAAAGTTTTTGGTAGAACAAGTGATGTAAGACCAGCTACATGGGTTGGGGTCTGAAGGATGCCAGTTGGAGAGTGCTGAAGGAGGTGAAGGGGAACTGTGAAGCCAAGATCGTAGTGCAATAACTTCATTATTTGCTGCAGAAACAGCATATGGTAGAAGTGTAAAGAGGAAGAGTGGTAGAAGGTGATAGTAGCGGTGAGTGGTAGAAGATTGCCTTGGCATTGGCTTCTGCTTGTAGTTTTTGGACTGCCTCGGCATCGTCATCGGCATTGGCATTGACGACTGCCTCAAATCCCAAACCAGTCTTCTTGGTTTTGCATTGGGTCTCCCTGTCTCTCTCACTCTCTCTCCCCTTTTGCTTATCTAAAACTTACTCTACTTGAGCTTCTAGTTAAATTAGTCTATTACTATTACTACTAGTCTACTACTATGGTTGCTTTGCAGGCAAGAAAAAAAGGTAGATAAAGAATGCTTTAAAGGTTTGGAACCACACCACCATCACTACCTTCACCTCGGGGTTCTGTTCTTTGCTTGTAATCTTTTAATCTTTTACATTTGACTATGTTTTGTTGGATTACTCATGAGCAGATACACCATGTGTTTTTGCATTGTTTTCCTCAAAATGATTAGTAGAATGGGCTGGTTTATTCTTGATAATTGAGCCAAACCTTTGAGGGCAGTCAAGCAGCTTTGATTCTTTTCCTTTTATCTCAAAGAAGAAAAATTGATCTCAAAATTTCATGAATGCTGTTTCCATTGTGTTTACCATCATTGAAAAATCTCCATGAAACTTTTTCTGTGAAGGATTCTCCAATCCCTTCCTAACAATGCTAAAACAAATCACCCAACTACCTCTTTTGGACAGCTGTTCTCCTCTCCAGCCATGATTCTTAACCTGGGATTTCTCATTCCTCAAACAGATGACTATCGCCAAAATTATAGTATAACATAAAGCAATTTATGGTACACGATTAACAAGATCAGCATCATCTTTTGTTTTTGGAAAAAGAAAAAATGGATGCAAAGCATAATCTATATTTAATTATAATCAGTGTAAGAAGTCTATACAGATGCATCATCTTCTATTTGTCCTCAGCCAACCAACCTAGTAATCAACCTTGATGTCAATGCCTCAATGGAGATTAATTGCAATCGGTTTTCCAACCATTGGCATTTGCTCTGTTCACTGTCCTGTTTTTCTTCAAATAAATTATGTGCTTAATTTATATCCCTTCAACTTGCTAATTGCTACAGTAATTTTTGTTTCCCAACTTTAGCTGGCCTTGCGTGTTAACCAAAACCAATGCTTGTGCCGGGTATATGTCTTGCTGAAGGAGCAAATGGTCAGGGTCCTCTAGATTTTAATTACTTGAACTCAACGAATGTAGTTCACCTTGATTGTCTTATTGATTTAAATCCGAATATAGTCCGACCAGACATATTACTTATTAGCCTTGAAATCGACTCAGTTAAACAGGAAATTTATTAACAAGTGTGTTCAGTTGAAAAGCAGAGACCATTATCAACACCGGGAAATTATATAATGAAATCCTAGCAAGTAGATAGAAAAAAATTTTGATCATATTATCTAGTTTGTTCATGAACAAGAGAAGATTTTAATGGTCGCATTAAACTCAAGAACACATCCTTCAACCAGAAGACTCTTTTCCACTTCTCACCAAGACGATCATTATGTCAGTATAAACCAAGAAACGTTCAAAACCTGAATAATGTTCCTAACTCTGAGACTAAACCCATGTGAATGAACACATTGTGTTCAACCATTAGCCTGACTTAAAACCTGCTCCAACTGCAAACTTTTAACCCTAGTATTATATTATTAAATCAAAATAAAGAAAAAATGTGAGACTGGCTAACGGCATTCAGGCTTAAGGGATTCAAAATGCTGAGGCAGAGCCCAGAGCTCAAGGTGGTGACCTCGGAAATCTCCCCTCCAGGGAATCTAAACACTTTTTGTTCTGTTTTGTCAAAGACCTGATTAAAATAATAGCCAACCAACTCCACTTTTAATAGCTTCTTTGTAAGCTAAAGCAGCCACATTAAAAAATCAAATCAAGAAGTCAAGAACCCACAATTTTTGGTTGGGCTTCTACAAGTCCAAGTCCACCCAAAGCTTCAGTATCTGGGCAGGGCTAATCTGTATGTGGACTCTTTCCCTCGGTGGACAGGAAATATCAGGATTCTCGACACTTACAACGGAGACAACCGAAAGAATTTCAACTAATAACAATTTTGAGTTTTAACAGTCAAATTACAATAAAAAACTACGCAAATTTTGATATATTTATTAGTCACATTTTTTTTTCAGAACGAAGGTTCGCCTTCAAATTCTTCATAATTGAAGTACAGAAAAGCTAGTCTCGATAGAAACTTGTACCCTTGTATTGAACAAGCTAGATTGATATTGCAAGTGGGCAACACAATCCTAGTCTTCCAAACTAATAATGCACCGCAAACCCTCTCCCTTAACCATGAGCTCAAATGCCTTGTTAATCTCCGAGAAAGGGACTTGATGAGTTATAAATTTATCCAACTCCAGCTTCTGCATGAAAAACCATCAATAATTTACAGTAAATGGCCTGCGCTTGTGAGAAGCAAAACCTAAAATTAGATTGTAAATGCAGCAACAAAATTGTCAAGTACCTTGTTCATGTACATATCAACAACAGATGGGAGATCAGTCCGGGGTTTGTAGTTTCCAAAGAAAGTTCCTTTCAATGTCCTTTCGTTAAGCACATTGATGGGCCTGGTCATGAACATTGCTTCCTTGCTAGGCACTCCAACAAGAACAGCCGCACCCCACCCCTGCATAATCATGAAATTAATCCGAGGCAAGGACAAATATGATAACATGACTTAACTACTGGAAGTTATGAAGTCTATTCATTTGAACAAGCTAGAGACTGAACAGCTTGTCAAGTCTATGACAGATAAACAGCATTTGCCAACCATGAATCAAGCTAATGTCATTTAGACAAGCTGCGTTGTTACATGAGGTTTAGACACATACATCGTGGACACATTCAAAAGCTGAAATCATGGCGCTAATGTTGCCAGTGCATTCAACGCTCCTGTCAACCCCACCGTTGGTCATCTCAGCAATAACCTGTAAAGATTTAAAAAAAAAAAGTTTCTGCAAACTGATATTGATGATGTCTGAAAAAGGATGCAGATAAGTGTGTGTAAATTGAAATGAACCAGGGTGAATTGACATAGAAGAGATGAAAATTTGACCTCTTGAACTGGCTTGTCATAGTCCTTGGGGTTCACAAATTCTGTTACTCCAAACTTCTTGGCTAGCATCAACATTATGTAACATACAGAGAGATGGAAAGAAAGAAGTTAGGGTCATTATTCCATCGATTATTTATACTTCTAAGTCTAGAAACAGAATTGAATAGCCAAAAGCAACATGTACTACCTTCCTCGAACTTTCTAGGATTGACATCCACCCCTATAATTCTAGATGCTCCAGCAATTCTTGCACCTTCTGCAGCCTACCAAAGAAATATGAAAAACAAGTTTTTATTCTTTTATTTTTTCCAACTTCTTCCTGTTCCAGTTTAGAAAACTTGGTGTAAGTTAAATGAACTTCTAAAAACTTTTAGGAAACTTTACTTACTGCTAGTCCAACAGCTCCCAATCCAAAGATAGCTACTGAGGCACCCTTTTTGGGTTTTGCCACATTTAGAGTAGCACCCAATCCTGAAATTTTGAAAACCAATAATTTCATTCAGTAGAGGTTTTTACAGCAATGAAGAAATGGCAATTACTATAGTGAAAACAACCTGTTGAGATGCCACAACTGAGGACACAGACTTTGTTCAAAGGTGCCAATGGATTGATCTTTGCAAGACAGCCTGAGTGAACGACTGTATACTCACTAAAAGTTGATGTGCCAACAAAGTGATTTATTGGTGTTCCATTGATTGAAAACCTAGACTTTCCATCACTAAGCATGACACCTCTGTCTGTATTAATCCTCAGCAGGTTACACAGATTGCTTTCCTCAGACTTGCAATGAGAACATTCTCCACACTCCCCTGTGAACACTGTAAGCACATGATCTCCAACCTCAAGGCCTGTTACACCTTCCCCTACACTCTCCACAATCCTGTTAACATAAAACTCAGTCAAACAAACAATTGCAAGGAAAAAATAAAATCAATCAAGTCGTCCCAAATTGGATTAATAGTATGTGAATTGCTTAGTTAGTTCCTCAATGTAGTTCAGGTTTTAGTTTACTTTCAGTGCCCGCATTGCATTTGAATTATTTTGAAAGTTGCATATGTAACACAATTTTGCTTATTATCAAATTTCCCCTACTAATTATTGCTTTTTTTTAATACGATAATGGATTTCAAATAACAGATTAAGGCTTTAAGTCAATTTCCAAAACGGGGGAAACAAAATGGAAAGTTCTAATTCCAAATTATGTCACTTGCAGCTTTATTATCCAAAGTTGATTTAATATACATAGATTCGCTAATTGCCGTAGTTAACATTTATTTCATGAAGAACCAAAATTTCAATACTGTTATGTAATGATATTGTGAATTCAATTGCTTATAAAAATAAAAGTCTATAGCATACCCGCCTGCTTCATGGCCAAATATTCGAGGAAACAATGGCGACTGGCCCTGTAAAAATCCAAACCAAAAATCTTTTTCACTAATTAAAATTGCTAAAAAAAAAAGGAATATGAATCAGTGAGAAACTCACACCAGAACCAGATAGTTACGTAGGCAGATTTTATTTTTGAAAACCACAATTACCAGAAGGGAAGAGTAAAAACTGAAAAGACATGTAGCATAAAATAAGGCCCTGAATTGTGAATTCGTGATATTCAATGACTCCTAGAGATATTTTATAAAAGGCGAGAAGACATGTTGGCATATCGCTCGTCACGTGAACCAAGAAACAGCATTTCAAACCAAAGGTTTTCTCAATCACAAAAATTAAGATTGAAACTGAAAGGTCTCTTTTAGTTTTCCCACGTAGGAAATTGATAAGACCTTACAGAATCAGATTTTTTTAAATTCTAAACCTCAAACATGTGATGAATACATTTTCAGAGTGTAGAATCTATTTGGATAAATTATGATTCCTTGGAAGAAATTATTAAAGCGAAAAAAGGGCCAAAACAAGATATTTAAGATGCATCATAGGATTCGGTTGAGAATTACACACCTTGGCTTCCCAAAAGTAGAGATCAGTGTGACAAAGTGAGGTATATTTGATTTTGATCCTCACTTCCATGGCCTGTGGTGGAGCAACTTCCACTTGCTGAATCACCAATGGCTTCCCCGCTTCCCATGCAACAGCTGCTGCAAACACAAAACTATCAACTATAATTAGAATTTAAGAAAAACATAAATGATGCCCATTTCAGGATCCATTTCCTTTGATATATCTTAAAACTCATGGTAATGCTCGTGTAAAATTCATTAGCCATTTCTAGGATAACATTAACCAACAAACCAGAAAACTTTTGCGAAACAGATAAATTCAACCAGAAACTCGAGTTCAAAATGAGGAGAGATATCTATTAACCTGAAAAACCAGAAAAGCTCACTTTCAAAGGAATGAAATTAATGTACCTTTGCAGCGAATAACAAGACCAGCAGTAATCGACATGGTAGACTTGGCTGAAGAACTAAAGGAAGACAACAGCCTTGTTTGTGGTGGAAGACGCTCAGGAGCTTTGTAAAAGAGCCGCGAATGACTGTGAAAACACCTCCCCGTTCACCTTTTCAAACAGCGTCAAAGCTTTCCTTATGTGACTCGTACGTTACGTAAAACAGATACTAATATCTATAACTACGAAAACCCTGCAATTGTTTGCTAGCCCACTAGTTTTTATATATGCTAACCCAGGTTTAATTCATATTTTTTAAAATTTATTTTAATAAGTAATTTTTTATATTATGATAATAATGATAAATACTAATAATTTACTTTGATTTTGATATAATATAACTAAAATTTAATAACTTTTTATATAATTTTGATTTTAATAACTTTTAATAAAATTTTGGTAACTTTTGATATTAATTTGATAACTTACAATATAATTTTAATAACTATTGACAAAATATTGGTAAACTCTTGATGTAATTTAGTAATTAATCTTCTAAGAACTTATGATATATTTTTAGTAATCATTGATAAAATTTGTGTCATCTTATATTAATAATGAATTTTCGTAAGAAAGTGTAGTTTTAATTCTAATATAAGATAATTTTTTAATTATGATAATAATAATAATAATAAATACTAAAATTTAATTTTAAATTTGATGTAATTTAAATAAAATTTGATAACTTTAATAAAATTTTAATTTTGATAACTTTTGATAAAATTTTTGGTAACTTATAATATAATTTTGGCAACCTTCGATATAATTTTAGTAACTTTCGATACAATTTTGGTAACTTATAATATAATTTTGATAACTTTCGATATTAGTTTGATAATTTAGAATATAATTTTGGTAACTATTAATAAGATTTTGGTAACTTCTTGATGTAATTTTAGTAATTAATCTTTTGAAAATTTATAACATATTTTTAGTCTTCATTAATCAAATTCGTGTGGTCACTTATTTAATAATGGATTCTCTTAAGAAAGTGTAGTTTCAATTCTTATATAAGATAATTTTTATTTTATATTATGATAATAATAATAAATACTAAAAAGATTTAATTATGTTATCCATAATCAAATGATCAACTCATAAAACATATAAATAATAAAATCATTAACAAACATGTATAGTTAATATATTAAAACAAAAAATCAAAAGGTAAAAAATAGAAATAAAAAACATATGCATTAATGACTTAATTATGATTATCTTTAATGAATTTATTTATTAGCATAAATTAGATATACAATTGTTTTTATAACAACTAAATAAACAAACTTCAAGCAATTGTTTTATTTTTATGCATGCTAAGCTTTGATCTCATTCTATTTGTATTTTCATTTTATGTGAAAAATCATTTAACTTATAAAAAATGAGTCTGATAATAAAAAAAGTCATTAAATTAAAATTTATAAAAAAGTTACTAGATAGTTTAATTAATCACTTGTAATATTTTTGAACTTAAATATTTTATTGACGATATTTTAGTCAATCATTTTTAGGACTTTTTTAGTCTAATTATAAAAAAAGTCTAATAATAAAAAAATTAGTTTAAATTAAAATTTTTAAAAATATTTACTAGGTATATTAAAATAAAAAAAATTGAAAGGCAAAAAATAAAAATAACAAACAAATATGCCTCAATGACTTAATTATAATTATTTTTAATGAATTCATTCATCAACATAAGCTACATATGCAATTGTTATTACAACAACTAAATAAACAAATTTCACATAATTGTTTTATTTCGATGCACGTTAAGTTTTGATTTCATTCTATTTGTATTTTTATTTTATATGAAAAATCATTTTACTTATAAAAAAGGAGTCCAATAATAAAATAGTATTTTAATTAATCATTTTTAATATTTTTAAAATTAAATATTTCATTAAGGGTATTTTAGCCAATCAATTTTAGCACTTTTTAGTCTAATGATATCAAATGGAATCCCGATTGAAGTTTGAAAATGCTTTGATGAAATAGGGATAAGATGGTTGACGAATCTTTTCAACAAAACTAGGCGCACCCAAAATATGCCAAAAGAATGGAAGAATAGCACTCTTGTGCCTTTATACAAAAATAAAGGTAATATACAAGACTGTTCAAACTATCGAGGAATAAAACTTATGAGTCATACTATAAAATTTTGGAAGAGAGTAATTAAATGTAGGTTGCAATATGAGATCATTATTTTTGAAAACTAATTTGATTTATACCAAGATGCTCTGCAATAGAGGTGATTCACCTTTTAAAACTTTTATTGGAAGATTTTCGAGTGAAAAAGAAATATCTACATATAATATTTATTGACTTAGAGAAAGTATACGATAGAGTTTTTTAGAGGTGTTTTATGTTTTGGTGGGCCTTAATGAAGAAAGAAGTCCATTTAAATTACTTTAATATAGTTAAAAATATGTATGAAGGAGTGAAAACGAATGTGAGAATGATTAAAGGCATGATAGATAGCTTCCCTATTAACTTAGGATTATATCAAGGCTCAACACTAAGTCATTTCCTTTCTATATTAGTTATAGATGAGCTTACTGGACATATCTAAGATAAAGTGCCATGGTGTATGTTATTTGTCAATAATATAGTCATAGTTGTTTAAATCAGTGATACCCTTAATATGAAATTAGAATTATAGAGGAGTGCATTGGAGTCTCGAGGTTTTAAATTGAGTAGATTTAAAACTGAATATATGAAATGCAAGTTTAGTAACCACAAAAAAGTTAGTACTAATGTGTTAAGTTGGATGGTGAGGAAGTACCAAAAAATAGTCAGTTTTGATATTTGGGATCAATTATTCAAAGTGATATTGAGATAAAAGTAGATGTCAAACACAGGATTCAAGTAAAATAGGTGAGGTGGTAAAGTACGTCGGATGTATTATGTGATCACAACATGCTTTTAAAATTAAAAGCAAAGTTATATAAAACAACTATAAAGGCCTAAATTACTATATGAAACTAAGTATTAGGCTATTAAGAAACAACAAGAGAAAAAAATGAACGTGGCAAAGATAAGGATGCTTAGATGGATGTGTGGTAAGACTAAAAAGACAAAATAAAAAATGAAAAAAATTCAAAAAAAATTAAGGGTAATATGAATTGAAAAGAATATGAGAGAGAGTCATTTGTGATAGTTTGGACATGTGAAACATAAGCCTAGCTATGCATTTGTTAGGAGAATTGAGTCTCTAAATTTAAAAAAGATAAAAAATTTATAAGTAGACCACATAAGATATGAATGCAAGTAATACAAAACGATATGATATTTAAGAAATTAGATGAAAATGTGATTGTTGATAGAAATTAATAGCACAAGAAATTCAAATTATAACCTAACTTAATTTTCTTATTTGATTTTTCATATGGCTAACCCCCAGAGTATGGGATATAAAGCTTAATATGTTGTTATTAGTCTAATCATAAAAAAGTCTAATAATAAAAATTTTTCATTTAAATTAAAATTTATAAAAACATTTACTAATAATGTTTTAGCTAATTATTTTTAACACTTTTGGAATTAAAATTTAAAATTTTATAGAAATATTTAGGTTTATTACTATTAACATTTTTTGAATTCACACTTTTATATATAAAAGATAGATGATTTATCAAAAACCACTATTTTCTTTTCTCTTTACATGTGATTCAATGTGAAGGTAGATATATATAAATATTTTGTTGATTGGTGAAAGTAAGTATAGACACCCTAATCTGTCTGGAGTTCTACTTGTTTCTATTAATTAAAAATAAAAAAAAGAAAAAAAATTAGTGATTAAGTTTACTATGTGTGTGGATTAAAAAGGTTGAGTTAGACCTAAAATTTGAAGGGAAAGTTTAAAGAGAATCAAAATCCTTTCTGGATTAAGGTTCTTTGGATCAAAACCTTATAAATACAAACCCTAATCAAGCCTAAAAAACACACAGATTATGAGAAAAAAAAAATGCACGGCAGTATTAAGAGAAAATTTCAATAAAAGTAATTGTATTATTTTTCAAATAAAAAATTTTGGTTGAAAATATTTAACAATTATCCAAAAATGAAAATATTAAAATTTCAAATGGTAAATTTTTTAAGAAATCTATAGGTAAGAAATTTTTTAAATTTGTCTCAAATAGTAAAAAATTTAAATGAAACTTCAAAAAATAATTGTCATATTATTTTTTTCCAAAGATAAAAAAAAAAAAACTAATAAGAGTTTTTTTCTAAACAAAACCAAATGGTGAAAATTTAGAAACAAAACTTAAAGATATTTCTAAATAGACCTAAGTGGTGAAAAATTTAGAAATAATAGAAATTATAAAAATAAATTTTAATGATGAAATTCTTAGTAATCGCAAATGGTTGATTATCTAAGAAATTTTTAGATGAAAAATATTTCTAATTTTGGCCCAAATGGTGAATGAATTAGATATATGTTTAATAAAAAATAAAATAAAAATGATTAAACCTTTTTTTTTATGACGGAACATCTTCAAGAAAATAAATAGGATTCTTAAATACTTTTAAGATGAGAAAATATTTTTAAGAATTCTACCAAATTGATAGAGAAATCTTAAGAATTATTTCTAATATAAAATTTAAAACCATTAGAATCAAGACCTTAGGATAATTTAAAATAAAATGGTACCATTTTTTGGATGGACATGTGAGGGTGCTATAACATTCGCTATATGTAACCAAACTCTCGAACCTTATTCTGATTAGTAGACCAAAATTTATTTTTTTAATGATCTTTAATCAAGCTTAGGTGCTCTTTAAAATGATAGATTTATTAAGTGGACTAATCACACCTAGTTAAAAAAATTAGTGGCGACTCCTCTTGTTAAGTCTAGCTATAGATTTATGGATCTATATATTATTAATGAAATATACTAATATTTGCCACATAACTATTATTGATAAAAGAAATCTTAATTCGAAACTTTATTTAATAAAATTTCAAAACTACATTATAACAAAGCCAAAACAATATTCTAAAGTCCTAAACATCAATGTAATATTTTCTAAACACTACTTTAATGCCTCCTTATAAATTTCATGGCTTGCTCGTAATGATCTAATGTCTCATCTAGGAAGTCAAGCAATTACTGCCCATGAACTCTTATTGGTTGTATCACGGCCTTCAATTCTTCCATTTCTTCTTTCATTTCTAACGCTTTGTCTACAATAGTGTATAACTAATTGAACAAGTACCTTAGATGTTTTTGTTTTTTCATGCACATACCTTTTCATAACTTATTCTGTTTAGTATGTTTCTTGCATTCATTAGTCCAGGCTTCTACCTATGCTGATCCAATATCTTTTGTAGCATTTGGTTATGTTTTTACGCCTTAGTAGTGGTATTTTATCTTTCTGCCATCTTTGCTTTTAATAATTCATTTTCTTTTAAGAGTCGAGCAAGTTTGGTTATGACGAATGAATGTGTCTTGTCTAGATCATTGAATAAGGCTTTTCCACTGATCTCTTTGCTCAATAAGGCTCTAGATTTTTATTCTTACAACTTCAAACTTTTTTCCATTTCTACCTTAATTGCTTATTTTCTTGCTCTAGCTTATCTTTCTTCAATTTAGAGTTTCCTTTTAGTCGTTTCCATTTTGAGTAAGGGATTTGAGGAATTACCTTTAGAGAATGGTCAACTATTTGTTCTCGAGGAAACATAATGTCCTTGCCCCTCTTTATATGCATACAATATATTCTAGGGTGATATCATAAGTAAGCTTCTCTGGTTAACCTTGATGGTTTGTTTCCATACCTTTTTTTATCATTTCAATCATTCCATATGCCTTTTTTCAATGAAAAAAAATTTCACTGGTTAAGTTCATAAGTTTCTGGAATAAATTGCTCACATCCAGATTATCTTCTCACCAAAGTTAGGGCATAAGTAATAGCACCCCATAGGCTTAATAAGAAAACTCAAGGTTGATTCTCATAACTATATAACACTATATCATGACATATCCAAGGTGCTATATAAATTATCCTTTGGCTATCAAGCGCACAAAAATATGAAACTCATTATTTTTTCAACTTTACTTTAGGCCATGTACTGCAATAAAACTCCTTGATTGAAACACTATAACAAAGATATGGTTTGCGAAACTAGCTTTCTTCACACCCAATATGGCTCTTCATCCATACATAAAGTAATTGTAAACACCTATTAAATCAACTTTTACCATTTTTGTGATAAAAATTCAAGAAACGAATGGTTTCTGCTAAAATAGTTGGTGCTACATTGACTTTGTATGCTAACTAATCGACAAAGTCTATCTCTACGATATCAACATATCCAATGACTTTTAAAAATATTACTAATCCATATAAAGCTATAGCCATTGCCACTAACCCTAGATCATCATCCAAATGCCTCTGGATAAAGTTTCGCAAAAAATCTCATGGGATAGCCTTACTTTCACCTTTTGTCTTTACACATGCATCAACTTGATGCAAGCTAAGTCTAAGCATTTGCACAAGCTTTTATGTTAACCCACCTTATTTGACTAATAAATCTTATTTGGGTTTGGCAAATCAAAGCTAAGTAAGACCATATACTCTTCAATCGTTAACACCATATTTGTTTTATTGAAAATGAAACACCTATAAGAAAATCCCAAAATTGAATGATGGTTTTAATCAGATTATTGTCTACATCTATTTGAAGCAGTGAAGCTATGTCCTCATATTTATTCTTAAATAGCTCTTGCGTTGTTTTACTCATGCATCCCCAAACATTACTTAGGTTAGTCAGGTCATTTTGTTGGAGATCGAGATGAACTTTCTCAAGCAATAATGAGATAAAACCTTCAGGTAAGCAATTATCTTTTTTTTTTACCTTCTTCTGACTTGATTTTCACTTGATGAGCAAATTCATAACGAACTGATGTAGACTTTAATTATATTTGGCTTTCCATAAATATAGGTGTGAGATTTGATTTATCAATAATTGATATGCGACAAACATTCCCTATATGAGAATGATGCAAATGACAATATTAAACATGACCATGAAAATAATGCATAAATGATATTGAAATGATGCAAATACACAAAGTCAAACAAACAAAATGGTTAGATCATAAATCGTTTCTTCTTCTGTCCTAATTTTAAAGTACATCTATCAACGTGTAAGAGTGGTCTTACCTTAAAGCTAGCCTTTTAAGTGTAGATTATATGTTAAGTTAAGTGATTTGGACTACTAAAGGTTCTCAAATTATTCCTTACATCATTGTCCATCACAAACTAGTAAGGTATTTTAATCCTCACCCATCATAGGCTACCAACGAAAAAGATTCAATTTGAGTGGGAGTATTTCACTAGACATTATAGAGATTATCATTTCACGAGAACGTAGGTACTTTACTCCCTCCTAAAAAAATAGAGTCCGGGTATAGAGCTCATGTAATGCAAATGTATGTGATAGTGTATATGAAAGAACATAAAATTTTCAACCCCATAAATCAAATGAGAGACAAAAAAGAAAAACATCAGTAAACAAATAATAGAATCTTTACATTTTAAAACCATTAGATCGAAAGATATGATAAATTTAAAATTTATGACCTGACTCTCTATTACGTCTTAAGTAGAGTCGCTAAACTGTCATAACATATAGATTCGTGAATCTATAACTAGACTTAACAAGAGGAGTCACCACTAATCTTTTTTTTAAGTGTGACTAGCTACCTAATAAACTTATTCTTTTAGGGACCCTTAGTCAAGCTTAGAAGTTTCTTAAAATGATAGATTCATTGAGTGACCAATCACATCTAGAAAAAAGATTGGTGGTGACTTCTCTTGTTAAATTTAGCTATAAATTTATGGATCTATATGTTATGACAGTAAGATTTAGTCCAAAAAAGTTAGAATGTATTTGGTATATAAAATTATGAAAGGATAGAATAAGATAATATTATGAATAAAATTAGATTAAATAATGTCATTCTATCTTTTGTTAGATGTATGTAAAGATTAATATAGGATAATTTATTTATTGGTCAAAATTATTTTTTTTTTCAAAGTTTATACAATTTAAATTATTGATATAATTTTTAAGGATATAAGAATATATATAAATTTAATCTTATGGATTAAAAATAATCCTCTTCACCTTAAAATGATTGAATCATCTTATACTAAAAAATGATTAATCTTTTTTATAAATTATAATCTTATTTTTTTCTTTAGATACAAATAAAATATAGTATAAAATAATTATCATCTTATCATATCTATTATTTTATACATCAAAACCTAAACACAAACAAAAAAAAATCTTTTGAATACCAGGATCTAATATTTATCCATTGTTTTGGAAATAAGATTTTGTTGGTTTATAAGGTGGGGGAAGAATACAATCATACAAAGCAACGTTTTGGACGTTTGAACAAATGGGTTTCTCCCGCGTCCATAGAGTTGGACTCATCTTATCAAGGTTTCCTTGTTTTAACTCAACTTGGTCATTCGGCTATTGCCCACTTAGTGCTTATTGGCTACTTTATTTCAGTTTTTTGCTTTGAATTTATCCCAAAAGTCACCAAGAAGGAAGGGCAAATACTAATGCGCCCGCATTAAGTTTTAGATTCGAGTTGCTTTTTGAGATTTGCCTTTGTATTATTCACCATCAAAGCTGGCATCTTATAGTAATGGTTTTTGTTCAAGGCAAAGTCAATATGTATGTTGTAGAAAGGGTTGTTTCGATACATATATTATATATGGTGGTATTTGGAAATTGGATCATGGACTATCTCCGGAGCCTTAGGAATGGGCTTTAGTTGGCCCGATTATTGGGTTTCGAGCAATTTTATTGATGAAAAAAACTGCCCACTATCCATTTACTATGAATCAACTGATCCAATTCCCTCTGGTCACAATAGATTAAAGGCCCTTGTACCCAGTTCCAACACCCGAGGGTGTCCCACATATGTCAAGTTTGGAATCTAAAGTTTGAACTATGGACTTGGAGTCTTGAGAGCCTAGAATATTGAGAGTAATAATCGTTTTTTTTTTTCTAATGAAAGATGGCCCCAGTGAGAGTGGGGTTGATCACGCATGCCATGCCAGGCTTCTAGCTCATAATGTAAGATTGTTTTCTCTGCCAATCTCATTGTGAAAGCATTCAGTACCTTGGAATTGTGACTGTCATGTTCTTCAGTCCTTATGTCTAAGATATTTTGCATATTTCTACCATTAAATGAAAACCTAAAACACATTTTGGCACATCGCATTAATGTGTGTCAATATATATATATATATATATATATATATTATATTTGATTTATACATTTTCATGTCATTCATTTGGGGTTATTTGGCGTTAAGCATCAGCTGCCATTTAGTTTAGAACTAATACGTGATTTTTAGTAATATGAAGATAATATAATATTTCTCCAAAAATTTAAAAATAATTTTTGTTATGGTTTAATGTAATGAATCGATTCTAAATTACTATAAGATCATCAAGATGACAATACAGATAATCAAAAAAAAAAAAATTTATTACATCAAGAGAGTAAAATTCTAATACAAGTAAAGAGGAAGGAGAAGCATGATTCAAAATCAAATCTTTAATATCCTCTCAAAAGGTTTGAAGACAATAACCGAAAGAAATTTCAACTTTAAACAATTTTGAGTTTCAACAGTCAAATTACAACAGGCAACTACGCAAATTTGGAGCATATTTTGATAAATTTACGGAGCAAGTGTGGGTTGTCCTTGTTATTGTCAATGAAAACTTCCATAAGCTTTTAGTAGATTATTTATGGATGCTAAATATCACTTCATATAAAAACATGTAAACTTGATTGAGGTATAATGCAACAGTAGTCGTATTTTATTTCAGAAAGAAGGTTCGCCTTCAAGTTCTTCGTAATTGAAGTACAGAAAAGCTAGTCTCGATAGAAACTTCTACCCTTGTATTGAACAAGTTAGATTGATATTGCAAGTGGGCAACACAATTCTAGTCTTCCATGCTAATAATGCACCGCAAACCCTCCCCCTTAACCATGAGCTCAAAGGCCTTGTTGATCTCCGAGAAAGGGAGTCGATGAGTTATAAATTTATCCAGCTCCAGCTTCTGCATGAAAAACCATCAATAAGTTACAGTTTATGGCCTGTGCTTGTGAGAAGCAAAACCAAAAATTACATTGTAAATGCAGACAAAATAAATTGTCAAGTACCTTGTTCATGTACATATCAACAACGGTTGGGAGATCGGTCCGGGGTTTGTAGTTTCCAAAGAAAGTTCCTTTCAATGTCCTTTCGTTAAGCACATTGATGGGCTTGGTCATGAACACTGCTTCCTTGCTAGGCACTCCAACAAGAACAGCCACACCCCACCCCTGCATAATCATGAAATTAATCCAAGGACAAATATGATACATGACTTAACTACTGGAAGTTATAAAGTATATTCATTTGAAAAAGCTAGAGACTGAACAGCTTGTCAAGTCTATGACAGATGAACAGCCTTTGCCAACCTAGAATCAAGCTAATGTCATTTAGAAAAGCTGCATTGTTACATAAGGTTTAGCAAAATACATCGTGGACACATTCAAAAGCTGAAATCATGGCCCTAATGCTGCCAGTGCATTCAACGCTCCTGTCAACCCCACCGTTTGTCATCTCAGCAATAACCTGTAAAGATTAAAAAAAAAAAAACTGTTCCCGCAAACTGATATTGATGATGTCTGAACAAGGATGCAGATACGTGTATGTAAATTGAAATGAACCAAGGTGAAGTGACATAGAAGAGATGAAAATTTGACCTCTTGAACTGGCTTGTCATAGTCCTTGGGGTTCAAAAATTCTGTTACTCCAAACTTCTTGGCTAGTACCAACATTATGTAACATACAGAGAGATGGAAAGAAAGAAGTTAAGAGTCATTATTCCGTTGATTATTTACACTTCTATGCCTAGATACAGAATCGAATAGCCAAAAGCAACATGTAATACCTTCCTCAAACCTTCCAGGATTGAAATCCACCCCTATAATTCTAGATGCTCCAGCAATCCTTGCACCTTCTGCAGCCTAACAAAGAAAAATGAAAAACAAGTTTTTATTCATTTATTTTTTTTCCAACTTCTTCCAGTTCCAGTTTAGAAATTTTGGTTTAATTAAATGAACTTCTAAAAACTTTTATGAAACTTTACTTACTGCTAGTCCAACAGCTCCCAATCCAAAGATAGCTACTGAGGCACCCTTTTTGGGTTTTGCCACATTAAGAGTAGCACCCAATCCTGAAATTTTAAAAACCAATAATTTCATTCAGTAGTGATTTTTTCATCAATGAAGAAATGGCAATTGCTCTAGTGAAAACAACCTGTTGAGATGCCACAACTGAGTACACAGACTTTATCCAAAGGTGCTAATGGATTGATCTTCGCTAGACAGCCTGAGTGAACAACTGTGTACTCACTAAAGGTTGATGTACCAACAAAATGATTTATAGGTGTTCCGTTGATTGAAAACCTAGACTTTCCATCACTAAGCATGACACCTCTGTCTGTATTAATCCTCAGCAGGTTACACATATTGCTTTCCTCAGACTTGCAATGAGCACATTCTCCACACTCCCCTGTGAACACTGGAAGCACATGATCTCCGACCTCAAGGCCTGCTACACCTTCACCTACACTCTCCACAATCCTGTCAACATAAAACTCAGTCAAACAAACAATTGCAAGGAAAAAATAGAATCAATCAAATCGACCCAGATTGGATTAATAGCATGTGAATTTGCTTAGTTGATTCCTCAATGTAGTTCAGGTTTTAGTTTACTTTCATTGCCTACATTGCATTTGAATTATTTTGAAAATCGCATATGCAACACAAGTAAATTACTTATCATCAAATTTTCGCTAATAATTAATGTTTTTTTTAATACAATACTGCATTTGAAATGGAAAGTTCTAATTCAAAATTATGTCAATTGCTGCTTTATTCTCCAAAGTTAACATTTGTTTCTTGAAGAACCAAATTTTCAATACTATTCTGTAACGATATTGTGAATTCACTTTGTTATAAAAATAAAAGTCAACAACAAACCCGGCTGCTTCATGGCCAAATATTCGAGGAAACAATGGCGTCTGGTCCTGTAAAAATCCAAACCAAAATCTTTTTCACTAATTAAAATTAAAAACAAAAGCTAAAAGAAAAAGAAAAGAAATATGAATAAGTGAGAAACTCACATCACCACCAATAGTTACAAAGGCAGATTTTTCTATTGAAAACCAATACTACCAAAGGGAAAATGTAAAAGCTGAAAAGACACGCTAGCACAAAATAGGGCCCCGACTTGTGATATTCAAAGCTAGCTCCTCGAGATATTTTACAAAAGGCGACAAGACATATTGGCATATCGCTAGTCACGTGACCCAAGAAAGAGCTTTTCAGACCAATGGTTTTCTCAATCACAAAAATTAAGATTGAAATTAAGAAACTGAAAGGTCTCATCTGGTTTTCCTACTTAGGAAATTGATAGACTTGACAGAATCAGATTTTCTTAAATTCTAAATCTCATGCATGTGATGAATACATTTTCAGAATGTAGAATCTAGTTGGGTAAATTGTGATTCCTTGGAAGAAATTATTAAAGGGAAAAAAAGGGGTCAAAACAAGATATTTAAGATGATCATAGTAATCGTTTGAGAAACATAAAAAATGATGTGTTACACACCTTGGCTTCCCAAAAGTAGAGATCAGTGTGACAAAGTGAGGTATACTTGATTTTGATCCTCACTTCCATGGCCTGTGGTGGAGCAACTTCCACTTGCTGAATCACCAATGGCTTCCCCGCTTCCCATGCAACAGCCGCTGCAAACACAAGACTATCAACTATAATTAGAGTTTAAGAAAAACATAAATGATGCTCATTTCAGCCTACAGGGTAATACCCATTTCAGGATCCATTTCCATTGATATAACTTAAAACTCATCGTAATGCTCTTGTAAATTCATTAGCCATTTCTGGGAAAACATTTAACCCACAAACCAGAAAACTTATATGAAACAGATAAATTCAACCAGAAACTCAAGTTCAAGATGAGGAGAGATATCGATTAACCTTAAAAAACAGAAAAGCTCACTTTCAAAGGAATGGAATTAATGTACCTTTGCAGGGAATAACAAGACCAGCAGTATTCGACATGGTAGACGTGGCTGAAGAACTAATGGAAGACAACAGCCTTGTTTGTGGTGGCAGATGATTAGGAGATTTGTAAGAGAGCGGCCAATGAGGGTGAAAACACCTACCGTTTACCTTTTCAAACAGTGTCAAAGCTTTCCGCACGTGACTCATGCGTTCATATATACGTACGTACGACAGATACTAATATATATCACTACGAAAACCTTGCAATTGTTTTTTAGCCTATTTGTCAAAAACCAAGCTCTCCTTGTCTCCCCTGCTTGCGATTCAATCTGAAGTTAAGGTATATATATATATTTTTGGGATTGGTGCAAGCAAGATTTTGTCCAAACACAGTTAACGCAAACGAAAAGACGAGATTTGAATACCAGGATCAAATATTGTCCCTTGTTTTAGAAATCGGATTTTGTTGGTTTACAAAGCAACGTTTTGGACGTTTGAACAAATGGGTTCTTCCAGCGTCCATAGAGTTGGACTCATCGCATCTAGCTTTCCTTGTTTTAACTCAAACTTGCCCACTTTCTGCTTATTGGCTTCTTTATTTCAGTCTCTTTGAATTTATCCCAAGAGTCACTAAGAAGGAAAGGCAAATGACAACTGCGCCAGCATTAAGTTACAGATTCGAGTTGCTTTTTGAGATTGGCCTTTAATTATTCACTATAAAAGTTGCATCTCATGGTTTTTTTTCAAGGAAAAGTCAATATGCTCCTTTTAGAAAGGGTGGTTTCGGTACATAAATTATATACGGTGGTATTTGGAAATTGGATCATGGACTATCTCCGGAGCCTCAGAAATGGGCTTCGGTTGCCCGATAATTGGGTTTGGAGCAACTGTATTGATTCAAAACACTGCCCTCTGGTCACAATAGATTGAAGGACCTATCTACCCAGTTTCAACATCTGAGGGCGTCCCACATATTTCAAGTTTGGAATCTAACTATGGACTTGGAGGCTTGCTTGGAGCCTAGAATATTGAGGGTAATATTACAATCGATTTTGTTTCTGATGAAAGATGGCCCCAGTGGCAGTGGGGTTTATCATGTATGCCATGCCAGGCTTCCAGCTCATAATGTAAGATTGTTTTTTCGGCCAATCTCATAATGAAAGGATTCAGTACCTTAGAATTGCGACTGTCACGTTCTTCAGTCCTTACGTCTAATATATTTTGCATATCTCTCCCATTAAAAGTAAAACAAAAACACATTTTGGCACATCGCATTAATGTGTGTCAATATATATTTGATTTATACATTTTCACGTCATTCAGTTGGGGTTATTTGGCGTCAAGCATCAGCTGCTATTTAGTTCAGAAGTAATCAGTGATTTTTGGTAATATGAAGACAATATAATATTTCTCCAAAAATTCAAGAATAATTTTTTTATGGGTTAATTTGATGAATTAATTTTAAATTATAATAAAATATATAATATGATATTTGAATTTTAAAATTTTTAATATAATATTTAAATTATAATAAAAAATTTAATGTGATATTAAATTTTAAAATTTTTAATATATTATTTGAATTATAAATTTATTAATTAACATAATATTTAAAAAATTATTTATTCTTCACATAATATTATTTGAAATTAATAATATTAAAAATAAATATAATATTAATTAATAAATTTATATATAAAATAATATATTAAAAAATTTTATAATTCAAATATTATATTAAATATTTTATTATTATTTAAAATCATTCGTAACATTTTCTTTTTGTTATTTACCCAATAATATTCCAGGCAGCAACATTCAACGTCATGACTTGGCACACCTGCATTGATGCCACCATGCGGTATTCACTTACACGGTCACACCCGCCATATATTTGGACGGAAAAAAAAAAAAAAGAATCTCTTCCACAGCTTGAGAAAAACTTTGTTGTCTCCCTCCTCTGAACCGCTTGGATGAACCTAACCACAATCTGCAACTGCAAAGACGCAGCCGCCTCACCAACTCAGCCATCATCACTCTTCCCACAAATCACAAGATGCAAGACCATGAGAGACCTCCACCAAGTCCATGCCCTCTTCCTCAAAACAGGCCAAATCCACCACCTTTTAACTGCTGCGGAAATCCTCAAATTCTGCCCCCATTCCACCCATCGCGACCTCGATTACGTCCGCAAGGTTTTCCGCCAAATGAGCGAACCTATCTGTTTTTCTTGGAACACAATCATCAGAGCTCGAACAGAATCTGATGAAAACAATGAAACAAGTGAACCGTTAGAAGCATTGTTTTTATTTATTCAAATGGTCTCTGACGGTACCGTTCTGCCTAATAGATTCTACAAGGGGAACAGGTTCACGGGTTAGCGGTGAAATTTAGGTTTGAGAAAGATGAGTTTTGCTGCTAGCAATCTTGTAAGAATGTACGTTATGTGTGGGGCCCTTGGAAAAAGCTCATTTTGTGTTTAACAAAATGATGGTTGAATTTGAAAATGGTGGCAAATTAGTTAAGGATTAGAGGAGAATAGAGGGTAATATTGTTTTATTGAATGTGATGATGGTTGGGTATGTAAGACTTGGGGATTTAGGGGCTGTTAGGGAATCGTTTGATAAAATGTCTCAAAGAAGTGTGATTTCATGGAATGTGATGATTTCTGGGTACGCGCAAAATGGGTATTTTAAGGAAGCAATTTAAGTTTTTCGTTTGATGCAAATGGGGGAAGTGTGGCCTTATTATGTCACATTGGTGAGCGTTCTTCCTGCCATTTCAAGACTCGGGGCACTGGATTTGGGGAAATGGTTGCGTTTCTTTGCTGAGAGAAACGAGATAGTGATTGATGATGTGCCTGGCTTTGCATTGATTGACATGTATGCTAACTGCGGGAGTATTGAAAAAGCAGTTTAGGTCTTTGACAGGATATGTAAACCGAATACAATTACTTGGAGCGCGATAATTGAGTGTCTTGCAATGCATGGTAGAGCAAAGGATGCTCTTGATTAATCTTCAAGGATGGAATGTGAGGGGGTAACTCCTATTGATGTTGTGTATATTGGTGTCTTGAGTAATTGCCGCCATGCAGGGCTAGTGGAAGAGGAGCTTTTATTCTTCTATCGTATGGTTAACGCGGTTGGCTTTGAACCTAGGCTTGAACACTACTGGTGTATGGTTGATATAGTAGGCCGTGCTGAGCCATTGAAAGAGGCTGAAGAGTTTATATTGAACATGCCAATAAAACCAGATGATGTGATATGGAAGGCCTTGTTAGGTGTCTGTAAGATGCATGGAAATATTGAGATGGGTAACCGTGTGGCTGGGATTTTGATGAATATGGCTTATGATGGCGGAGCTTATGTGGCATTGTCAAATATGTATGTTTCTTCCAGAAATTGGGAGTCAGCTGCAAAGGTAAGGTTAAAAATGAAGGAGACAGATGTAAGGAAAGACCCTGGATGCAGTTGGAGCTTGATGGAGTCGTTCATGAGTTTCTTGTGGAAGATGATTCGCTCTCTAGAGCCAAAGATATTCATTCAATGCTGCAAGAAATTGCTGAGCAAATGAGGTTGGTAGGATATAAGCCAGATACCACGCAAGTTTTGCTTAACATTGAAGAGGAAGAAAAAGAAAGCACACTATACTACCACAGTGAAAGGATTGCCACTGCATTTCGCTTAATCAGCACAAGCCCTGGAATGCCACTCCGGATAGTCAAGAACCTCCGTGCATGTGAGGACTGTCACTCTTCAAAAATACTAATCTCAAATATTTATAAACGACAAATAATTGTTCAGGATCGGAAGCGTTTTGACCATTTTGAGAATGGTTCATGTTCGTGCATGGACTACTGGCAATACCCTTCCCAATTTACGTAGTTAAGTATATCAATAACTTCTTTAGTGTTCGGCAATTTTTGGCATTAATTAATCCATTGTCTCTGTATCTATGATTGAATCAAAACTTTTGGAAAAATATGAATAACATAGGAAAAATCCATTAACAGCCAACTTTCCTCATCTTCACGAGTCCATAACTGAGCGTTTTATAGTTTTATGTTTCATTTTGTCAACCTTCCTCGAACTTTAGACAGGTTTCAAGGAATATACTAGTACTTTCAAGGAATATAGAAGAGCTTAGTCATGAGCAACAGAACATCCTAAGTGCTCATGTTTAGCAAAAGCATATGTGATTTAAAAGGAGCTAAAGGCCAAAAAAATCAATACTCATGAATGTATACATTTCATACCGAAAATCTTAAATAAAGCCACCATCTACCTAATGATTATGTATATACTTGCAATGGCCTCGTTAAGTGCTTAAGCAACTGACTTTTGGGTATTCTCTGGACAAGCTCATTGCCCATGATATTATGCCCATCAGTATGTCTCCATCATGCTGAACAGAGGTCCATGCAATAATAAAATTTCCATTTGTTCTTTCGAAGTGTCAATACAATACATGTGTACATTCATATGATTGCTTCAATACTTGTATTGAATGAGTTTGAATTGAGCTTGTTTATTCTTCTTTCAGTCCCATACTCCTGAAAATTGTTACAGGTGTATGTGAAGAAAGAAAAGCACTAGTATATATAATATATTCTTTAAAACCTGTATAAAGTTCTGAGAAAGTTTGATGAAATGAAATATAACTTGTCTAAAGTATTTATTTCAATGATCATTGGTACATACTTTTTCTGTTTAAGGAGCTTATATTTGACTCCCTTATTTTCCATATAAGATAAGATTCACTAATTTCAGGAAAAATGGTTTCGGAGCAGCATTTGTTGAGGGCCACCGAATTCCATATATCCTTTTTACCTTTCAATTAAAAATACTTTGATAAGGATTAATACTTGGTCAAAAGACTCTTTAGAAAATCTGATCACACTCTCATTTTGAGACTACAAGACAGAGAGACAAAGGCTAAAGATTATAAAAAAAGATTGATGATTGATGAAAATCATGTTTGATTAAGGAAATCAATGATTGCTTAAGACTGGCGTGAATTTGAACAGTGAGATGCCGACAAATTGTTTTTCTCTACAATTACACCTGCTTATTTTGCATGGAAACACCATAAAAGGGCTACATTCTTCTTTTTTTTTTTGAATAGGAGTTTATTCCTGGGAGACATAATTGGAGGTCCCATTAAACGAAAGCACCCTCAATTATTTGTGTAACGTTTGAAAATAAATGATTTGTTTTTCATTGTTCCTCCAGAAAGAAAACTTTGGTAAACCCCCCCCCCCCCCCAAAATCCCCCACCAAAAGAGGTGTGTTTAATTTCAAATTCCAAAAGAGCCGTCGAGCATTTACACCTTATTGACAGTTTTGAAGAAAGAAAGGCTTACGTTAAATTTTATTTGTGAAATTTGTAAAGTTTTTTTATTAAAAATAAGTAAATAAAATTAAAAATTAAAATAAATAGATTAAGAGATTTTATCACATAAATTAAGGGTGTAAAATTTAAAAATAATAATAAATTTTGATATATTTATTAAATAAATATTTTTAATAAAAATATTTGATGAAAAATTTATCATTAAATTAATATTAATTAAATTTAAATTATAAATAATTTTTTTAATAATTTTTTTTTACATATTATTGATTTTTACATTAAATCTTATCAATATATTAATTTAAATTTTTTATTAAATTTTTATTTATTTATTTTTAATAAAAAATTTTACAAATTTCGTCTATAAAATTTCATATAAAATTTATGTGATAGAAGTACTCCCAATTCTGGAAGGTATTCTTCTTTCTTGTTTCCCATGCATTTATTTAAACTGCATTATTATCAGAGGGATGAAGATAGTCATTGCTTAGATTTGTTAAATATGATCTCTTTTTTTCTGTGAGATCCCACTGGATTGAGACATAAAACTCTCCTCCACTGCAACAAAACTACTAGTATTAAACTCCTCGTTGGCCCTTTTTCAGGGCTAAGGTGTAGACATAGATTAACCTGTTTCCTCCTTCCTTTGCTTTTGTACCGTGACCCACAAGCTTATAGGCCCACCGAAATCCATAAACTACTTTTGCACTTGTACCAAGAGCAATGCACTCTCTACAAGTAACTCTTTTTCCTTCACTGACTCAAGTCCACTGACTGATCTTTAGTTTCAGGAGCACTACCATTGAAAGATGTAGGGCGGTGATGAAAAGGGCAACAGATGAACAATGATCTGCCCTGGAAAAGGACAAGACTTGTTGCCTGTTGGCTTTCCCTGCATGGAAAACCTTCCCTTCTTTTTCAAAGAAAGCAAAGTTAGGAGAAAAAATATATATTTGGACAAATTCCCAAAGGTGAGCGTGCAGAGAGAATTAATAAAAAAGTATATAAGTGTATAAAGCAAACTCAATGTAATTTAACAATGTAGATTACTAACCTCTCTTTCGTTTTTTTTTTTCTCAATTCAGGTGCATCTTCGCCCTTATTGACCGTCCGATCGTTTACATTTTGTCGTGATGCGATTTTCGTTGACATTTCGATGGTATAGAATTTACAAGTGGAAAAGGCCGTAGGTTTGAACTTCTGTACAGCCTGGATGATAGAATCATGACCGTAGAGTTACTGGACTAGGAGCTAGTCATAGTCAACACTCTGTCAGCTTTCCCAAAAGGAAAACCTCTCCCTCATTGAAAACACCACTAAACAACATTAAACTTTGCACCTTCTTTTTCTTTCTTTCTTTCTTTCTTCTCTTCCCTTTCTCTCTCTCTGGTACTTTCATGGAGGTGTTCAAACTTTATTCCTCTATTTTCTTGTTCTTCTTTGTCTTGACCGAAGGCTTATCTACAACACTCACTGAGTCATTGCTTTCTTCTTCTTCTTCACCAGATGTTGAGCTTCTCTTGGGAAAGATTAAAGCTTCGTTGCAAGGTAACACTGACAACTTACTCTTATCTTCATGGAACTTTTCTGTTCCTCTTTGCCAATGGAGAGGACTTAAATGGGCCTTCTCCAATGGGAATGTTCTTTCTTGCACTGACCTTTCTTCACCACAATGGACTAACCTCTCTCTTTCCAAGGACCCATCTTTACACCTTGTTTCACTTCAGCTCCCATCTGCTAACCTTACTGGTTCACTCCCTAGAGAGCTTGGCGAGTTTTCTATGCTTCAAAGTCTTTACCTTAACATTAACTCACTGAGTGGAACCATCCCTCTTGAACTTGGTTACAGCTCTTCATTATCCGATATTGATTTGAGTGACAACTTGCTCACTGGGGTTTTAGCTCCCTCCATCTGGAACTTGTGTGATGGACTTGTTTCTCTCAGGCTTCATGGTAATTCACTATCTGGGTCTCTTTCTGAACCTGCATTACCAAATTCTACTTGTAAGAATTTGCAATCCCTTGATTTGGGTAACAACAAGTTTTCAGGGAATTTCCCAGAGTCTATAACTCGGTTTCAAGCTCTTAAAGAGCTTGATCTTTCAGGTAACATGCTTTCAGGTCCAATTCCAGAGAGTTTAACCACTTTAAACCTTGAAAGATTAAATCTTTCCCACAATAACTTCACTGGAGCGCTGCCTGTTTTTTATGAAAGAAAGTTTGGTGCGGAGGTTTTTGAAGGTAACAATCCAGGGCTTTGTGGATTACCTCTAAATAGTTGCAATGGAAGGTCTCAATTGAGTCCAGGTGCAATTGCTGGCATTGTGATTGGTCTGATGACTGGAGTGGTTGTTTTGGCTTCATTGTTTATTGGCTATGTGCAGAACAAGAAGAGGAGAAGTAGGGAAGATAGTGAAGAGGAACTGGAGGAAGGAGAGGAATATGAAAATGGTGTTGGCGATGAGGGAGGCAGTGGAGAGAGCAAGCTTACTTTGTTCCAAGGTGGCGAGCATTTGACATTAGAGGATGTGCTGAATGCAACTGGTCAAGTCATGGAAAAGACAAATTATGGGACTGTCTATAAGGCAAAGCTTGCTGGTGGAGGAAATATAGCATTAAGGTTACTGAGGGAAGGTAGTTGCAAGGATAGGAGCTCATGTCTGCCAGTCATAAAGCAACTGGGGAAAGTTAGACATGAGAATTTGGTTCCACTTAGAGCTTTTTACCAGGGGAAGAGAGGGGAGAAGCTTCTTATTTATGACTATCTTCCAAATAGAAGCCTACATGACTTTTTACATGGTATGCATATTTTAACTTTTCTTTTTGACCCTTTCTTATGAATTGTATTTTATCTCATATCTATCTATCATTATATAAAACTGGGATAATTGGAGCCCCTCTTATTGTGATTGATACTAAAATTTCCCTGTTCTAGAACTAATACCTCATAACTCCTTTAATTGTTTGATTTGATTGATACTGTCATTTGGAACCTTACTTTCATTGGCATCAAATAATCATTTGAAAGAGACTCAGAAAGAATAAAGATTTCCAATTTTCAGTACTTAAGACGTGTTAATGGATACAACTTTAAAAGTTCTTTTTGGAAAGAACTATGCTTGGTTTGGGAATGGAATTTGGAAAGAGAACTTGGATTTTGTTTGATATGCAAATTGTGAGGATGAATTTGTTGGATCTTTGTTGCATCTGAGTTTATGGCCGCTGAGTGCAAATTTATTGAATTATTATTGTATATTTCTGATTAAATGCAGAATCAAGAGCAGGAAAGCCAGTTCTGAACTGGGCTCGACGGCACAAGATTGCCTTGGGCATAGCCAGAGGACTAGCATATCTTCATGCAGGTCTAGAGATTCCTATTACCCATGGGAGTGTTAGGTCAAAGAATGTGCTTGTGGATGACTTTTTTGTGGCCAGGCTCACTGAGTTTGGACTTGACAAGCTAATGATCCCATCTGTAGCTGATGAAATGGTGGCCCTTGCAAAGACTGATGGTTACAAGGCACCAGAACTCCAAAGGATGAAGAAATGCAACTCCAGAACAGATGTTTATGCATTTGGGATATTGCTATTGGAGATTTTGATAGGAAAGAAGCCTGCGAGAAATGGAGGGGGCAATACTGCTGTGGATTTGCCTTCAATGGTGAAAGTAGCAGTTTTGGAAGAGACAACAATGGAGGTTTTTGATGTAGAAGTCTTGAAGGGTATCAGGAGTCCAATGGAAGATGGATTAGTTCAGGCATTAAAGCTTGCAATGGGTTGCTGTGCTCCTGTAGCTTCAGTTAGACCCACCATGGATGAAGTTGTGAAGCAGTTGGAAGAGAACAGACCAAGGAACAGATCTGCCCTATATAGCCCTACAGAGACAAGGAGTGAAGTTGGTACCCCCTTCTGAGCTATGTTTTCGAGTTTTTCATCAAATTATGACTTTCATTTGCCTTACTGGTATTAATATCTGCTTGTCGAGTAGGAAGTGGCGGTGAATGATTAATGTTTCTTCAAAGAGGTTATATTTTTCAATGGTGGAAATTTAATCTTAGGGTCTATGTAATTCATGACAACTGATCCCTTAAAAGTTATTGTGGATTCTTAAATAGAAATTTGAAATATGCTCGGCATTTTCTGTACTTACAAACAGCAGCAACATCAAAACAACAGTTTTATTTGCTTTCTTTGAAGTTTGAACAACATCGCTTATACACCACATGACACAACAAAACAAATTAACTTCTGAACATCTAATCTGTGATCTTAACTTGATCCTGCTTCTAATTCAGTGTTATTATTTATTACTTATTGCAATCCATAAATAAACGTGTAAGATATGATTAAAGAATAAGCAAATTGTACTTTTCAGCGCATTGAAAGAGGATTGAAGGCCAACTTATACTTGCTGTGCGTTCTCAGAGAGTTGGGACTTGAAAGTGGATTTTGAGCTTTAAATTGGATCAGAAAACTTTGATTCAGCCCCATTGAAAACAGTTTCAATGAGCGAAACTGCCTGCCTTTGTAGATCACTTCAAACAATTTTTTTGCATAAACCTTCTTTCATTCAAAGGAATTTCAAAGTCAGATGAAAATTTTGGACTAAAAGATTAATTCAGCTTTAACTCTTCTTCTTTCCACTTTTTTCTCAGTTCAATAGGTTCATGGCCTAAACCCTAATCCTTAATGTAAACAAGTTGGCAAGAAAGTGCTACTGCACATGCCTTGAGCCGTCTTCCCTTACAGGCAAGCAATGTGAACCATATGAAACATTAAATTGTATATAATCCAAAAGCTATGCTCACAACATAATTCTGCATCCATGTCCTATTTATGTGCTAACTAATTAAACATAGGAGAGGATACTAGGACAAAAGTACAAAAACAGGGGAAACCGCTAAGGGAAATAATAATTACAAAGAGAAGCAATATAGAAGAGAACAACACTACGGCACCCCAAGCAGGCCGAGGTCGATCAATGGTATTTATGACAAGTGAAATGATCGTATACGAGGGTGAGAAACAGGACAATATCTAAAAATTTTGTACACTTGTCATAGAGGTGAAGCAGATTATATAGGGTTGAAAACTCAGGGAATACTACTATATAAACTGATATATATGGGAAGAAAAGTGAGTTATTTTTCATCTTCGATTTTGGGTTGTGGTGGATAGCGAGGAGGAGACTAATTTGAGAATTAACAGATGCGGCCATGGCGGCAGGAAAGGGCACCTGCATTTGAAGTAATGGTGCCAACGAAGGAAGAGGATTTGGCCCCTAAGCTCGAGGCCTTGGCATAGCTGGCCGCTGCTCCAGCTCCTGATGGAGTAAAATACGCTCCATTTAAAAACAGGTCTCCTTCTGACCTCCAATTCCAATGTCTCCATTGACCATTATCTGTGGCCACTCTCTTTGTAACCTGACGACATCAAATTCAACAAATCTATCATCATTTCTTTATCATAAGGGGAAAATTTGTAGGTTTGTTTTATATACCTCCTTAGCAAAGGGGTTAACAGGGGCAAGGTAGCGGTTGCCCTGGCTGTTAATGGTGGGATTAGCACTTCCACCAATGGCATACATCTCCCATTTTGTGTAGTCATTGTTCACTACATGGAAATATCCATGTCTACACCTGCAAGATTTGGTAAAGAGGGCTGGCTGAGTCAAATTTATGTGAAAAATGGGAAAAATCCTCAAAAAGGAAAGGAGAAATTACAGTAGTGGCCATATTTAAAGTATGTTACCTTGGCATTCTCTGGACAAGACCCTCACCAAAATGATTATAAGCAATGGTCACTTGCATCTGCTTGTCTCTTACGTAAGAGTCACTATGTCCCAACAGCATAACCTGTCATCAAATTTATTTGGACGAATTAATTTAATCCATCTAATACATAAATTAATTAACTTAAAAAAGAGAGAAAAAGATGTATGAGGAAATCTATCTGACCTCATTGTGATGGGTGAAGTAGTTGTTTGAGATGGTAATTGCAGTGGAACCCATTATAGCATCAATAAGTCCATCCGCACAATTCGACAGTGAATTATGGTCAATCCAGATGTGGCTTGATCCAAAAATCGAAATGCCATCCCCATCAGCCATGGTTCTCCATCCGTAATGAGATGGGGAGCTTCGAACCATGGCATTGCCGGTGGGCTTACAGTCATGAATGTAGACTCCATGGATGATAATATTTGTGACAAACTGGATGGTGATGCAGGCCCCATTAGCGATATGCACATCGGCACCACGACCATCAATTGTTTTAAAACTGTTCATTATAAGCTCTTGCTTCAATGTGATCACCATGTCACGCTTGAACACGATCCAAAGAGGCCTGTCTTGGATAACAGCATGACGAAGGGTGCCTGGTTTGGGGTTCACAGGGTCATCATCGCCAGGGTTACTTACCACATAGTACCTTCCATCACGACCACCAATGGCATTGCGTCCAAAGCCAATGCCACAGTTTGCAAGTCGCTTTCGCCTAAGATACCAACGCCGGTCACACCGCCAGCAATCGTCGATTGGATTCCCTGTTCCACATGAAAAATATCCCAAATTTCTCCTTTCCGTGCTATTTCTTATGGTGCTGAAAATACCCAAAAAGATTTAACTCATATTTTATTAATTACTTGAAATAGTTAATTAAGCATTTGAAAATTGTAATAAGATTAAATGGTGGACAATTATTGTGACAAAAATTAATGTGTTTGAAAAGAATTTAATTCTTGATTCTGTTACATACGGTCCATACGGAAAATTTGAAACATTTTTCCTTGACCATAGTTTCCTACCAGTATAAAAAGCAGTAAATGATAAGGTGGGAAATAATAATTCCTGCCTGGTCCTCATCTGCGTCGGTGAGTGCGACAAAGGAAAATTAAAAGATTCAATACGATCGTGGCGGTGTCATTGAATACAACTAGTTTTTGTCACTTATGCAGCTACCTACTGGATCAGTGAAGAATTTAGTAAAGGTTTTTTTCTCTCTGAATGCATGGAAAGGCAGATCTATGATTTGTGGATTTTTCAAGTTCATTGCCATCCTTGACAGACTGTAGAGGAGAACATATTTCAACAAAGGTAAAATCTATGAAATTTTACCCCACTTTCCTAGATATATACATATGCATGATTATATCAGGAATTACACCAACTTGTGGATTGGCAGGATATATTAACTGCTGAGTTTAATCTAGCTGACTGAATTGGCATGATGGTTTTCATTGAAGTGAAAACATGGATCACTTTCAGTACAAAAAAAATTCTAGTTGCACTAAAAAATTTCAGGGTATCAAAAGCATGGGGGATCAAGGACACAAATATTGGCATAAAAGAAATATAAAGGCACAAGAACAATGGCAAATTGGTGTATAGGCAGATAAGGAAGGAATGACAAGACAGCATTAAGAGCGAGACGAGCGGATCTCAGGAAATGGGCATCTACAAATTAAAAAGTGGCCGAGAGAGTAGATTTTGCAACAATGAAGAACACGGCAATCGATTCCTCAAGAATCCTATGTAGAATTATTCTATAGGAAGAACAATTATAATGAATATTAAATCAGAGATTTTATACCTTTCACTGCATAGAATTAATAGTACTACTTATTACCGAGTTAGGTTGCCCCTGCATCTGCTAATTAATTTCAATTCATTTTTCATCTATTTTCTTTTGGGACGAGTTGTTTTAATGGGAGAATGAATGATAGTAGGACGTAAGAGAAGCTCAAGTTCAGTTTACAGCAAGGCTGAAGTTAGATATGGCTGAATTTAGTGTTGAAATCTCAAGTTTTAACAATGAAAGTGGACAAAACATTGGGTTATTGGCTGCAACTGGAAACAAAAACTAGATATGAGATACGTGTCAAGAGTCGACCCTTAGTTTTGACTGATTAATTCTTTTGATTTCCCAAGTAAGAAAGAGAACAGGAGAAGACGGGAGAAAAAGACCTGTCAGAAACTACACATTTTGGCAAGTGGGGGTCCAATTGGAGTCTTCATGTGAATCAATCCTCTTCTCAATTTTCAAAAATTTAACTATTAGGCCAAGCACTAGTAATAATAATAGTAAATAATTAAGAGAACTTTTTATCTAATAAAATTCCAAAGATTATTTTATTACGAACTAATTATGTAAAATAAAAAAGATTATGAATTTGATAATTATGGAGACTCACATATCAACCATAGATGCAATTTCCTCAGGATTGTCAGCTGCGTGCTCATTTATCCATTTATCATCACCAAACCTGAAAAAATAGAAGAAAGTTGAAAAGTGCAAAACTACTTTGGCAATCCCAAAAGCATTAACGAAACAGATAAGCAAAACCCATGTAATGCAATGCACGTTCAAAGGGTGTTTTAGCTTTTTTCAGAGGAGGTTAGAAGGAGTAAGTTAGTTGATCAACTGAAAGTCTGTAACCTTCTTCACCAGGAGTTAAACACCCCATATAGCATTAATTAACGATCCTGTTATGATATCTTATCAGAATTCAGATCCAATCTCAACCGCTTATACTCTTCCCAAGTTAATTACTAGAATTTTACGTTGAAATTTGGTGAAATGGATTACTCACCCGTCTGCCATTGATGTGTTCTTCAAGCCCTGCAACTTGTTTTCTTCAGCAAGCCTGCCATAACAAACACGAGGAAATTCAAAAACCATGCATGTGTATGTATGTGGCTAGCTAAATTTGCGTTGAAAGTGCTTTCCAGGAAAGTTTTCCTGGACTGAAAAAGCTAATGAAGCAGAGAGAACTCAAGCTGAGCTGATTGTTTTCCTGGAAAATATACCTTGAATTCCGCTCTGTTTTCTGTGTTGAGGCCTTGACACAAACGAACAACATGATAAGTAGCAATGCAAACAAAGAGATGAATCTCCGAGAAACCCCCATTGCTGACTCTCTCTCTCTCTCTATGTTACAGTACTGAATATGTTTAATTTTCCCTGTTTGGAAGAAATGGAAGGAGGAAAGAAAGAAAAAGAACTATGGAGACAATGGAAAAACATAAATGGCGCACTCCTTTTATAGGGAAAAAGAAAGAAGAAATAACGATGCATTGGATCGTATAATCATATAAACTTTGCCCATCTCCGTTAAACCATGGTTAAGTCAAATTAACCTCTTTTCATTGACCACGTTAAAAATTTTAACCAAACCAAACCTCACCGCGTCCCTAACCGCCGCTAACTGCAATGAAATTTGACGATACCACGCGTCGATTTGTCCGTCGATCACGTGCCAGTCCATTTCCCTTCTGACACTTCAGATATTCTCGTGGGGTCCATTATTCCACGTCAGCCTCTTAAATTCTTATTGGACGAAAGGTTCTCGTAACGTACTTGCAGGTGACGGTGGAGAATTATAGTCGCTACAAGATGAAAGCCACGTGGCCACATTGACCACGTGGTATCATATAAGTGTACTAGGATTATAAAAGAACTCTGCCAATGAACAGATGTCTCGCAATACTGTACAAATTAAGTAGGATGCATTTCATTTATAATTTTTATTATATTGTTATTTATTTAATTATAATAAAAAAATGTAATCACTCATTTTTTTTATAAATGCAAATTTTATATAATTTTAAATTAAAATTAATTAATTGTAAATAATATAATAATATAATTTAAAATGATATACTCTACCATATTGCTTTGAAACTTGTTAATTAACTTGAAATTAAAAGTAAAAGAAAAATAGAATCAACCATTTGTTTTTCTTGTGCTTAATAATTTTCAAGCATGTTGTCTAATTAAGATTAAACAAATCAACCAATTAAAAAAACCCTTAAAACAAAAGTAAACAGAGAAATCCCTAATGTAAAAGATTATGTTCTTATGCTGTGGGAGACTGCATCTATCTGTCCATAACTTGCATGAGACATCCTTCATGCAATTTAGCATTGAATTTTTAGTTTCCAAATCACTAGAAAAAAAAAAGCAAATAAAAAATTTTATTTTTATTTTATTTCTCTTTATTTATTAAGAATTAGTTATGAGTCATACTTTCTTGTATTAGTGTTTTGTAACCAACATAAGAAAACATAGAAAAAGCAATGAATCTAATGTCGAACTTCCCCCTAACTACACATTCCATATGAAAGTCAAAATTATTGGCTCAAAAGTTTGCATCTTTTAAGCCATTGAAAAAGATTTACATTATTAAATTTTCTACATAATTAATCTTTAATAAGATATACAATAAAATGGGCTTTTTTTTCCCCTTAAATAGTTGAGTAAATAAGAAAATTAAAGTAAAAATTCATTTAAAATTTTTTTAATTTCAAAAAATATATGTTATTAATCCTGACAGTAAAGTTCAATCAATTGGTAATTTCTCTTAAACTTATTAAATGAGTTCAAACAATCACATCAAATTCTTTTTTTAGAAAAAGATTTACCGAAGAAAACCCACGTGCGTGTAAGATCAGATTTTCTGGCAATTAAACTTTGTTGGTAGAATTCCATTTCAATCCGTCAGAAATTCAGTTAATTGGAATAGTAGTATGTTGGATTTTCAACTGTCGATGCCAAAAAACACATGACCATCTACTCCAAAAGTGTTCTTAAAATTATTTTGTTTCCCCTTTCCTTGAATGCTCAGAAAAAGAAAAAAATCAATGGAAAAGTTTATTCTGCGAATCAAACTCCGACCAATCTTGACTAGTCCAAAATTGTAGCTGCTGAAAATTTATCTTCCCTTCACCTGTTTTAGGCCTGCCTAACAAATGAAGTCAAAGTTATCAATGTCAAATTGACATGTTCATTACTATTTCAATAAAATTTTCTGTTCTTCAATTTTATAAATTATGACGAGTGACTTCAGGTTTAGGCTTCCGACCAACTTCCTCTATCAGGTTTGTTCAAGTTGCCACCACCAACATCACATGCATGACTGCTCACCGTCAATCAAGGCCTGGCTGCTTGATTCTAACCTTCTTCTTTGTGCTTGATTGCCCGCATGAATTCAAGTCAATTTTTCTTACAATTGAACTTAAAATTAAGAGTTTCTAGATACAGGAGTTAACAGTTTGGCAAATGACGTTACATAAATTTATAAATTTCAACTAATGCTCAACATATTTTGATTAGAAGGTTGACTAATTTGGAGCCTAACCCTGGTTTTGGACTTTTGCTTTGTTTACCACATTGCAATGCTAGTGCTTAAACAATTGGTAGTACACAATGGTGGAAGCTTGCCATCATGTTACTTTGTTCGCTGCAATTTAAAAAAGAAGTTCACACTTCATATCAAAGAATTTAAAAACCATTTATGATTAAAATGTTTGTTCTTCAGCTTTCCACAATGAATGATCGGTAAAAAAGTTGCATTAAGGGGAAGATATGATTTGTGGGAAAGTGGTTTTGGCATTAAAAATTACACCCACCCTTGTAGTTGAATGTGTTTGGTAAAAGAGGAAGAGAATTGAAGAAGAAACCCTTAGTTGAGCCAATTTTGGAGAAGATAATTAAGTGACTTGTTGTTTTCATGCAGCATTTAGACAGAGATTACAAAGTGGTTCAAAGAAATCAAGCAGAGAAGAGGATCACTCAAAACCTTTCTATTAGATAATTGTATTATTCATAACCAACAATCATGATCTTCTTGGAATTGACCATGGAACAAAGGTAAATGGGTTTATACATACTTTTAAGATGTTCAAAAACTCTTTAACAAATCATTTTGGTTGGTGATAGCAAAAAAGGAAGAAGATGGGAAGCTCCATGATCTCCAACCTAACACAACTGCTTGTCTTTTCAAAAGCTTGATATTTTGTCAGCTCCAACGATGGATTTATGATCAAATGTTACTATGCTCTTTGATTTAGACCTTTTTAGTATGCCAATAAAAACAACACCACAATCTTTTTTTTTTTCAAAAGTTAGCTAAGTGAGATTGTTTTGGCCACTTCAAGAGGCCACTAAAACTCGTGAAACTAATTGCTGCACGCCGGGAAATTAAAAATAAGAAGCAAAAAAAAAAAAAATCAGCTGAAAATATATGGATCAGATGAATCAATATTGGATTTGAAAAGAATATCAATTTCCTCAATATATGGTACTCGTTTTCATACAAATATGTTACTTGTCTGCACTTAACAAGGCCTTGAATATTCTTGATCATGAACTAAGAAATGACATCATGGGAGAAAATATTTGTTTTTCAACTCCTTTGCTTAAAGGAATTAATATTGATTTTAAAGTACATTTTTTAGGCTGTTGGAATTGTTTTCCATTTTTTTTTTAATTCTAGGATGAATCTAGGCTTTGGCATTTTGCATTTTTTTAGTATTAATCTATATGTACGTATACGTATACATTTTAATTAATTTCTACCAAGATTATCCAAATTCTTGGCACATTACAACATGGGCGTTTCATCCCAGAACATAGGGGTAATGGGGTATGGCATGTATACAATCTTTATATGATTGGTCCACATGGGTATCATTTGTTAAATATTTTTTAAGGTCCATGATGATAACATGCAAAATATGGTTCCCTATTTCATGAAAAAATGATCAAACCACATGAGTTTTTTCTTCTTTTTTTTTCTCTAATTCGTTTCTTACAAGCAGTTTTTTCAACAGTCTATAATAAACCAAATCATATGGAATTCCATTTTTCTAGATTAGTTTCTTCATGCCAAAAAAAAAATTGCCACCCAATTGAACCAGGCCAGGCTTCTCTCCCTCCTTAGGCTAGTTAGACCATAGCCCATTTACCCATCCCCATTCACCTAAGAGCTCCAAAAGAATCAAAACCAATCCAAAGCTTTCTAGTGGCCGAGTGGAATTTCTAACATTGGGTTTCTTTAACAAGTCCACAATATACGTGGGAAACGGCTTCAGGTCCTACTTTGTCCTTGAATACCAACATCTGACCCAAGAAAAAGGGGAAAACAAAAGGGGCCCTTTTAGTGCTCTGCTGGGCCTACTAACAACTCTGCCATAGATGGATTCTCAGAAAGAGACAGTTATTCTTTTTCAATGACTTTTTTTGAAAGTACAGTATTTATTGAACAAAAACCGTTTTTTTTTTTTCTAAGAAGTATTGAAGAACATTGGAAATGACTGATATGATTCAAAATGAAGTCATGAAATCTTTTATTGTAAAAACATGTAGTAGAAATATTAAAGCAAAACAATAATAATTACTCAAAAAAAAAAAAGCCATCATTCTCTCTTAGTTCATAAGTGAAGAGATAGGTCAAGCTTTTGATCTTTGTCCTTACGATCAGCTCTTCGAATGCCTTGATGATTTTTATCCTCCGTCATTGCTAGCTGTTGAGTCAAGCCTCTATTGCATCTTATGCTCCTCTGCCAATTCAAGTAACTTTGCTTGTCTTCTTCAAATAGATGATGGTGATATCCATTGCTACTCCCACCATAAAACACCACATTACCATCAAACCTGGCTCCACCATTCGACCCGAGTCTGTCCGATGAATGGTGATTGGGGAAATAACGGAAGTTGGCAGCATGAGCTGTTATATACATCGGAGAGTGTAAAAAGCCCAAATGGTGGCTTGCTGGTGCATAGACCATTGGTAATGCCGGAGAAGATAAGAAGCTGCTGGTTGGTCCATATTCGGATGCCCTTTTAGCATTTCTTGCAGCAGTTCTCTCTTTCTTGTGAGCATTTTGATGGCCTCCCAAGGCTTGAGAACTGTAAAACTTTCTTGAACAGAATAAACAAGGGAAAACCCTCGTTGTCCCATCGTCTAAATTGGGTTGGGAAACTGTCTCTCGATGATCATCTTCCATGCCTGTGGACAAATTAAGATTGATAGAAGTCATCAGTTTTCATGATGCAGAATAAAATAAGACAAAGAAATGGTAGTAATTTATTGAAAAGATAAGAAAATAAAACCTTTGAAAAAGAGAACAAGAAATGGCAGGTATGGGAGAAGTACTGTAGGAAAACTGAATTGAGTAGTACCAAAGCTTTTGGTGGGTGATGATCTGATTAAAAAATAGAGAGAGAGAGTAGGGGAAGAGAGTTCAGAAGCCGCGTTCTCAAGAGTTGGAAAACGTGAAGAGTCTGAATATAATAATTATTAATTGGAGTGCTTGACACAAGAGTAGTGTATGGGCTTGGAAACAGAAGAGATAAGAGAAAAGAAGATAAGTGGCTGGGAATATGTAAGTATTCTCCAAGACGTTTCTGCATGCTGAGGCCAAGTGTGTCATTGGTGGGAAGAAATGTTTTTCTGGGTTGGAAAGTGGAATCTTTCTCCTTCCTACTCCCCTTCTGACAATTATCGTTTTCAAGATCATTTGTGTTTTTCTTTTGCTTTTTTCGCTGGAACTTTAACCCTTCCATCAGTTCTCAATTTGATTCCCTCACTAGTGATATTAGGATAATTCATGTTCTCTACTAGCGAAAAAAAGACATTGTTTTGCCCATGCCTTTGGCATTGCAATATAAGAGGTAGCTTTGACTTTGTGTTACATTAATCTGGGGCTTTTTGTTTCTTTTTTCAAGCTTAAAGACATCCACATGGTAGACACTTGTTAACATTATGAATCAATGGAAGGCAGAGTGTCAGAGGGCTGAGCCTGGAAGATCAGGTTTGTGATCTTCAATGGCCAATGTGGAAGGATTGGGTGCCTTAAAAGCTAAAGTCAGTCCCCACTTGATCTGAAACTGAGTGGTGGTTGCCTTAATATTCAGCACCCCTTTCTGCATGCAAATTGGCTCTTGTGCTGCATTCCTCTGCGCTTTTTAAAATTTTGTTATGGGGTTAACAGAAACTAGTGCTGCGTTTTCCACCGCCAATCCCATGCAATTTGTCGCTTTCAATCCACTCCTTGCCTTGCACTTTCTGAAGCTAACGTGGAGAACCCAATGCGCTTCATCTCGTCTCGGTCCCTGTGTTTCCCCCCCTCGCAGCATCCGTAGGTGTTTTTTTCTTCTTTTTTGCAATGCTGAATCTCAAATAAGAAATATACAAATTCCTGGTCTAATAGTTTAAAAAAAAAAACCAAATTATTATTTATTAGTGAGCTAATGTCTTAAACAACTCTTAAATTATAATAAAATATTTAATACAATATCTAAATTTTAAAATTTTTTACTATAATATTTAAATTATGAATTAATTAATTAATGCAATACTTCAAGTATTATTTTATTTATCGTATCATCTCCGGTCATCACGGGACATCTCCCCCTGAAACAAGGGACAAAAGCAAAGAATCATGGCTAGTTATTAATGGCAAAAACTCACTAGTCATCACCGAATTGGTTCATCTGTAGATGTTATACCATTTTACATTCGATTCAAATATGTTGCTAACTCAAAGACCACAGACTGATCACAGTAACATGAAGGATTGCCGCCCATGATTTTATGACATCACGCTTCCAAATTTTGAAGGCTAGATCACACAAGTATAATAAATGCAACGGCTGGCGGAATGAAAGACTCAAATCCAGCATAGATGTGAAGTCAAAGATTAAAAAAAAAGAAATGGACCTTTTAACTTCGAGATGAATGAAATTTCGTGTTTTACACTAAATGTGTTTTGACCGTAAATAATTACATTTCTGGAAGCAGGGATGGGAATTGGTAGGCGAGGGATTCATATATGTAGGATTGACGTGAGGAAAGAAAGCACCATGGAGTATGAAGGACACAGCAGAACACACAACAACTTAAAAGGAAGAAACAAACATCCATACGGAGATTCAGGAACAACCAAAACATTTACTAATGGAGAATAAACTGGATGGCTCTGGTGATATCTCTGGTTCAGGCTTCATGCGAGGAAGATGCTTAAAAAATGCTTTTACTGCTCCAGTCACCCCATCCTCATTCACCATTGCCTTGGCAAGTTCAATGGCCCTCTCCTTCACCTGACATACTTCTTGGGTGAGTTCATGGTAAATTTTCCAATATCCTCATGCAATCATCATATTACCAATCCTCTGCTTTCAACATTTTTTTTATTAATTTTTTTTACTTAAAATTGTCATCATAGAAACTAGATGATATCAACATCACAGCAGTTAGAATGTAGTCAACTTGTAAGTCTCAAGTTAGAACTTGGAGAGGGGGGAAGAGAGAGATCTACCTCTCTGTGTTGTCAAAGCCCAAACAAGTTCCCACATGCACTGAACCAAAAAAAAAAAAAAGAGAACCAACAAATAGCTGCTTGTGGAAACTCCCCAAGATCAAGCTCTCTTGATAATATTTTACTAGAACTTGGCAGCAATCCATCCCAACCACTGTCCCCCCCCCCTCTGCCCTCCAACTCAAAATAAAAAAAAAGAAAAAGAAAATCCCCCCATGGAATATCCAGAAGAAAATAAAGGAAGTAAGCATAAATGGCTAAATCTAAAATGCCTACGCTAATATAAGTTAAACAACTAAATCTGGCATCTGAAATTCATAATTACCTTTGGGTCTAGCATGAAGTTTATTGCATCGACCAACTTGGGAAGTGAGAATTCATCGACTGGGATGGGTGCAGGTCCCACTCCTCTGGCATGCACTTTCTCTCCCCAGAAAGGTTGATCACCGAAGAATGGTACAATGGTTGTTGGGCACTAAAATTGAGGACAAAATGTGTGGATCAAACAGGTGGACATCAAACGAAACCAAAAGCAGCAGAATATCGTGCAGGCAAAACAATGAAAGCACCTAGCCATGGAACTAGAAGTACGTAAAATAACTGATATTTGCTCTTACCGCAGCTCTAAGACCAGCAGCTGTTGTTCCAGCACCTCCATGATGAACCTGAAAGCAAGGCAAAAAGACAAGATCTTGCCATTCAGAAACAAATAGGAGAGAAAGGGTTTGAGAGAAACTACTTTGAAGATGCAAAAGGAGAGTAATATATGAATTTTAAGAGACCTAAAAGATAACAATTCCAAGGTTAACAGGCATGATCAAACACTTGCACACCCTCATACCTCATGAGCATGTTTTACGGCTGGATGCATGCCTATCTCTTTCTGCAACTTTAAGTTATTTATGCTTTAGCAATTTAGTTCTCATATTATGTGTTAATAATGGCTCCTGCTCTAATCTTTTATCATGACTTCCCTTCGGCCATATGTGCCAAACTTCTTTGACATACATGACCATCATGGTAATTCGAGCATCCACGATACCTTAGATATCCATCAACATATTATATTTCCAAGACCCTCAATGTTTCACCTTTTTTTCATTTCAAACAAAGACCACATATAGATTGAAATATCTAAAAATGTCAAGTATCAACAACATATTGGTACAAAGTACATAAAATAATTTGTTGAACAAAGAGAACTCCACTGATATGACCTCAGTGAGAATCCCTAATCTTTGGACACGTTTCTTCTAAGATGAAAAAAGGTTGCATCAGCTGGTGTCCATATTTCACTTAAGATAAAAACATTGGGATCTACCTCACTAAAGAAAAAACATTGGGATCTCCTTGCCGATAGTAATGATCTTATCACAGAATGCCAGTACAAAAAAGAAAAAAAAAAGAAAAGAAACAATGTTTTTCCAAAAGTAATCAGTTATATTATTCCAGGCAGAGACAAAATGTGAAGTAGGAGGAGGGAGCGGAGCCAAAGTAATAATGGTGTAAAAATATTTAGTAACTTTTTCCCTTTTTTTCAAGACAGGAGGGAGTGAGAGAGACCGGGGGTGGGGGGGGGGGGATTTGCAAATTTGGAACCATGAGCAGAGGACAGAACTTTATTCCCCAATGATAGCTCTCAAAGGAACTTGGAACTATAAACTGTGGCCAAATAAATGACCTAGCATTCCATGCCCATTCCCAGTGAAAAAGAGGCCAGGCTAGGAGTTATAACCACAAAATAGACATGCAATTAATTTATAAAGAAGATTAACGGATATAACAAGAAAGAATCCTCAGAAATGCTCTGTTCTTGTAATATGTGGACTCACCACAGCCATGCATTGCAAGAATAGCCAATCATGAGGGACGTTGTCCAATAAGTAAATATAATCCTTGGGTTCAGTCACTGAGAAAAAAAGAAAAAACAGCTAACCAAATATGGGCACAAGTGCTAGGTTAATAAAGAAATGTTTAAAAACCCAAATAAGAAGAAAAGGAAATTACATTCACCAAGGCCACCCCAGCCTTTATTAATGATACCCCTCTGTCCCGTTTGTTCCAAAGCATGCACAATTATTTGGGTCATTTTTTCTGGTTCTTGAACCGGCTGACATGAGAGAAGGAATTATTCAAAAGATCAGAAAATAAAAAGCAGCTATATCATGTCAAGTAAGTGAAAACAAATCTCATAGCAACCTACTTAACTGTGATATCCATAGTCCATACACTACATTAAGGATAAAATCAGTATATTTTTATGGTTAAAGTGACAGATCTTTATCCAAAGAAAAAGAGGAAAAAATTGCAGTCATCATTGCATTCATCAGGCTTGGCTTTATGTTAGCAACACAAATAACTCATACAAAATTTGCAAGAAAACAAATCCTTTTTAAATCCTATGCTTAACAGAATGGACAAAACTCAAATTCCCTGAGAACACCAACAAAGAGTTCTTTAAATTCTGTTACACCTTTCTATTTCAAATCTAGGATGTTTGTGCTAAGAATTGTACCATGCTCAATTAAAGTAGCATAAAGTGACAAAGAAGCAACCAAATATTAGAAGAACTATAAAGGGAAATAACCATATAACTTCAAACAAACTGCACCTCAGCCATTAGCAAACAAAATGTAGTTGTACAAAGAAATTTTACCATGCCCATAGTAGAAGAGCTAATTAAAAAGATAATAAAAGGTAATCATTCAATGTTTAGGGCTCACAACCTCGTAGCTCATAATGTCAGTAAATAAAGAAGCAACGAAATTGCCAATAGCCATGTGGTTTGTTGGTATAGTGCTACTAGACTTTTAGTTCTAGCGACCATACTTCAATCACTGGCAGTCTCAAATACAAAAAAAGAAGCAATGGAATATTTGGTTGTAACATATGATACCTTTAGAGTACACAAGTCATGATCCAAAATTCTACTATTATTTATGAGCAGCCTCCCTAACTAACATACTTGCAGATGTCTGGAGCAATACAATGCAGGAAACCTCAATGTAAGAAATTAAAAGAGAATAATTTCAAGAAGAAACAAAAAGAAAAGCTTGAAATCTAATAGGAAAATGAGCAGGAAATGACCAAGCACAGCTATACTTAAGGTTGAAAATTTCAAGAGATTTTTTTTAACAAAATATTCCTTAATGGATCCATCAACATTGAAAGCCACGTACTCAGCTTGAATTAAAATGGTTCTCTGGCAAAACTTTACAACCAAAGCCTTGTTAAAATCCTTAATCTATCACTCTATTATATTTGATATTTTGATAGAACTCTAGGCCTGTTAAAGGAAAGGAACCCCATCTCAGGAGACCAAACTTAAGATGTAATTTTCAACCAAGGGAAGCAAGCATTGTACTCCAAGTCTCCAACTCTAATACGAAACCCCTTAGATAAATCTTAGATTTCCTGTAATAGATGGTCCTCAAGATTATTTTATCGTATAGATTATAGAACAAGCAATCATTTTGTGCTTTACATATTAATTTTACTAACACATCATATGTTAAATAGACTTTGAGCCTCGGTGATTTTCTTGGACAATATTTCCTAATGTTACCTCCACAGCACCACCAAACTTCTATCATACCTCAGAATAAATTCAGGCATATGTCATTAAGGTTTCCTAGGACTTTTATATGGTAGTAGCTAGAGGGGCACTAATACTGAAGGATTGAATTGTATGATTAGCAGCATGTTCCCAAGGAACACTATAAGTGCTTGAGGGTCAGGACCACAAATAAAGGGTTTCACTTACTTCAAAAATAAAATAAAAGAGAGAGAGAGAGAGAGAGAAACAAAAATACCCTCAGTGGGAAAGTCAGCATTTGACTTGCAACCATTTGCTATAAACTCTAAAATAAGTTGAGAATTATATTATTAACAGGTAACGTTTACACTGAATTTTACAATGTAAAGAAAAACTTAAAATTGTCAAGTAGGCTCTGCTAGAAATATCTGATACTTAATAGGGGATTGATATTGGCCAACAAATAAATAGGGGATTGATAAGCAATAATGAGTTAAATGACAAAAGAAAGCAAACTCACAAACCACAGAAAAGAATAGTAAGAGAAAAGAAAACAAACTCACAAGGCTACCAAATCCAATATAAATAGGCTTTGGACCAACTTCAAGCCACCTTATGAGTGATTCTGGAGGTTCATAATTTGTTGCAAGATCGAGAAAGCAAAATCCTACCACGTCAATCTTAGGTCCCCAATCTGGAGGAAAATAAATGTATCATCCTTCCATTTGAGAAAAACTTGCCATGTTATGTTATTCTACAATATATTGTTTCTTTTAAAGAAATATCCTAATCCTTTATTAAAAAAGCTGGAGAGAATGAGAACTGAAATAAAAAAAAATTAACAATAAATCCTGCATGCTTAAATAAAAGACCACAGTTATAACTGTTTAAGATTTTCACTCTACAATTAGATCCTAAGCCAACTACCTTTTGGTTTAGGAACAAGGTGAGGACTCCATATGTATCCATGTGGCACATCGGAATCAGAGCCTTGGGAACCACTCAAATATGTGACTGGTCGTAGCTTCAGCTTTTTCTTTCTAACATCATTTATCATGTCCCTTATCCCAAGCCAAATCAGTGAGTCAACAATTTGATAAGAAAGCTGTAGCAGACAACCAAACAATATAAAAAAAAATAAAGTAGGAAAAAATATAAAAAGATAAATATGAATAAACTTCACAGTGCTCACTCGATATCCAGCTGATTGCTTCACACGGGACAAAGGATGTGGAAACTCACTCGTTGGCCTGGAGGAAACAATAATGGATTGTGCAAAGCAGTCTGAGAGTGCCCATTAAACCATGTAATAGAACAACAGACTGATACAAAACAAGAAGAAATGACAACTGTAAACTGCTAGCTTAGGAGATGTTAAAGCAACATCTAGCTCAGCTATAAAAAAACATTACCCAGACAAGACTTACGTCCATGGCATCGTGAAAAATATATGAAGTGGTACTTGTAATGCCTCTGCGACATGCGTATGCCCTAAAAAGCATAGCCAAAGTTTCTATCAGAATATTGAACCAGTAAATACAAGTATGAATAAAATACTCCTAGTCCAGAAACGAGAAATAATAGAGGATAATAAGAGAAACCACATGATATTTTCCCACCAAACTTGCTTCTCAAAGAGAGAAAATAGAACGAATTCAGCCTTGAAAGATTATCTATTCTTTATACTGTTAAAGCAATAAATATAACAGGAGAAGCCCACCCTTGAGCCTGCAGATAACTGCCATGACATTCATTAACATGACAAGGCCTATCTTTTGTCTAATGCATTCGGATGCAAATCATCATCCCTTCATGCCTAAATTTATAGAGATGAAGTTTATACCGGAACTCATGAAAATTAGTAAATGCTGCAAAATTTCAAATCATTTGGCAAGCCAAGACAATGACTTCCTATCTAATTAATTGCCCATTCAAACAAAGAGGGTGAGAGGGGAGGAAAAAAATAAACATACACATACAAAGTTAAGACTCCAGCAAGATAGCAAAATAAAGTTCTAGTCGGAAGTTATGTAAACCATTCTTGCCTTTTACAGTTTATAATTTTTGAATGGAGATAAATGCTATGTAAGCACGATATATGATTTTTGATACACCACAACTATGCTTATGCCCTTTGCAGCACATGCTTCGTCTGAAATTTTGTGGGGCAGTTGTCTGACAACAGGGTGGGCTCATTAGGAATCTCCTTGTTCCACATTACAGTTATGATTTGGTATTAAACTTTCACTACATCATACTATGACATCCAAGAAGTTAAAAGCAGAGTTCTAAAAGGAGAAAATCTAATATATTTTCTTCAATACTGCTGAAAGTCCTTTATGCATGCATGAGAAATAAATGCAAAGACCAAAGATCCATAGTAAGTTGAAATTGAAACAACAAATCTTAGACAACCACAATATTTCCATTATACAGAGTGCTAAAATGACAAAATCTAAAATTTTGCTTCAATACTGCTGAAAGTTTGTGCATACAAGAGAAATATATGAAAAGTCCAAAGATCCACAATAAGTTGAAACCGGAACACCAAATCTTAAACAACCACAAGATTTCCATCATACAAACTCAAAAACATATACCGTCATGCACAAGTATAAATAACACCACTATGGCTTGAAACGTAATGAAATCTAACCGCATGCTGGGGGATTGGCAATGATTGCATCTGTCTTAAACGGGATACCAGAATCAGGATCAGGTTCTTTGCAAGCAGGAAGCAGAGAGTGGATAATTTCCTTTATTTGATGACGTTGAATGGGTATCTCAGAAGGGCCTGACGGCAAGAAGCCTTTATTTTTAACCATATCTGCTCAGGGGAAAAAGTTGAGAAAGGAAATCATTAAGAAGCCCTGCTGGAAATCCAAACTTCTGACAACTAATCGCTTTAAATTTAAGTCAAATATTGCTTTATGCATAATGGAGAATCTTCAACAGAAAACCTACATATTCTATACGAAGCTGTGTTATGGACAAATTTTAAAATAACCAGAAGGGTCCCATGCTGCAAATATGCATAAAAAACATCTTGCAATTATGTACATGTTAAATGCTCTTCAAGGTACTAATCTGAATTACATAAAGGAACAATCTGAAAATAATCTTATCAGAATCCATATAAGGTTACACCAGAAAGTTATCAAAGAATGTTTTAGTTACATACAACCCGCAAGAACTTTTGGATCTCCACCTAATGGATAGAACTCAAGCCCAGAAGTCAGCACAAAGTCTCTGAAATTTGAATGAGTTGCCAATCTTACACGATGGCCATAATCCTGCATGGAAAACATTCTTTTCCCAAGGTAACATTTCAAACAACCGATAAAAAGGATTGAATTTAATTGTTTCACATTTTTCTTTTCATTGCAAAGCAGTAAGCACAAACTTGTAAGCAAAAAGTAGTATGCATATAGTTGCCAATATGCAGGGTTTCAAAAGGAACATATACCCTATGAGACAAAATGCAAAACTGGTACTGTTACCATCTTTTGCAATTATACGCCAATAAAGGTTTCAAAAACTTAAAAATTTATTTATTTTAAATGTCAAAAATGAAATAAATTCAGGGAAATGAATTAAGACAGTGGCAAACAAAGAAATTCAGCACAGCGTAGCATTCTATATTTCATAAGCAACAGTATTGATCGGTAAGGGCAAGCAATGCTTTGATCCTGATCAACAAAAAACTACCATAAATAATCATCACCCCAGAGCTACACTTCCGAAGTCTATAAGCAAACTGCTCATAACAGAGCTTCCTTCTATGGACCATAATAGATATTGTGTTTCATCTAGTTTACCCTAATCAATATGAGGAGCAAGAAGCATTTCCTTAATCTTCAATATAGAGAAATTTATTTTAGTGTGTGTGTGTGTGTAGCGAGAGAGAGAGATAATAAAAACAAACAAGAGTAATAATTCAGTCTTCAACTTACTGGTTGCAACTGAAAATTGTTCCATTTTCTCAATACATACATGTTACCAGAAAGCCCAAATGAGGGTTACAACAAAGTTAAAGGTTTTAAACATACCTCAAGAGATATTCATATTATTAACTGGAAACAATGAAAAGGGCCTCATAAAAATAAAATACTTTCCCAACCTGAAGACGTTTGCCAATTGCAACAAATGGCTGCACATCTCCACGTGTACCAACTATAAGCATCACTATTTGCAGTGGTGGAATACACTGAATATCATTTTCAAGTGACTCTTCTTCAGCAACTTCAGAATATGCATCTCTTGGTACACCAGCAAGCGCATGGGGCTCAACATCTACTGGAACTTCAAACTCCACAGTCCCATCTTTCACAGTAACCATTCTGTTAAACAATTTAAGCTGCACAAATTTATTAGATTTAATAACATTGCCAGATGCACAAGTCTCAAAAGATCAAGCTGTAACACCATCCAAGAAAACCATTCATCAAGGCAATCCATAACAATAATCACTGAAATACCAATGATGATGACAATAACAACAACAGCAACAACATTAAGAAGACAGGGCAAATCCCCATTAATGATTCGGCCTTTCCATGACAAATGAAGAGATTATTAAACTACACCATTTAGATAGATCTTACTGAATATCCATATCTGTGCTAAATGTTAATCCATCCTAGAAAAATAACTCCTAGCCTTGACAAGAATAGTATTTTAAAACCACTCAAGCATATCTATATTTAGTACATAAAAGAAGAGAAAATACTTAGGACTCTAGCATCTCCTATGAATTTTGTCTTGTTGCTATTACCATCCCATAAATTTCCATACATCTCCCTTATGTCCTCCCACATGGAGGCACTGCTATCTCAAATTGTTAAGAGTGCATAAATGCTATTGTTGAATTTATTGTAAATTTAGTACGTTTACTAACATGTATGTAATTCCAAACAATCAATGACAACAACATTTTGTTCTTATTAAGCAAGAATTTAGTTAATAAAATATACATATGTACTTAGACGCATAAAGAAATCAACTTAAACTACCACTAAATTCATAAATACCCCTCAAGTATGAAGCACGAATTTGGACATGACAGATTCACATGATGATATGGACACCACAACAGAAAATTTCTCAAAAATTTAGGATATAAACAAGGGTTGGATGCTTGTGTATTATTATAAAAAGAAAAATTTAAACACCATATATTCCTTTCGATAAACATGAGTTATGAAATCCTTCACACCAATGGAAGCCTGATAGACATAGCCAATTTTAAAACCTATTATATAAACTCATTTTTTCTCTTACTCCTTCAAAGATGCAGCCCATTTTTTGTAGATAATAGAATTCAAGGAGCATTCCATCACATCATTTTAAATCTCTCGGTTTTCTCCCTTTTCATCTCTAATCCGATCCTCCTGCATATAGATCAGAGCCACCAACGGCCAAAGTAAGTCATGATTTAGCCACTGTTTATAAGGGTGAGAATTTTCTCTCTGTGTAACAGGGTATCTCATTCTTTTTGTAAATGATGGAAATGTTTCCATTAGCTCAGTAGCATATCCATAATTTTTAAAAAAATTTTCCAGCATATTCATAGTTACGATTACTACATGATGTTTTGGAGGGAAGTCATGTTAGTGCTCCAAAACCCTTACTCAATCACCCATAATGAATAAAATGATGTAACCATCCTCTTTAACCATTAGTTATTTAATTCTTCCACCAAAAACTTACATGCATTTAGGTATTTAAAAGCTCTTAACAAAGAATTATCTAACTGAGACAAAATTAAATCAACCAGTGTCATGCAATCATTCTTCAAAAACATCTAAAACTGAAATAACAGTCATGCAGAAGAAAGCAAATTGGTGTACCATAAATACAATTTGAGACAAAGGGGAGTGGTATAGGTTATTCATCCAGAAAACTTAATACCTTCTGTTGGGCAGACATCTTATTGTCAAAAATCAGCGCTGCCTCTTCACCAAATATGTTTCGATGTCTTTGTGCCTCAGTTTTTGATTTATCCAGTTTAAGCTGGCTTAAATCCAATTTTTCAATGTTTGAAGGGCCCACAGGCAATGTTCCAACCTCAGAAAAACTTCTACGAACGGTGCCTGAATGTAGTAAGAAATATATGAATTTAAACCGGTACATAACAAAGAGAATACATATCATAAAGTTTAAGCTTAGTTAAAGATTAATCCTCTGAAAGCCTAAAACTAGGACTACAGCCCCATGATAGAAATTGCAAACTTCTCCCAACAATAGCTCTCTGCTAGTTCTACCAAGTGTAAGCACTTGCCTCTTTGTAGACAATTATACCCAAATGGAAGAAAAAGGAAAAAAAAAATGTTTCCTGACAGTTCCACCAACTTTCAAAAATCCTCCAGAATGAGCAAAACAAGCCAATTCTTAAATCTTTTCTCATGTAAAATTCAAAACTTAGCAACTAGATTAGCATCGTGTCATCATCCAGCTTTAAAATATTAAGTATCATATACAGAAACTTCAACACATCGACCAGATGCCTGGGCATGACCATAATAATCCTCCTGAGTGAGCAAAACAAACCAACTTTTTAGTACTTTCTCATGTAAAATTCAGAAAATAGCAACTTGATTAGCATCGTTCAGTATTAAAGTGTTAAGCATCACATCCACAAAAGAACAGGAGAGAGCATTGGTAAATGTAGCACATGAGCAATACATTTACACTTCATTTAGTGGGAGAAGGAAGAAGGATAGAAGATAAAGGTGAGTACCATTTACTAGTTAAGTTTGAAGAAACTAAAAAGAAGGGGAAAAGGGAGGGCTCTTCCTCATTCCATGCTTAGAATATCCAATTCTTCCACAAACAGGATGAATGAAAGACATATTTCCACTCATTAAAATGAATTCTTGTATTTGACATTCTATCCCCTATCCTTCCCTCTCCTTCTATTTTATTCCTCTCACTCCTAATTTCCCCTTCCTCTCCCCTTTTTCCCCTTTCCTTTCTTTCTCCTTTACTTTTCTCCAGCCAAACATAGCATCGATTTCCTTCCTACATGCACATCTATGATATCTTTTTCTACACAAAAATTACAATACATTTGCCTTATAAAAGCAATATCCAATAGAAAGGCTCTAATGCCTAAACATACCACCCACTAAAGACATCTAAATCCTATAAATGTGTAAGCCAGTGCTGGACTGTTATTGCAAATGATAAAGAAAAACTACCAAGTACCACCCAATAAATAGTAGCAAATTAGACTATCAAATTTAACAAGAAGGAATAATCATCGATGGGTAATATGCAATTAGAATTGCCACACATACAAAGTTCAACGATAAAGTCAAAATCAGGTCTAAATTTCAGTCAAGCTTGACCAAGTTAATCATAGACAAAGTCCACAAAGTAACTGTGCAATAAAACGTTCGAATTTTGAATTCTATTACTAAAACGAAGCGAAAGTCACGTGGGGAACTCAACGCACCTGAAGACTCGGCGCCACAGTTATTCATTGCAGTGCGATCAACTCCAGCGCAAGAATCATCGCCAGTGGCTGCTTCCGTGGGGTCTCTGCTACTATCCATAGCCTTATCATCGATGCATATTTCTTGCTCGATTTTCACCGGAACTTCTTCGGCAGAGGAAGAAGATGAGGAAGACGATGAGTTCCGGCGATGCTCCGGCGACGCCGCCATCAGCGACTCCGGATAGCTCCCTCGGTCGACGAAGTGAACTCCTTGTTCGCTCTCCATATCTGCTCAAATTCTTTCAACAAAGTATTTCTCGTCGTGATCTGATGAGTGTTTGGATGCCGATAATCTTTTTTCTCGGAAGAAAGTCGGGAACCTCGACAGAGAAAGAGAGAGAGAAAGCGAGAGCACGTTCGGATGCGTGGGGGATGGGTCTGCTAAACATGAATATTTAGTTGCGGGGGATTCCTGACGTAAGCAAACTATCCATCTGCAGGGATATTTTGGTCAATTCCTGTCTTGAGAAACCTGGATTCGAGGTGAATGAATTTTGTTACGTCGTAAACTTGGTTAGGTTAAAAGCACAATTCTTGGCACGAAAAGGAAAAGTGTTGGAATAAAGGAAATAAAGGAGAAAATTATTCTTTACTTAGGCTTTTAGCATGCGAGATCTGATACACTCATAAACAAGCAACGAACATGTAAATGTGAATAAACAAATGAAATGGAAAAAAAAAAGATTAATCTATTAATTTAATCAGTGTTAAATTCTGAGTGAAAAAAATATAAAATATAAAAAAAGTGAAAAAAAATTATTGTTAACTATAAAAATAGTGGTTATGATTTCAATTGAAAGTTTGAATATTTTTAAAATAAATTAATTAAAATAATTTAAATATTATATTTTTAAATTACAATTGTAATTAAATATTTTATCAATATAATTAATTAAATAATCAATTATTATATCACAATCAAATTATAAATAATTAATTAATAAATTAAAATATAATTATTTAACCATGCGATAAGATTTGAATTTAAAATTTTATTAATTTAAATAAATATATTTAATATTTATATTTATATCTTTATTATGTATTAATTATGATATATTTAAAATTCTAAATTTATTTTTTATTATCTTGCTTTTCTTGGGTAAGGTTTTTATATTTATTTATACATAAATAAATTATTATTATTTATTTTTTATAGTTTAAATTCTACTTGTATACAAAAAATCTTTTATTTCAATTGAAAGATTGAGTTTTATAACAGTGAACGCCACCTAAATTTTTTTATTCACGTAAAGGATGAATTGGCTTTGTAACTTATTTTGTAATCAAACAAAATTATTTTTAAAAAGTCTTAAAAATTTTTCTTTTTTTTTCTTCTTTTTTGCTTTTGGTTCCTTAATTTAAATCTATTTAAATTTACAGGTGAAATAGAGTTGAGTTAAGATGCATTTAAATGAGTGATGAAATTAATTTTGATGATATTAAAAATAGTGATGAATGTAAAATTAATTATTATAATCGTAAGATTGAATATTATAATTGTGAGATTAAAATCAGTGATAAAATATATATTTTGATGTAAATATAATTATAACAGTGAGATGAATTATATTAAAAAAATAAATAATTATTAAAGATATTATATTAAAATTTATATGTAATAAAATTTTTAATTTATAAATAATAATATTTTTAATTATTAATATAATAATAAAATGTATTATTTTATTAATTTATTATATAATAAAATTTACTTTTATATTAAAATTAAAATTTTTATTTTATATTTTCTTAAATTAAAAAATATATATATATTAATAAATAAAATAGTTTGGACAAAAAGGACAAATAACACCGCCGATTGGCCGCTAGAAGTCTCCCTCTCCAATTACCAACTAAAGCTGCGGGTCAAGAAAATTTCTGTTCTCGGAAGGAGAGCCAAACAAAATTAGCATAGGATCAAAAAGTGACACCAACAGTGCCGCACTAAAGCTTTTGTAGCTTCCAAACGAGCCCTTAATTTAGTGAGGAATTCAAGTTCAACTTCGACTTAAAATTGATTATTTGAGACTTAATTCAAGTTTGATTGAATTTTAATTTTTAAACTTAAATTTGACTTATAATAAAAATTAAATTATTTAAATTTTTTTAATTAAATTTTTTTTAAACAAAACATATGTTCGATTTTTATATTTTATTTTAAGTTTGAAGATTTATGTTTAAATTTGAATTCAAATTGATAAATAAGAGTAAAATAATAAATTTTAAATTAAAATTATTAAAATATATATTAAAATATAAAATTTTGATAAAACTCATGAGCTACTGAAATTAGATATTAAGATGCTTGAATTTAACTTATTTGATATATTAAGTTGTTTGAATTCGACTTAATGATAATAAAATTAAATTCGAATTTTATTCAAACTAAATCAAAGTAACTTGTAAACAATGATGTATCATTTACACCCTATTTATATAATTACCTAATCGGATCAAGCTTATCAAAATTAAATTCGGGATGTCAAAAATTGTTTCTAAATGGGTTGAAATACTTATCTTTACACTTATTTTTTTAATTATCTTTATGTAAAATTACTTAATTAATTTTTCTCATATCAATTTTAAAGTTTCAAGATATACATGTGGTAAATATTATAACTTATCAGTAAATAATATAACTTACCAATTTTTCATATCCAATACATTACATTTAGAGTTTAGGAAAAAAATTTAATTGAGGATAAAATCACACATCTTGAGAATTTTTCATAATATTGTAAAAAATAGCACTACTTTTTTTAAATAATTTAAGCTAATTTATAAATTGATAGATAAAAAACTTTTAAAATTTTTGAATTTGCAAATTCATAAGCTTAAAATTGACTTAAAAGTGGGAATGAGTTTGAGAAAAAGTAATTAAATAATTTTATTTAGGAATGATTTTGAAATAAAATAAAGATACGAAGAGCAAAAAAAAAAAAAAAAAAAAGCAAATAAAAGCTCATTTGATTTAAAAGAGATTGGATACAGCTTAAGATTGAAATGTTTATTTTGAGGTTGTTCTTGCCTTACTAATGTATAAAATGTAATAACAAATATATTAAAAAATAAATGATAAAAATTAACAAAATAAAATTCATATTTTTTCATTATTGTGTATTAATATATAAGGATGATAATGATTCGAATAAAATCATATTTGATTTAATTTTTTATAAATAATAAATATTATTATAGATTTTCAAAATCTAATACGAATCTAAATTGACATTATTTATAAACCGGTTTTATACGAATCAAATTCTATCAACTTAGTTCATAAGTTTTTGAAATTTATTTTTATATATATTTATATTATTTTAATATAATTTTTAATATATTTAAATAAATTTAAATATAAAATAATTATTTGTATTTTATAAAATTTAAAAAATATATATTTCAATTTAATTATGATTTTTTTATTTTTCAATCCAAAATTTCGATTCAAAATTAATAAAAATATATAATTTCAAAACTTAAATCTAACCGAATTAAAAAAAAAAACGCGATTCAATCAAACAGAATGATTCGATTTCTAAACCTACTGCTGATCCATAAGCGGGATATCCAAGTAGCCATTTTATGCTGGGTCAAGTCCTACTACCTGTAAGGTGTTGAGATGCCTCGTCGTTTGTAGGCCTGTTATACATATATCCAAATGGAAATTTAAGCAAGTAGGCCTTGGCCCATTAAGTGTTGGTTCATATTAGCAATTCAGCACCATCACATAATTTGATGCTAATCTAGAATTTGCCTCAAAATAAAAATAATGATACTTTCTAACTAAAGATCATGGAGATTTTGATGGGTTTGGTTGCATTAGTTTATCAGCACTACTACTAAAAAAACCTCTTTAGCTAAAAGCTCAAATCTAGTACTCCTGGAGAAAGTGTAAGCATTTAAATATTTTAATACTTTTGCTTAAAAACAAAACACAAAAATTATTTAATAAAAAATAAAATATCTATTAGCAGGCGACAGATAAAAATGTCCATAGACAATATCAAATCGAATCTAAACATAATATTAATGTTAAAAATCTTTATATAAATCAAACTCGGTTTGATAATTCGAATATCAAATTTTGTTTAGATTTTACTCAATTTATTTAAAAAAAAAACTATTACTTTTCATTTAATCTTTAAGAAATTTATTTTTTAAATAAGTTTAAAAATATCAATAACTTAATATATAACTTTACGATATAAATTACTATACAATTATTAAATTCACATTTTGATCAAGTATAGGAATGGATTATTAATTTGACCAAAATTGTTAGCTTGCTTGTTTTTAAAGAATATTTGTTATGATTATACCATATTGAGGTTTGGATACTAATAAATAAGAAATTGATTATGGTCCAATTACACCAATTACTTACAGCCAATTGGAAAAGAGAATGTTGGTTTTGTTGAGCAAGCACTAAACTATCAAATTTGTGCTGTGGTTGGTGCAAGTAGTTAAATTTTAGGGTTTGAATATAAATTAAACAGGTTTAAATTTTTTATAATATTTTATTGATAAATTATTTATAAATTTAAAAATTTTTTAAAAATGCATAAATCTTTTTATAAATTGATAACTTGCTCTAATCTTAAAAATGAAATAACTTTTTATACTCCTAAACTTTTCTAAAAGAAAAAAAAAAAAAAAAACCATCGAATTTGTCTTCCATAAGAGGAAAAGTTGTAAGTAATGGACGACAACGAAGTGACGTCACGAGCATATGGACAACGAGATCTCAACTACCACAAAAAAACAGGCCTGTATATGAGATCTGAAAGGAGAGAAAGCGTTTGGTGCTGAGTCCACTGACACAAATGAAATTCTGATCTGCAATGACAATCCATGCCGATTGCCTCCCACTTGATGATTTTCCCATTTTGGCCTATGTTTTGGTCACCCTTATGAATCAGTGACGGCCAAAATTAATCACACTCCACAACTATGTTTTAGCGACATCTTCCCGTCGGCCAAAACATTGATACCGTAAAAATATCATGTTTAATGTGAAGTCTTTGGTCGATTACTATTTCATCAAAACCTTTTTTTTTTTTTATTTGATTGTTTTTGAAATATAAAATTAATTACTTGGCACATCGTTACATAAATATAGAAAGAAAAACAATTTACGGGGCAATATAATGATTTTTGTAATTAATCAACATTTAAAAGTTTATTATAAATTGAATTTAGAATATAATTTAATTAATTTATAAAATTATTTTTAAATTATATTCAGTAAAAATAAATTTTAAATTTTAATATCTGTAAACTATAATCTTTTTTCATAAAAAAATATACCATAAGTTGCACTGAATACTTAATTAAATTAATTTATATAATTATTTTTAAAAAATAAAATTTTTAATTTCAATACTTATTATAATTTCTTTTATTTACAAATTAAAAACATCCTTTTGTACTATAAAAAAAGAGTCCACCATAAGTTAACTTTTGAAAAAAAATTTAAAAAGTTTTTTAAAGTTAAAAATCTTATCTTTAAATATCAAAATTAATATGAAGTGAAGCAAGGTCTGAATAATTCAGTAACAGTTCATCAAAATAAACTATGCTACTAAATCTTACAAAAATATGACAAAAAATTCAAAAACATTTTGTAAAAAGGAAAAAGAAAATACACTTCTATATAAGTTGAAAAGGTCCGAGGGCATTGGCACTTTCCTTTCTTATTTAATTTTTTGCGGGAACTTTTTTGAAAAGAAAAGATATGAGATTAAAAAAAAAGCAGCAGAAATTTTCAAAAAAAAAATTGAGGGGGTAAATGAAAAGGAAAGCGAACTTTCCGAGCTCCAAATGCCAGAACTCCACGTAGGAAAATGGTTACAGCTAAAAACCGAAGATGTTAAGAAAATAGTATTTAATTTATTTTATAGTATTTTATAATTTTAACGAGGAGCGTCGATGGCGCTTAATTCTCGGCGATGTCATCTTTCGCATGCCTGAGATTTTCACCTGCTGCAGGCGTAACCCATGCTCTCTTCTCCACCATTTCCAATTTCTCATCTTTATCCATTTTTTTTCCACCTCTTTTTTCTCTTTTCAGCTTTCGGCTCTTTTTTTGACTCTCTTATTCAATCCAAAAAAAAAAAAAATAATTTTCATCATCATAGTCTATAAATTGTGAGCTCAAAACATGGATTTTACAAAGCAGATTAATTATCAGGTACCGTTATTTTTTAATTTCGCTTAATTTCGTTTATATTTTAAAATTTTGATGGATATGCCGTTGTGCTTTGTTTGATATTTTGCTGATTATGTATTTATTTACTTATCTTTGTTTTGTATTTGATTTTTTTTAGGTTTCGCTGTATATAACTCTGAGCGACGATCATGAAGTATAATTATTGAGTATATATGTTTTTCGAGCTAGAGGATTGGTTTGCGTATATTCTTGCTTTTGGTTTTGGATCTATGGTAATCTGATTGGTTCTGGAATTTGCAGAAGAGAGAGGCATTTGTATGATTAGAATTCTAGCTAAATTTTGGCCTTGGATTGAGGGATGCTGACATCTTGTGCTTAATTTGTACCTAATTTTTGTGAAATGGATTTGTAAATTAGCGATCGTCTTTTTGTTTCGTAAATATGTGTTGGATTCGATTGAGACAATTGGGTTGCAAATAGAAGATAGGATGTTAGTGACGTGTGAGAGTGTGTTGGTTTTGATTTGAAGATTTAGGCATTGGAGGTAGTGTTTGTAGGCGTTGGGGGAATACTAGATTTTGACTGTGAGGTTGTGAAAGTTAGCTGATATGACAATAGCTTGATTATGCATAATTGGTTGGTGGGTTGAAGAGGAAAAGAGTGTCTCACGGAGCTAAGATATTGTCTTTATGCAAGTAAATAGACCTGGGAACTTGTTGGGGAACATGATCAGGGAGGCGGCTAGCCCATTTGATCAATTGATTCTGAAAGAGTCTACATCTGTTGTTGCTAATGTGGGAAAAAATGTAAATAATAAAAATATCTCTGTACAGACAGGTGAGGAATTCTCCATGGATTTTCTTCAGGAGTGTGTTGGCACAAGAGCAACACCTGCTGTACCAGGTGCTGCTTACATACATGAGAAGAGAGTTGGGTTCAATCAGAACCAGAACCAGCAGCTGGGGTACCAGGATCTTGCCCGAATTCTTGGGTTGGAAAGAGTGGATTCCGAGTGTGCTTCTGATGTTTCTGATTTTGCATCTGCAAAAGGGTCTTTTAAAGGGAGTGAAAATGGGTCTTGTGTTGAAAAAATAAGTAGATACCAGAAGGAAGATGGTGATATTGGACAAGTGGCAAGGAAGGCTTTTGGTGAATTGAATTGCGATGTGAGCCATCCAAATGGTTTTGGACCAACTACTACACCCATTTATGTATCTGACTCTCCTAGTTCCAGCAACTTTAGGGGGCAAGGAGCTTCTGATGGATCTCAATCTGGGAAAATGAAATTTCTCTGCAGCTTTGGTGGAAAAATATTGCCTAGGCCTAGTGATGGAAAACTCAGATATGTTGGGGGAGAGACGCGCATTATTTCCATTCAGAAGTGTCTTTCTTGGGAAGAGCTTGTGAGGAAAACTTTAGATATCTGCAACCAACCTCATTCAATCAAGTACCAACTTCCAGGTGAAGATCTTGATGCCCTTATATCCGTGTCTTCTGATGAAGACCTTCAGAATATGCTAGAGGAATACCATGGGCTTGAAAAGCTTGAAGGTTCTCAAAGGCTGAGGATAGTTTTGATTCCTTTTGGTGAATCCGAAAATGCATCTTCTCTTGAGGCTAGCATCATTCAGCAGAGCAATCCTGATTACCAGTATGTTGTTGCTGTTAATGGGATAGTAGATCCTTGTCTTATGAAAATCTCTGGTGGGCAGTGTTTACCCAGTGAAGGAAGTCAACTAGGACCGGCATTGGATCATAACCCTAGTTTCCACAAATGTTGTCCCACTTCAGTGATCCCATCGGAGACTAAGGGTGCTTTTAATGCCTTGCATCCATCTCAGATTTTCCATGATTCTCAAAATGCAACCAGGTTGCCACTTCCATCTCCTCCTATTACTCCACTACCTTTCCAACATGGAGGTTCCAACAGTGTTTGTGCACAAGCATTTGGTGACAACTCCAGCATTGAAAGCAGTAGTTCCTTCATTACGGCACACTTGAATCCTGAGAACTGCGGCACAGAAATTCCTAACTATAAACATGCCCAACAGGTTCCACCTGATTTGATGAATTGTAGTCACCCTTATGTAAAGGTTGATGCCAGCCAGACATACCAAGCATATGGAGGGCAGTTACTAAGCCCTAATCCCAGGGAAGATTCTCTGACTCTTTCAGTTTTAAACAAAAATAATAGTGATTACAATTGTGTCTCACATGGGAGCTCTATGCATAAGGAAAGATCGTATCTTTTTGAAAAGCCTATCTCACATGCTGATGATCCATTGAGTCTGTTGTCAGGATCTGTTGATTCCATTGATTCTCCCCCAAGCATGTCACATGCATTTTCCGATCCAAAGCTGCAGGAGCACGGAGGGAGATCTGCTTACTGTTCACAAGAAGGAGCAAGCCTATCTTCCCCTTTAAATTTTGCAAAAACTCAACCACCTTCCCCTCTTGTTTCAAATGCCATGCAGGAAAGGTTGATGCAACAACATGATAACATTGATATTAGGAAGCCCAGGGCACAAAATGATTTGTCAGAAATTGAATCCACATCAAAGTCAACATGGGATATACTGAGTTCTTCTCCAAATCCTGAACCTTCTTGCAGGAATACACCTATGCATCAGGCTACTGGCGACAGTAATGACAAATGCCAAACAGCTAAAATTGATTTGAATAAATGCGGTTTCATGACACCGAATGGTTATGATGAACATACTGCAAGCTTGGATGCCAGGAACAGGTCTGATAAAAATGATCCATTTTTGCATCAAGGTGGAAAGCTTTGTCAGGGTAGATCCCCTGATTGCTGTATGGAGTACAACAATAAATTGTCTAATGCGGACTGCAATCAGACTTCTGGTTTTGCTATTGATACTTGGAAAAAAGATTCACAAGTTCCTTCATCCTTGGCTATAGAAAATAACATAAAGCATCCACAGACCTTGGACAAAATCACATCTGATATACTTGAATGTTGTGGTTTCAGTGGGAAAGTAATTGATGGACGAGGGAGCATTTCTTCTTGCAGTGGGAACCCTGAAGTCACATGCTTATTTCCAAAGACCATAAAAGACTCAAGAGATGAGTGTTCACTGGGTGATCTTATCTCTGAGTCATTGAATGGCCCAATTTTGCATGAACCACCACAATTGCAGTGTGTTGCAAGTCAAAAGGATATACCAAAAGAAGATATGCTGATGGGCTCAACCAATTTGCATCCATCTCCAGTTCATGTTGACTCTGGTCTATGCTCAAACTTGCACAAGGATGACCTTCATGCTATGTCACAGAATCCAGCAAACAATGCAGTTTTTAGGAGAGAGGTTTCTCTCATTGATGATGACCTTAATTTTCCCAATCAAAATGCTGAGAAGATAGGATCTTTGCATGAGAATTCAATTGTAGAAGATGTTAAATTTGAGCAGACAGAACTCTCAAGCAAGAACAAATATCAATTCCAACCACAGCCAGTAGTTAGTTTGGAAGATGTGGTCGCTAGTGTGCCTTCTGGGATTCAAGTTCCATCTGCAGTTGTCCCACGTGTGGATGTGATAAGCAGTGATATTGTATCTCCTATTGCAACAGAGTTGGAGGATGTCATTCCAGAATCTAAGTCTAAGGTAAGATTTGTTAAATTTTGTCACGTACATCAAGTTTTATAACTTGTATAGATGCCCGTAAACTTAGGTAGTTTAATGGCTTTGTTCATAGGACGCTACGGTTGATGCTCGATACAAGGATGAGTGCTTCAGTGATGCCTTGATAGCTGAAATGGAAGCCAGCATCTATGGCTTGCAGGTTCTGCACTAATCCAATTCATAACTGTTTTCAATAAAAATTTCTCGTTTAATACGAGACCAGTTCATGCAGTGTTGTTTGCTGAAAAATGTGCAACAAAATTTTGAACTGCAAATATAAATTTTCCCTGTTTGTGAGTTGGGAAAACTTTCTTATTGTTTATTTGAATAAGGTTCCATTTAGTTAATCTACATTGAAATTATAATTATGTATCTGCTTATGGTATCCTTGTGATTGCACATATGAAAAACGTGCAAATTAACGTATGCATCAGTTTATAATTTGATGTTGTTTGAGTGGTTTGTCCTCCTCTTTTTGTCTTTTCTCCATCTTCTTTCCTTTCCATGACTTTGAGTTCATGTATATTTGTAATTGTCTTTAAAATTAACTCTCACAACTTTCCTTTTCCCTTTCCCGCTGAAACCAACAATATTGCTATTAATCTACCATAAGTATGGTAACCAGGCTAGTGGTTTTGTTAGAAGATTTGATTCTATGTCAACTCTTGGCCTTGTTTTCCCTTGTAACCAAAAACTTTTGAACTAATGATCGGCCCCTGTTTGCCCCTCTCCCCTTTTAGTTTTCCACTTTTCTTCCTTGCTTGTAAAATTAGCTTCTGAAGGAGAATGAAAGTTTTCTGACTCTGATGTACAGATTATAAAAAATGCTGATCTTGAAGAACTGAGGGAGCTAGGATCGGGTACATATGGAACTGTTTACCATGGAAAATGGCGGGGAACAGATGTTGCTATAAAGAGAATAAAAAAGAGTTGCTTTTCTGGCAGATCATCAGAGCAAGATCGGTTGGTGGGTCTCCAGAGATGTTTTCCTCTTTTTTCTCCCCTTATCTTTCCAGTTCCTAATCCTAAACGTAGGAAAGTTGATATTGGATCTCGTAAGAAGCTTCATAATGATTAAGGGTACAGATTCAATAATATACACCTGCATTACAAACATTTTAATGAAATTCAGCTGATATTGAATCTTTTCTCCCCTTATCTTTCCAGTTCCTAATCCTAGATGTAGGAAAGTTGATATTGAATCTCATAAGAAGCTTCATAATAATTAAGGGTACAGATTTGATGGTATATGCCTGCATTATAAACATTAGAATGAAATTCATCTGAAAGATATTTTTGTCTTTGTTCACATTTATGATTTGCGTCTTCTTTTGTACTAGCTATTCTGCACTGCGAGTTTTGGGTGCAGAAAGTTCTGGAAAGGAAAAAAAGGAATGATTTGCTGGTTAGGTGGTTTGAATAGTGCACTTGCACCCTAGGTTTCATCCAAAAAACAAATAAGGGAAGAGTCTATAAAATATTTTTATTATTATAAGTCATGGAAGAAAAATTTATGGGGTAACCTTTCTCTTTTTGATATTGGTCTCTTTTTGGCCTTCTTCTTGACTTCTGTTAGAGTGAAATATATTTGCTATGGTTATTCTGCCCTTCTCTTCTGCAATTTTAGATTGATAATCTATTTTTTGTTATTTTTGGAAGGTTTTCTGTCTTGAGTTACAGTTGTTTGCAGTAGCTTCAATATGTATCATAAATAATTTGTTTTTATCAAGAAAGAGTGTTGATATGAATAACAAATCCGATGTTTTTATCAAGAAAGATTAGCCTATGGGTTGTCACTTGTCATGATTGCTCCAAATTTTGAATAAAGGGTCCTAGAAAGAAAGAAGAAAAAGGTTTTTGTCCTTTGGGTTGGTGGTTGGAACAGGGTTTGGTGTTTGATTTAGCAAGATTGAATCAATTTACTTAAATATGAAAGATAGAAATAGCTGAAAATTAACTAACAGGCTTGAGTACAATGGCATCTTGAAGTGGGTCATTATTTTCCTCCCTTGCTCCCTTTTCTGCCATTGTAATAGCAAGAAGAATGGGGGAATTCCCATTCTGTAGTACTATTGAGATCCTTTAAACAATTTTGCAGTCATATTCTTCATAGCAATTTGACTTGTTTGCATGCCCGAAGCTGATGAATGTTTGGCTGTACCAGACCAAAGACTTCTGGAGAGAAGCACACATCCTCTCAAATTTGCATCATCCAAATGTGGTTGCATTTTATGGAGTAGTACCAGATGGAACTGGAGGAACCTTGGCAACTGTAACTGAATTTATGGTAAATGGGTCGCTTAGGACTGTCCTAATCAAGAAGGATAGGTAATATAGGTTCAATCTCCCAATTTTACAGTCCTTCACTCATTAATGATGCACTTACTGTTTTTTTGGGATTCTTATGCAGATCACTTGATCGTCGTAAAAAGCTCATAATTGCCATGGATGCAGCTTTTGGCATGGAATACTTGCACTCCAAAAACATTGTTCATTTTGATCTGAAATGTGACAATTTGCTTGTAAATCTAAGGGACCCAGAACGACCCATATGCAAGGTAATATATTAGAGACAAACTCCCTTCTACTAGACATTTTTTATTTCAAGGTGCTTTGCGTGATACCAAAGACCATAAATGGCCAGAGAGAAGAATTCTTAATTCTGTTAAAGTGGAATTGATTGTTTTTTGGTCCAAGATGAATGCTGATCATATGTTTGGGTACAATAGAATACCCTTAAGAGCTTTATGTTCCCCTTCTAACTAGTCTATATCCTGTCACTTATCATGTTAGGAAGGCTTATGGTACAGGAAGGTTTACATTGGCTTTTCAATTGAAGCATGTCTACTGTGTATTGTTTCTGTAGGTTGGAGATTTTGGATTATCAAGAATCAAGCGCAATACTCTTGTTTCTGGAGGTGTGCGAGGCACCCTCCCATGGATGGCACCAGAACTGTTAAATGGTAGCAGCAGCCGGGTTTCTGAAAAGGTCTGTAAAGCCATATTCTAATATATTTCTTGCCACTGTGAAGGAAAGAATGAATAAATAAATGTTAAAGCCAAAAATTATGATATTTGATCTGACAGGTTGATGTGTTCTCATTTGGAATATCAATGTGGGAAATCTTGACTGGGGAGGAGCCATATGCCGATATGCATTGTGGTGCCATTATTGGTGAGATTTTGATTTACCTAATGTGCAATTAGCTTCTGATCCTGTAGAGAAAATTTACATGCATGGAAAAGTGATTGGGATGTTAGGACATGATATTAGTTCCACTATGGAGGGCATACGGTAGCTAAAATGGTGTGTCAGTATTTTCTTTGGCATATGCGGATTGGATTGAACAAATCAAATCTAACTGGAGTATGAGGATTTGCATGTGGTTTTTCTCTTCTTTTCTATTTAAATTTTTTATTCAAGGTAAGACAATAATTCAGAAAGTTTCAAAAAGTAAAGCCAAAAATAGGCTAGAAGAAACTAATATACTTGCAGTTTAAAGTTGGCTTCACTGGAAGCTTACTCATGGGTTAATAATGATGATATTGATGATCATTATGTCACTGAATCAAATGATAGGATTGGTTGAAGATGAAGATCACAAATATTTACGGAGAGTTGTAAGAGTTTTTACTTTTCACCTCGGCTTAAATGCTCGTGTTCTGTAAGAGTATAAAACAACAATTATAAACAACTCACATAAATAAATTGAAGCCATATCATAAATTGCATGTTCTTGACTATCTTCCATGTTTTATGGTTGTATATTAATTACCCTTTTAGTTTTTTGCTTGCTATATCTGAAAAGTAAACAAAAACCTTCTGGCTTTAACCAAAATTTGGCTTTATGCTCGATTGGTGAATTGTGATTGCAGGGGGGATTGTGAAGAACACTCTTCGACCTCCTATTCCGGAACAGTGTGATCCTGATTGGAGGAAGCTGATGGAACAGTGCTGGTCTCCTGATCCTGAATCTAGACCATCTTTTACCGAGATAATAAACAGGCTTCGATCCATCTCTATGTTGCTTCAGCCCAAGGGACAATACAATCAGGCAAGACAGACGAGGCCTAATGTTACGGCATGAGTAGTCATCGTTATATGCGAGCACTTGTTTTGTTTGTAGGTACGTCCGTAAACTTAAGTATCTATCTTTGATGTAGAGGATCAAATCATCAGAACGATGAGCATGAGTAGAGTTTGATCATTGATGGCCAAAATTTTCCCCCTTCTTACCGTTGTTAATAAATATATCGATTCATTTGTTTATTCTTTTGTAACTGAGTAATCAGGTGGTCATAGTAGTAAGCCTGATAGAGAGCATTTACAGAGTTCTCCGGCCAGTTTATTATTGATGATTTTGTTGAAAATAGTATGTTTATATGTATATACACATATTCAGAAAAGAAAGAGAGAAAAAAAAAAGGTGCCATGGTTTTCACATGTTCATTCATTTTCTTGGTGGTGCTTGTTTGAACAGTAATATCGAAAATTACAGGCAGAAAATTTCTATATAACTTTATGACTAGATTATTAAAAAAGCTCTTGAATTATTCAATTTAAAAAATAAAATTTTATATTTTTATTGTACATAAATAAATTGTTATCTCTTTATTTATATTTAAATAAATCTTTATTATTTAAGTTTAAATTAAAAATTAAAAATTTATTTTACATATTAAAATTTAAAAATTTATTTGAATAAAATAAAAATATAAAAATTTATTTAAATAAAGTATTAAAATTTAGAGGTTTTTTTGTTATTTTTACTGAATTTTAATGATAAATTCTATATGAAAGAGGTAATTAAAGATAGGGTTGTTGGGTTTTTCATGTTCACATTTCCACTTGTCCCGACTATCAATTCCGGAAAAAGTAAGATAGAGTTGTGTATCATCTTCGTGCTTACTAGTGAGAAAAACACTGCCGTCACAATCGTAAAGCTGTTGGATCACAAATGGTTGTTGTATTAATTACTTTGTCAGCTGACTGCAACGGTACTATTTATAAAAACTTTGACCGGGTTTTTTTACTCTTAGTTTCAGTCACAAATTTAAATTTAATTCTTACTTTTAAAAAATAACAAAAGATAAAATATTCAAGATAAAACTTTGACCGACATTTGCCTGCATAAACAGATTTTTATACTTTTTTTTATTTAAGAAGGTGAAAATGAGATTATAGCAAGATTTTGAATTGAAATCTTTCCATTTTTTAATAACTACGATTTGGTCTTCCGATATGTCAGTAATTTGAAAAAAATATATGTTTTTAATTTTTTTAAAAGGGGGAAAAGGTTACCTGAGTAAAAATGAATAATTTCTTTGAGAGATGGGTAGTCTTTTCAAATATGTTTATATATATAAATATATATAAAAAAAAAGAGCTATAAATGTCGTCAAAATTTTTATATTTTAAGTAATAAATTTTTAACCCACCTAACAGTGGGATGTCCAAATATAAGTACAGATTTTTTGGGTTTTCCGACTCACAATTTGTCTTTCACAAGTTAACAAAGAAGGCAGAGAAGTAGCATTGCAAGTGTTTTGGTTGTAAGTTTGATAATTTAAAATATGTTATATTTATATAATATAAATATAATATAAATATAAAATATAAAAATAATATTATTTAAAATTTTAATAATAATTATCTTTAAATTTAATAAAATATAAAATTATATTTTATATTTTTATTTTGATATAAGTTATGATATGTATTTTTATATAAAATATAATATAAATATATAAAATTTAATATTTTACATAATATGAATTGAAATATTATGTAAAAAAAAAAAAAACCAAAAAAATTGCTGCGGCTCTGACTTCAAATTCAAACCCAGTTGTAGTCGATAGAGAAAATAGAAAGGCGCCGACCACTAATGAAATAAAGGAAAAATAGGAGCAGCAGATTAAAAAATAAAATAAAATGAGTAAATCCCCCTTCGTCTAACTTGAAAAACGTGGGAGCAATTTTCGTGGAAGGCTCAAGCCACATGATATATGGCATCAAATCAAACCAAGCAAAAAGACAGGTGAAGAAGACTGAAAAATCCAACTAAGATTCCACTCATTGGTTGTTGAATGAATGAATTCTTTTTTATTGCCACAAACTTGTTACTATTTGTAAAGGGCTACAAGCCGATGAACTTGACCAAACTTGCTCAAGTCCCTGGAAAAGACATCCCACCAAGAAGTAATTAATGTTTCTATATTAGACCATTTTTAGAGAGGAAACAAGTGAAAGATTAGAGAGAAAGACAAGAGAGATTGATAGATATGGAGAAAGCAGTCAACAGACAGAGAGTTTTGCTTCATCATTTACTACCCTCTTCTTCTTCTTCTCCTCAATCCCATGAATCCGCTGACGTTCTTTTTGTAAGCTTGATCCCTATTACTGGATTTTGTTTTTTTTTTTTTGTTGTTTCTTTTCTTTTAAAAGTGGGTTTGTTTCCATTTGATTAGCCTTCAATTTGTGCGGCCGGAGATAGCGCTGCTTATCACCGGACGGCTGCTTTTGGTGATGATGTTGTGATTGTGGCGTAAGTTATTTTAATACTGTCTTCTTTTCTTCTTTGGTATATTACAAACATTTGTTACTACTTGTTCATACTAAGACTGGTTGCCTAAATTTAAGTGACAGAAGTCATAATATCATGATTAGCGATTGATTAAAATGAAGGAAAGGAAACCGTTTCAAGGGTAAAAGGATTTTTATGTATGCAGAAGTCAAGTAATGTATTCTGTTATTAGTGAAAAACCTTGATATTCTAAGTTAATTCTTCCAAAATTTGTATTTTTTATCCGAAGGCATCAATACGAGAAGCAACCTCCAAATAGATTTGCCAAAAAGACTATTTTTTTTTTCATCTTTTATATGTTTCTTTGATCTGTTAATTTTGAATCAAAGAGGGGTAAAACGTTGTTACACAGGGCATGTCGCACTGCAATTTGCAAGGCAAAGCGTGGAGGCTTCAAGGATACACTTGCAGATGATTTACTTGCCCCTGTTTTGAAGGTTGGATGCTTTTGGTTTTTGTATTCAGTTTTCTATGAAATCAGATTTGATTTGCCTCCTTTCTTAATCTTAAGTTAATTCTCAATGCAGGCTTTGATAGATAGAACAAAGCTGAACCCAAGTGAGGTGGCAGATATAGTTGTCGGTACAGTTTTGGCACCTGGCTCACAAAGAGGAATGGAGTGTAGGATGGCTGCATTCTATGCTGGTTTCCCAGGTATACATATTCTTTCATTCTTATTCTTGTACGCTTTAAAATTTCTATCCTTTTTCGAGATTTAAACTGTTTGTTGTATTGAAAATTATTGAATTTTCATTTCATTTGTTAATTGCTTTTGGCATGCTACATTTGGAGTCATTACCAAGGTTTTTACTATGTTGATAATAGAAATATAAATTGGAAGACTTGCATCGAATTCTAAATTGTCGATTCCATTTGTTTACAGTGCTTTTTGTATGAAACATTGCTAATATAATTAACTGTTTCAACCAGATACTGTGCCTATTAGAACTGTCAACAGGCAATGTTCATCTGGCCTGCAAGCAGTTGCTGATGTTGCTGCCTGCATAAAAGCAGGATTTTATGATATTGGTAGGGATACTTTATCTTATCTATATATTTGAATGCTGAGAAAGATTTATTCGGATATGCTAGTGACCTTCACCTCCATTAACGTTCTTGACTTTCAATGTAGGCATTGGTGCTGGATTGGAGAGCATGACAATTGATAAAGTTGTTCCAGGGGTTAGCAAAGTTAACCCAAAGGTATGTCAAACATATAATTTGTATTCACTTTTTAGGATATGTTTTTACGTTGATGTGTTAATATTCAACTGCATTTTTTTTTACAGGTAGAGAGCTTTGCCCAAGCCCGGGATTGTCTTCTTCCTATGGGCATTACTTCTGAAAATGTTGCACAGCGGTATGGCGTGACACGGCAAGAGCAAGACGAGGCTGCTGTAAGTTCTGTGTTTTTTTCCAGTTTACTTTTATCTACTGATGTAAATTTAATCTTTTTTAGCCTGAAACGCCTTTGATTTGTAAACATAGGTTGAATCTCATAGGCAAGCTGCTTCTGCAACAGCATCTGGTAAATTCAAAGATGAAATTATCCCTGTAGTTACGAAGGTAATTTTGGGTGGTAAATTATTCTGGTTTGGAATTTGTATGATGTTTCATTAACTTATGTTAATCTGCGAAGATAGTGGATCCCAAAACCAGAGAAGAGAAGCCGGTCACAATTTTGGTGGATGATGGAATCCGTCCAAACACAAACATGGCAGATCTAGCAAAGTTGAAGCCTGCATTTAAAAAGGATGGGACCACAACTGCTGGTACATAATAATGAAATTTGTGAAATTTATTTCTCCGACAAGAACATTATGCAATTTGAATGAAAATTGTGTTCCGATTTTTTTCTTAGGAAATGCTAGCCAGGTAAGTGATGGTGCAGGAGCAGTCCTCCTTATGAAGAGAAGTTTGGCTATGCAGAAAGGACTTCCAATCCTTGGTGTTTTCAGGTAATGAAAACTGCTTGTACTAAAGTTTCTAGCACAGATAAAGAGTGCTTGCTTATTAGAACTACAAGTTGAGCTGGGCTGATTCTTCATTTAGTTATTCTACATGATCTTTTGGTGACCAGGTAAATGATGGTTCCTTTGTGTGTTCATTTTCTTAATTTACCTCGTTATATTAAGTAGAAATCAATAACATTCTTGAACAGAAGTTCACTAATTTGAGACTTCAAATCTTTCTTGTAGAAACAAGTTTCCCTTAATGAGGGCAAAATAAGCATCAGGATAGTGATTTCTTCATCTAGCGTATTGCATGCCTCCCCTTCTTTTTCTTTTGCTTTCCTTCTTCATCCTGGAGGAATCACACTGCTCTCTTTCTTGATTGAATTTCTCATATTAATATTAGTAATAGAGTAGGATCACGGACAAATCTATCATATGGTGCTAGAGTTCTGTCACGTGACCACAAACAGTAGAAGAAGCTAGGGTTTTGAGAGAGAAAATAACAATGACATCAATGCCTACCAAGTTTGCCAAGCTTAGAGCTTTACAAATTTAGGGGTGAAAGTAATAAAGAAGGAAATATTTTTTGCACTACATGATCTATCGCCTTTTTTTCTAATCAATGTCTAGATTAAAAGGTCTGATTACCATAGGAGAATTTTAGGTAGGAGTGAATATATAAATTCACATTTTAAGCCCCTCACACTGCTTTCTTATGCTCCTTTTATAGAAGTTTTGCTGCTGTTGGTGTGGATCCTGCTGTGATGGGCATTGGTCCCGCTGTTGCCATACCAGCTGCGGTTAAGTCTGCAGGTCTTGAGCTTGGTGACATAGACTTGTTTGAGATAAATGAGGTAGTGGGTTTCTTTGATTGATTTTATTTTGAAGGTGAATTTAGTATGAGTTTTACTTTATTTTCTAATTATGCAATATTTATTTTGCGTCAGGCATTTGCATCTCAGTTTGTATACTCTTGTAAGAAATTGGGGCTTGATCGTGCAAAGGTCAATGTTAATGGAGGTGCAATAGCCCTTGGGCATCCTTTGGGTGCTACAGGTACTTATCAAACAGAAATTTGACAATTTATAATAAATAAATTGCCTCAGTTACACCATTGCTGCTGCATGGAACTGAGCTCATGATAAACAATGAGAGGTGCACACAAGCCAAGACACAGACATACACGAGTATTTGTTTGCGCGCCTGTATATATGGTCCTCTACAAACATATAACAAATATATGTTGCCTGTTCTAACTTTTCCAGTGGCTAAGCTTGGTCTTGAGGGTGGTCTGGTATTAATTTAACCTATATATTATTTTGTGTATCAGGTGCTCGATGTGTTGGAACTCTTTTGTATGAGATGAAGCGTCGTGGGAAGGACTGTCGCTTCGGAGTGATCTCAATGTGCATAGGTCTCTCTCTCTCTCTCTCTCTCTCTCTCTCTCCACATAACATGAAAAACTAAAGAAGATTCAGGTCTAACCTTGGTCAAATAATGAACTTGATAAATGGGCTATGTAACCTAATGGACGAAGGATTGCAATTGCCTTTTTCTTTTGAGTAAGTCATAGTAATGTGTGAAAGCCCAGTCATATCTTTCTTTTGCTTGCATTTGACCATAGGTTATTGAACTCATTGAGTTGATCATAGAATTGGGTTTTAAACAGTTCAACTAAATTGGTAGAAGGTCTAATGTCTTTGAAGCTGACTATTTGTAGCAATTATATCATGGTTCATTTTCTTTCTTTATCTGTTTGACTCTGCCATTGCAGGCAGTGGAATGGGGGCTGCAGCTGTTTTTGAAAGGGGAGACTGTGTTGATGAATTCTGCAACGCTCGAGCTGTCAAATGTAACGAGCTTCTCTCAAAGGATGCTCGATAGATATGGTTGTTAGTATCTTTCTATTTGAATTTAACGACTTTGGAACATTCCTAAAATTAGATAATTGTCAGTTGTCAAAGCTGCATACTGGAAATCAAAATAAACTTTATCTATGCAATAGCTCAAGACTGTCAAATTTTCTAACTACAAATTCGTCCACATAATCTGATTTATTATAATCTGGATGCACATTTTGAGAATGAGGTTGCCATGGCTTCAATCATACATCTGAATTATCATGTAAAAAACAGAGGAAAAATACCTCTTTTAAATTCAAGCTGTCAATCTGGGGATGCATGATAGCTTATGCTAACTTACTTTCCTAGTCACTTGAACTAGCGACAGTTTCTTAGAAGCATTCAGCTCCATCATCTATATTCAAAATTATGATGCATAAAAGCGATATTAGAACTAAAAACATTTCAAAGTTATGATAAGCATAATCAATCATTAACCATTACGGTAAGCGCCACCAACTCTGTCCTAAAACCCAACCTGGAAAATCTTACAGTGATTGAGGTAATAATAAGAGTGCTTCTTGTGCACCAGAATTCTGATTAAAACCGAGAATATGGTCTGGAACCAATATCATTAAAGGGAAGAACCAAGAAACAGGGAGGAGAAGACACTCTCATTCTGGATCAGGTGAGCCTCCTGGGACAAGCTGCATTGCACAAAAAAGAATGAGTATAAGAAATTTGATACTGGAATCTATTACAATTCTTTATATGCAGTGGCATTTGGTTTCTCTTTTCCAAATTGGTACCTTTTGGCCCTAGTTAGCGATCTACAGTTTACATGCTTATATCTAGTTAGCAGAAATTTGTTTCAATCTAAAATGTGATCCTTATAAATATACCAATCCTAAGTAAATCATGGTTTTAACAAGAAAGGCATTAACTAAATCAGAAACCATTTAATCTTACAATGGCAATGTTGTTCCCATTAAGCAAAATTTGATCAAGCTTTGTGATCCGTCTTCCTTCAGCAGTGATCTCACTGTAGTATCCAAACACAAGCAGAGAAGCAAACACGATCAACACAAGCTATGAAGGCTGTACTATTTAAGGGGAGAAACATTCAGCAATTACTTATTGCATGCAGACAAGCATGGGCAGACATGTTACTAAGCCATTAAAGTCAAATGAAAATATACACATTCTTGTATAGCACTATTCTTTTCAAATCAATGTGAGAAAAATAAATCAAACATCTTGTCACTCTCAAAAGAAATAACATTGTACAATCAAGCAATGAACATCAATTGGGACACACATAAAATGTAAAAGAAGAATAATCTGTGCAGTTAGACAAGTGGGCATATGTGCAGCCCAAAACAATTTTTCCTCTAGATGGATAGCCAGTTCTCAACCTTTTCCTTCTGCAATGAGGATTCTAGCAAATACAAAATTACCAGTAATTAAAATGATTTGCTCAAAAACCTGAACACCAACCCAAGGCAACAATGCACCAATATTGTTAAGAAATAGTAGTACTAAATCTATCCCGGAAAAATTATAAGCCATCTCACTTTCTCCAGTTACTGCCATGCTAACTTATAAAGAATTCAACATTGAACCAAAATATGAAAAATAAAGTTTCAATTCATAGGAACTCGGCTTCAAAATTGAACTTCAAATTACAGACTTTCAAGTAATTTAAGGGTTAAAAGAAAGCTACCCAAATTTTGACATTTATTCAATACAAACAACATAACTAATACCCAGAAATAAAAACTCCAACTTTCTCTCTTTCCCATCATTTTCCTAACCCCATTTTCATTGAGAGAACTTAAAACCCTAACGCACAAAACAGAAATAAAACATTGCAGGGGCAGTTTAAGCCGATAAATCTATATCTAAAAATTCAAAGGAAAAAAATGAAGAACTTTACTATTCAGTGACATCTTCCAGGACCATGTTGACGTAGACATCGAAGCCTCTTAGAGTACCCACGAGCTCCTTGTCCCCTTTCATTATCACCCATATTTTGGACCCTATGCACCTGTCTATCAACTCTGCAAAGCAAAGAAAAACAAACCAAGATTAGGATTTTTCCTTACTTTCTCGAGAAAGTGAAGGAAAAAAGAAAATAAAAGAAAACTTGTCACCCGATGGAAGAAGCTGTGAAGGATTGTTTGCCATTGCTTTGAGAGGATTCCGCAAGAGAGAAAGCTCCACTTTTTCTTATTTAAAGGGCTTCAGTGTTTTGAATGACCAATATATCCTTTCTGAAACGAGTTCGTTAGATCAACAGGCCCGTTTGGCCCAATGGACTTCCAAAATCCCCGACCCATCACCTACACAGTAACAAACGGGTAACAACAAGCACGGGCCAGGTCGTCCCGCCGGGGCGGCGTCACGGTCGAAAAAATTCAAATATACGGACGGGAATTTGCGTGTTAGTGTAGTAGCCAAGGAGGAGGATCAACAAAGCGGATGACACGTCATACTTGTGGTATCTTGGGTTGAAAGACACATTACGGGAGGACACGTGTAAAAGCAGCAACCCATCAGCAACAGAGGAGGTTGTATCCGATGAATGCCCCTCTTTCCGTATTTCTCAACCTCCATTTATCATCTGTCTATCCTTCCACCTATATAAATAAATCTAAATAATTAAAATAGAATAGTTAAATTTAAAAAAAAATGAAAAGGTAATTTTCAAAAGGGGGTTTGCTGTTAAGTTTATTTATTCAATTCAATTATTATTAGTCATATATTCTACGGTTCTTCTACCCTTCCAAAGCAATCTCAACTTCCCTTTTCGAGATCGGATAATTGCCAATTTCCAAATTCCGTATTTCCCCTTCGTAAAATCTCACTTTTTTTTCATATATTTAATTGTTAAAGTTTGAACCTTTTTCATGATTTTTATTTATTTATTTTTTTGGTTTAGAATGATGGATTGATCTGTATTATGGCCAATGATGTGTTTCTGATTTTTTATATAATTTGTAAATTGATGATGATTTGTTTGTCTACCCTGGTAAATAAGGAATCTTTGTAGGGGTTAGGGTTTAGGTGAATTGGTGGGGAAGGATTGGTATTTGATATGTGAGGTTTTTATGATTTCTATTTTGAGTTAAGGTACTGAATCTCTGGGAAATAGAAAAGATGGGATTTTGGAATCTGAAAACCCCTGCTTTAAGACTAATTATGCTCCACATAAACTTGTTTTTCCTTTTCTATAAAGCAATTTATATATTTGTGTGTTTATTTTAAAATTGCCCACGGGGTCAGTTTTCTAGTTCTATATGGGGCTCTGGTGAGATTGAAAAAGATTAGCTGAGCACGATTTGGTACAAAAATATATGTACTATATTATTGAATGAAAATTGAAAAGCTGTTCTTTTGTATCACCTTAGGTACTCTATCGATAATTTGAAATTTGGCTTTGAAAAAGGTTTACCTACGGTGTTTATAGGAAGCAGTTATGCATGAATTAAAAAGTTTGGTTGTTAGAACTGATGACTGTTGTATGCAATTGCTTTCTCATATGTTTATCCTCAAGTAACTGGGAATTAAGCCTCATTGAGCATAAAAATTTTATGAGAAGGTGTTATTGCATTGATGGTTCAAACAACCATTACAATCTTCACCTCAATGCGACACTACCCAGATGATTTCTATTCGTTTTTCTTCTCTCTATTGATCGTTGGTAGAAATTATAGATTGAGATATATATTGAATTTGACAATCTTTTCTGGTTTTTGTGGTCTGACTGCAGGTATGGTGGCCGTGTGGTTCAAGACTAAGTTCTTAGTTACGTATTCAAGGGTTCTGTTTGATAAGTTTTCTAGGACTACTTACAGTGCATTATTTTGTTCAGAACTTTGGAGCTTTGCATCAGGCTTTGTCTTGTGATTTTCTTTGTAAAAGTTAACAAGTAAGGATTCTATAGTTTTGAGTTGGTAACACATAGAGACACAGAAGGCTGCAGTAGGAAATATATTTAAAGTTCAGCCTTGTGGTAAGTTTATGTTCAGTTAAAAGATGTACTACTTTCTTTATGTTTTAAAATTATTGATAGTGCTTGGTATGCTCTCATTTAATAGACTGACAAATGTTTCCCTCGCTCACATTGCTTTTGTTTATTATTCGTATGCAAACATCTATGGCTTTTTCTATCTAGTATTTACTTATGTTTATATATTTGTATGTGATGAAGTTGGAGAAGTAGTTTTTTCAAGTTTGAACATCAAAATATTATTGCTAAGGACTATTGAATGTGTTTAAGTTCTCCTAGGTTTCAACTTGAAAAGTAAGAAAGAATTTAGCAAATTTTGTTCTAGATTTTAGTAGGTTTCCTTTGGTACTAGGCTGACTAGTATTGGTGAAGATGTTTTAACATTTTGGTTATTGTTCTCTCACCATCTATATCTAGATGGATGGTCGGTATGTGACTTCCTTCTTTTTGATGCTACTTTCAAATGTATGACTTTGAGTTGTTATTGTTGAGGAATATATCGGTCATGACAATGCTGTTTCTTGGATTGCTAAGGACTAGTCTATCAATGAATTTCTAAAATTATTCCAAGAAAAACAGACAGTGAGTTCTGTTCTGATGATTTAGCTTATCATTCCTTAAATGATTGTTGATACCATGTCAACGGGGACCTTAGGAAAATGGAAGATGGTTGCTTTCCCATTTCGTTCACTGTAAATATGATTCTTCATTGCCTCTTTCTTAACTTTCTCTAGCCACAGAATAGGGTTTATGAAGGAGAAGGCTGAACATGGCATATCCAAGTTTGTTTTCTTTCTTAATTGTTGGTCTAATATTCAGAAAAATTGTGAGTGGAGCATTTATTAGACTATTGCTTCCTGGAATAGGTTAAAGGAGAATTCTTAAACAACTTACCAAATTTATTGTGGTCTGCATGCTTTTCCCTTTCATATACATATGTAGGTGTTTTGCAAAATATGAAGAGAAAACAACTTACCAAATTTATTGTGGTCTGCATACTTTTCCCTTTCACATAGGTATGTAGGTGTTTAGCAAATGGTGAAAAGAAAACAGTTTACCAAATTTATTGTTATCCGCTTAATTTTCCTTTTTGTATAGGTATATAGGTGCTTACCAAAATGTTAAGAGAAATTTTATTGATAAAATCACATGAATTAAAATGAAATGAACTTTGTTGGCCAAAAAAAAAAAAAGAATGAACATCATGAATGCCATTGTATGTAAGCTTACTTTACAAGACATCACTATGATACAATGTTACCATTATCCATCCTAGTATCAATTTGCAAGATTAGCATTTGGTAAAATTAGTGGCATTGGATAAGATGAATTTTCAATAGACAGTAAATCTGGCAATATAAACAAATGAGCTAAAATATATCATAGCTGATTCTTACTTTATGCTGCTTATCTATCCTTACGGAATGCACTTAATTTTAACTGCCTTGTGTGGGGATCTAAGTTTTTTCATTTTATAGGAGGACTTCTCTATACTTCTGTCTAACTGGTATTAGTGGTTGATCCTTAGAAGGCTGTCAAGTGCAGGCTTTTGAAATGAACCATTAGTTGTGCCTCAGTGAGTTTGGTCATTATTATTGTGTTTGTGTGAATGGGAGAAGAATGGAGGATCAGAAAGCAGCAGTCAAAGGAAGTTAGAAAATTTTTAATTCCTTTCCCTTCCTGCACCATGCCTTTCCAAGAAAGAAAGAAAGAAATTGGGGTTTATGGGACAAGAATGTGATAGGTTTTCCTATTTTTTTGCTTGTTTTTCCTTTTTGGAATCTTGAGTGTATTTGGTTGCTGCCTTTCGATTCATTGACATCCTGCCATTTTTCCTGTCTCATTTTACTAGTAAAATATCACTTAGGAGGCCTTTGAAACTGCTTTTTGCATAGTGCTGGTTTTGTTGTTTATTATGTTTTTATGACCAAATTATAATGTTCATTATCTAGTTTATGCTTTGATTAATGGACTATTTTTCCCATTACCTGATGAGTTCAATATGCTGAGTAACTTTACACAGCATGTGCAAGATGGCTGGTGTTAAACGAAGAATAATTACTGATTCTGATGTCCATGCACTGCATAAAGAACTGGATGAAGTCTCATGTCCAATCTGCATGGACCATCCACATAATGCTGTTCTCCTCCTGTGCAGCTCGCACGAGAAGGGTTGCAGATCTTACATTTGTGATACAAGTTACAGGCATTCAAATTGCCTAGATCGATTTAAAAAATTAAGGGCTAATTCTAGTAAGAGTCCAATATTACCCCATCCTGTACCCATAAACCCTCAGAATTCTAGTACTTCTGATATGACCTTGGCCTTCAGAACTGATTTTATTGAAGGTAATGGAAGTCGAAATCTGAATGAAACCAATAGCATGGCAGGAGGATCAGAAGTTAATACCCAAGAGCCAAGTAGGCATGTTGATTCACAAGGAGAAGGTATTATAGAAATAGGGGACTCTGATTCCTTTCAGGGAGGAGCTGAATCTGAAGAAGTAGATGCAGAGAATACATCAGAGTCTAAATCTAGTTTGAAATGCCCTCTCTGCCGAGGGAACATACTCGGCTGGGAGGTTGTGGAAGAGGCCAGAAAGTATCTAAATTTGAAGAAGAGAACTTGTTCTAGGGAATCTTGCTCCTACTCTGGCAATTACCAGGAATTGCGTCGGCATGCCAGGGGAGTTCACCCAACAATGCGACCTTCAGATATTGACCCATCCAGAGAACGAGCTTGGCGCCGCCTTGAGCACCAAAGAGAATATGGTGACATTGTAAGTGCTATTCGATCTGCCATGCCTGGTGCTCTTGTGGTTGGAGACTATGTTATCGAGAACGGAGATAGGTTGGCAGTGGAAAGGGAGAATGGCGCAGGTGATGTTAGTGAACCATGGTGGACTACTTTCTTTTTGTTTCAGATGTTTGGTTCGGTTGACAGTGTTGGTGAACCGAGAGCAAGGTCCAGGGTTTGGTCAAGGCATCGACGCCCTGCAGGAGCTTTATCTGAGCGTAGGTTCCTCTGGGGTGAAAATCTCTTGGGTTTGCAAGACGACGACAACGAAGATGATGTGCACATATTAAGCGATGTAGGTGACGATGCATCTCCAAACCCAAGAAGACGTAGACGTCTGATGCGATCAAGGTCAGATGAAGATCAGTCATGAAAGGAGTCAGGTATTTGCCCTGGTAAATCCCAGTTTCTTGACATGGCTTCATATGAAATTATTTCAGATTGCATTTATCTGACTGTACGGGTGTTCTTACCATTGATGTCCCAGTAATGTGCATAAATTGTTATTTTTTAGATGATAATAGGAGTTTGCTGGTTTCAGAAGCCATCAGCTTGTGGGTCTTCGGGATGCTTCAAGTTAAGTGGAATTCTATATAAAATTTGTCTTCTTATGGCTTTAGGCGATTATGCTTACAGTGTCCTGAAACTCATACCAGCGATAATCTTCAAGTATTATGTAATACAAAGTATTCTACTGGCAATTGTGGCATTCATTGTTTTTCATTTGTGCTTTAAGCCTTTTAATTCAAGGCTCGGTTTGTACTTCAGTTTTTTTTTTTTTTTGTGTTCTTTTATGTTTTCTCGCAATTTCCATGTTGTTACGTTAATGGAGTTAGGAAATTTGGATTTTCTTTTCACAAAAGAGACTGCAATTTAGAATAGGATAGAAAAATGGATTACAGGCATGGGGATCAGAACTTTATAATTATAGATTTATTAGATATTATTTTTTAAGGGTTTCATGAATTAATTAAGTTAAATTAATTAACTTTTGGAGGATGAAAGAAATTTGGCATTGGAAGACATTATTTATACTATTTATTCCTTAAGATTATTCTATATTTTGATGTTCTCGTATAAAAAAATGTTTCAATCCGTTCTCAATCGTCAAGCTCGACACTCGAGTTTTTGATAGTTGTGTTGTAGTGGATTGGATTGAACTAATATTCGATGCCATCGTTTTTCTTCTATCTTTGTTCCGAAGCCATCCATAGGGGTTGGTTGCTGCCATTAATACCTCTCTTTGTAGACGTTGCTCGACAAAGCTAACTACATCATTTTGATCTTTCAAAAGCATTTTGGAAGGAAATAAATTGAGTTATTAAATGAGATTACTACAGTGCCAGCAATCATCATAAATGCTTGTTTTTCATTTGTAGAGGTTTTATTCGTATATTATTGGATTTTACACGCAGCCAAACTGGATGTGAAAGTTATTAGTAGGCATCAATCCCTTTCTATCTTGAGAATGGTTTTCGGACACTTGATGCTTTCTTCCATTCTCTATTCTCAGCCAAGTTTTCTTGTACGTTGTATAGTAGCTCAGCCACTTCAAGATTTCAGTCAACTACCTTCCTGTTTGACATTATGCTTAAGAACAATAACGCTATCAAATTTTGGCGGAGAATTATTTGTCTTGCATTCTAATATTGTTATATCCCCGTCTGCAGTATGCCTCCTCTAATCATTTCGGTTTAGAAATGGATTTTAATTTTTTTATTTAAAGTTATCGATATTTGAATATGATCATTGGAAATTTTGATTGTTATTCTCAAGTAATTTAAGACAAAATTTAGAATCTCCCTTCTCTAAATTTTTCTCTATCCGAAGTTGGAAAACCACCCAAAGTTAAAGGCTAGGTGATGCACTGTTCAGAAAGATATGGATCATGTTCTTGCTACCTGACACTTGGATCGTAGCCTGTTATTGGTTCAAAACGAACGTGGGCTGACAGTCCACCGCAAAATTCCCATGCAATGGAGAGTTAGAAGACAAAACGTTCTATATATTATTCCATTGTTCTGGTTTTATGTGAGACAGAAGGGGGCAGCTTCCTTGATTCACTCACTCTCATTCTTATTTTAATATAGGGCCATCTTGACATGAAAAACCCATTTAAGCAATGGACAACACAATGACACGTCAATTCACTTCCCTCAAAATTTATGAGAGAAGCACCCTGTGAGAAGGAAAGGTCAGAAAGCTTGAGACACATGATTCATCTCTGCACAGATTGGCCTCAAATTTCTTGTAACATAAACAACTAACTACTGCGGTCTTAATTAAGTGATAATCCCCTTAAAACCAGCAGTTGGGACCATCCAGGATCGATCAACTGCAATCGTGCAAGTTTATGGCAAAGAGAAAAGCCAACAGGGCAGATCACATTCTTGTTCTTAATTAAAACAAATCTCCCTCTAAAACCACCACATGAACGTTTTCTTATCTAATAATCCCATGTTACTCTTGAGTCTCAAGCCAACCCTTCCCCACTAACTGCTTGGTTGTCTCACCATCATCCTCACACTCACCCAGCAAATTTCTTTGTCTTCATCTCCACAAGTGCATCATTTTTTAGAACAGGAATCTTTAGCATACAGACAGCACAGATAGACCTCTCAGAGCTGTCCATTTTGACCAAGATTTGCTTAAAAGTAGTCATTCACTTTTTTCCAATACTATATAATTAGTAGTATTCCCAAAATATCAAGCAAAACAAATGCAGGTGAGATTTGTAACTCAAAATCAGATAACAAGATGAGTAGCATTGTCCTTCCAACAAGGGAACTATTAAAGGTAAGAAACACTCAACCCAAGTACAACCAGTTACCTAAATCAGTCTAACTAGCTACATTTCCTGCAGCTGACAGATATTATTTCAATGTCATTAAAGATATAATTTTGTCTAAGCATAGAAGATCAAAAACTAAGAAGTTTAAGCCGTATTTATATGCAATAGAGATGTTGGAAAGGCTTGCTTCTATAGTACTATCTATTTGAGAAGAGTCAGGATCTCTCATTCAAGACAGCATTGGGCTCAATCCATGAAGACGAAGAAAGAAGATATTGCTAGAGGGCTACTTGTTGTTGACAAGTCGGATTCAGCTAATCATCATGGAGGGAACAAAGTTCTACCACTAAGTGAGGCGACATTATCATCCTCCACCACCACAAAAGATCAATGTAGCACCAATGAAAATAAAGACAAGCTTAAAGGGGATAAAACCAAAATCATGTCTAGAATGAAGGAGTTGTTGAGATGGGCTGCTGCTGCAAAATCAGAAAAAGGAGGAAAGTTCATTGGCCGAAAGGTACAAAAATTTGTCTTCACAATCTTATTTTATTATTATTATTATTATTTTTTACAAAGGAGACCGGATAGAGAAAAGGATTATGGATGTTGGGATTTAAATTTCAAAATTATTGGGAGCCAGCTCTTAAAATTGGTTGCATAAACTAACAGAGTTAAGGTTTGGATTCTTCATTACAGTCTTATTACTAGTACTTATTTAGTAGCTAAAAAGTGTAACTAAAGCAGTTGAAATTGTTTCCAGGTTTTGCACTTCAGGAACCGTGGAGCTCTAAAAGCAGTGCCAGATGATGATCAACTTAGCAATGACTTTCCTAAGATCAGTTTCAGATGGGACGCGGACAGCTGCTCCACTACTTCCTCTGCCTTTTCAGGCATTTCAGTGACCTCTTCGTTGAGAAATGACCAAACCTCCAATATAGTATCATTTAAATCATCTCCTGTACATGGCTTAAATCGTTGCTCTAGCAGGAGAGGAAATTGGATAACTACAGACTCTGAATGTAAGACCTCTCCTCTCTCTCTCTCTCTCTCTCTCTCTCTCTCTCTAATCCTATGATATCCAACTCACAGATATTAATCGTATCTTTTTTTTCTTCTTGACAGTTGTGGTGCTTGAGCTATGATGAGATAAAGATGCTTATTGAAGGCTGAATCTGATGTTCCAGGGTTGAATCAACTACTTATTAATGTAAAAGAAATACTCCATTGCTACTAGCTTAAATCAGATGAATTAATTGTAGCAATATTTTCAAAATATAATGAAAGAGTGAATGTTAATCTATTAAACATGATGTATTAATCAATGAAATGAGAAACTACTGATTAAGAAGTTATATAATAGCTTTCAAAAATAATTTAAAGACATTAAAAATATTTATATGCAGGTAACATGCCAACATCATTGATTTTAAATTAACTAACATAATAAATATATATAATGATTAAATATTATTACATCGCAAATAAAAATATCATCTCTTAAACTTAAATTTGTGTTTTTTGGCCCAAAAAAACTTAGATTTGGGTTTTGGCCCAAAATAAGCCCAAAATGCCTAAACCACCTCTTATAAATTCAGAATTACAACTTCATCCAACAAGATAGGTCTCTTTAATTTTCATCACACTATCTTCATCCTACACCTTAAAATTAACTTCTTAAAAATATGTAATAATTCTAAAGGCATGTTTGGATGCACGATACAATTTTAATAGGCAACCTTCACTGATACAGACCTAAGTCAAACGAGCTTTTTCACAATTTATGAGAAGATACAAATTTAGAAACATTTTTCATTTATTCACTTCTATAGTGAAAAATATATATCGTAGTAGAGTACCTAACTATTGAAAAAAAATTGGCCAAAAAAAAAAAAACTACAAAAAAATTTAATTAATTTTATGATTTATGTCCCAAACCTCAAAATGCATTTCAATTATTTTTTTAAAATATATCAATGTTAAATTGCATAAATTAAAACAATTGTTCTTAATAAATTCAATTATAATTTTTATAAAAAATGTTGCTACAGCTTATAATTATGAAATAAGTCACGATTTAAAAATTAAAAAATTATAAATTTTAAAAATAATTATTTAAATCATTTTAATTAAATTTAAAATTTATTAATTTATTTCAGAATTAAGTTTGTATTGAGTCAATTAGCATACCATGCCAAAATTTCTGATTTAAAAGAAAATTTCATATCATCTCAAAATCTTATATTCTTTTCATAAATATACTTTGTTGCACTTAAGGACAAAAAATAAGAACGGGATTTGCAAAATGATTGAAGTAATTGGCTAATTGCACTAATAAGTCAAATCCAAACACCGGCCCCTGGTTTCTTCGTCCTTTGCTGGGATGTTGACAATGTCAAGAGGCCAAAATTGAATAAACAATAAAAAAAAGGAAAATCCGGAGTAGAAATCGACAGAGTCGGTGGGCCAAACAATGTCCTATCTGCTGCAGTGTAAGTTGAACGCTTTTCATGGGGCCAACAACCGTTCTTAACGACAATTCCTATGCCCCGTTCGTCCCGCGAGAAAATTGGTCTATTCTCTTTAGTATATTAATTTAGTTGAATACAAGCAAATTTTTTAGATGTGTTTGGATGAGATATTTAGAGAAATTATTTTATTTCAATCAAATTTTTTAAAAGTTTTAAAATGAATTTATTTGTTTAAATAAAAATAAAAGATAATTTTAAAATTTAGGTAAAATTTTAAAAGCTTTTATAATTCTTTCAAATCTTTTGTCTCTTTACTACACATTATGATCATAAATTATAAAACTAAAAAAAAATAAATTTCATAATATTTAATTTTAATATATATTTTTAATTTATTATTATTAATAATATCTCAATATTGTTACAAAATATTCATATTACATATTTTATTTTTAATATCATTATTTTTTATTATTTTTTATCTTATCCATTTCTAATAAACTAATTTTTTTAAAGAAATATTTATTCAGATAAAATAATTATGAAAACTAATTTTTTAAAAAATATTTTTATTTCAAAATTTTCTGTACAAACACACCTTCCAGAATTTTGTTGACTTTTTTTATATCCTAAAGTAGATGGTATCATTTAATTTCTATTATGGGTAAATACAAGTGATTGTTTTAATTTTAAAACAGAGTTTTTATTATTAATTGATTTTGATAAAGACGGATTTAAATTTTAATTCAATTAATTAAAAAATTTTAAAATTTAAAATTAATATTTTTAATCACTTTTTTTATTCTCAAACTATTATTTTTTATTAAAAAAAAATAAAGACGTGCAAAAGCCAATGCCCATTAAAATTTATTGTTTGCTTTTACATATCTCAAACGTTTTTAATGGTTCAATAATCTCTAAAGAAATTAGTAACTAAAAATTGGACTTATTTATTAAGCAAATTAATCATTAATTACATTATTATAAAAAAAATTGATTACAATTAATACTATTAGATATCAATAGTACTTACATAGAGTATTGCTACTTGCTTATCCATGAACAAATCTTAATTTCTTTTTCTTTTTCTTTTCTTTTCTTTTCTTTGCCTCTTGTATTTCTTCATAATCGCCTCCGAAATCACGTTCTTCACCCACCTCGCTTTCCCTCCTGTTCACATTTCCAACTACCGCTCCAATCTCCACCTGCCTCTCTCTCTCTCTCTCTCTCTCTCTCTCTCTCTCTCTCTTCCTCTCTCGCAATCCTCCGACTCTCACCCTTTTCTCCGTCTCCAAATCCCTTCAATGTCAGACCACAACCCGAAAGAACCTAACATCAACACCCTTAGCGTCGACCTCACGGAACTCATCCTCTCTTGCCTTCCTATCCCTTCCATCCTCCGTGCTTCCTCTGTTTGCAAACTTTGGCGTTCTCTTATTTCCTCCCCTACTTTTACCTCTCCTTCCCTTTCCCACCCTTGGTTCTTTCTCTTCGGTCTCCACAACACTTCTTCTAGAAACAACCAGTCTTTTGCCTTTGACCCTTTATCCAACTCCTGGTTTCGTCTCCCTCACCTTGATGACTCTTCTTCCTCCTCTTTTCTTGGCTCCCATGGATTCTTTTTCACCACCACTCCCAAATTCAGCTACACCCCAGTTCTCAAATCCACCTGGCGTTTAACCTCTCCCTTGAAGTACTCCAGGATTAACCCTCTTTTAGGTGTCTTTCATGATGGTTCCTCTGGTGGGTACGGCTTCAAATTCATCGTTGTTGGTGGGGTCAGGTTCATTGGTGGCTTGGTCGATATGGAGGACAGGTTGGCTGTTGAAATATACGATCCAAATCACGATTCCTGGGAGCTCTGCCCTGCTTTGCCGGCTGATTTCAGGTCTGGGAACTCCAGCCAATCTCTTTCATCAGCTTTATTCAAAGGCAAATTTTATGTCTTTGGGATCTACTCCTGCTTCGTCTCTTCTTTCGACTTACAAAACCACGTGTGGAGCGACGTTCAAACTCTCAGGCCACCTGGGGTCATCTTTTCTTTCTTGATTTCATGCAATGACATGCTTGTTTTGGCTGGGATGTGCAATGCGCCACGTGGACCGTCGTTTAATCTCTGGAAGATCGATGAAAGGACAATGGAATTCAGTGAGATTGCGATTATGCCTCAGAGCTTGTTGTATAGTTTAGTAGATAGCGAGGAAGATGACAAATTTGCAAGCTTGAAATGCGTGGGAATGGGTAATCTTATTTATGTTTTCAATGAAGAGTATCACCAAAAGTACCCAGCTTGTCTTTGTGAAATCAGTGCTGAAAATGGGAAGTGCTGTTGGAGGAGAGTGCCTCAATTGCCATCACCTGTTAACAAGTTCCATAAAGTCATTAGCTTTTGTTCAACAGTTTCTCTAACCCATATTTTTGACCGACAAGAAGATGTTGGGCCTGCACAAGCTATGTATGACTGACTGATTTGCCAAATTACATGGAATTTGGTAAGTTTGAACCTTGAATTTCTTTTCCTTTTATCTTCTTTTGTGCTTGATGGATTGTATATTTGTATTAGCATTGGAACATGGTTTTTGAATTGAATAAGATTTGTCCTTAATTAATGTGGTTGAATTTATTCTAATTGTGATAGCATGAATCTATCAGCTTTAGTAGTTAGTCATTGGTGGATATCTAGTTCTAGTAATTAGGAGGTTGAACTTCTTACCCAAGATTAGAAAGAAAAAAAAATGAAGTTAACTTGATATGTTGAATTGGAATATAATAAGATGTAGCAACCAAATGCAGCTATGGCTTGGTAACATCAAAATCAAATGCCAATTCTTTTTTCTTTTTGTTTGCGAGATTTGGTGTTTTTGGATTCTTTCTTTGCCTATTATCTCTGTAATTTGTGCAAAATGAATCTCTTTCCTTACTAAATCATTTCAGCATGTATTTTTTTTTCCTTGCTATTCATAAACTTCATTTAAAAGGTTTTATTGCATCCTAACTGCAATTTGTTGCACAAGTACAAGCCGTTAACAAACTCTGGTTGAGTGGGGCAAAATGCAAATAATGTCTACAGAGTTCTTTTGGTGGGTTTAAACTCATATCTAACCTTCTAATCTTTATTATTTAGCAATTCTTTCTTCATCACTTCAGTTATCAATTCATTCCTAATAGCACCAACATAATTAAACCTCTGTTGAACTACCTATTTGTGTCTAGTAACTTGCTTTTGCATCTTCAGAATTATTACTGAGAATTTTTAACTTTGTACACTGCAGTAGATTTTTCTTCTTTTTTCTTTAATTTCATTTTTGGCTGTCATAAGTGTACTTAATAACACATCATCATACTCCATAGTTGTTTATATACCACTTACCGAGTCCTTTAGTGTGAAAATAGGACATCAATGTCATTGATGCCTTGTTAGTCATTTTAGTTAAGAAACAGTTTGGTCAAATTCTGGTTAATCAATCTGTGGTTGGTGATCTCAGGGTGACCAGCTGAATGTCAAGTTATTGATATTAATTATTGAAAAAAAGTTATTAAAGTTTCTCTGGTTGCCTTGTCTTATAGTCTTAATTGAGCCTCCCATCTCATTAATGAGCAGGTGGCTTTATAATTGTTTCATTTTCTTTTCTTTATGTAGCAATCTACTGAAGATGGCATAAAAACATCTCAACAGAAATTTCACTGTTTTCATTTGAGGTATTGTGTCAGTCATTATCTTTTTCATCAATTCTCATCTTCCGTTGCCCATAGTACCATGGTAGTTGCAAATTTAAGGTACACATTGAACTTACGCAACCTTGCATTTGATTACTAGAGCTACAACTCTACAACCAAGGATGCCTTCGGCAAATAGTTTATCCAAATATGCTTGCTGATTAATTAGCTGCTTTACTTCTAGAACTGACCTTCAGTTAAGCAAAATGCAAAAGAGTAAAGATAATGCAGAAATAAAGTAGGGCATTTCAAAATCACGAACATATAACCTTGAGATATCTTGCTTTTCTGAAAGGAATTTGTGTTGTGTTATGCTGTTGAAATGGTTAATGTTACTGACATTTCATCTTTCCACAGCTTGCTTGACAGCAGCACCAATAACAGATTTCCAAAAATCCAATAAATGGTGGCTGCGACACTTCGTGTTTTAATGAAGAGATGAACTTGCCGCTGCTACTGTATGATTCTTCGTCTGCCAGCCCTTGGATATTAGTAGTACTTAGAAAACGTTGTGAGTTTTATTCGCAGAGTCTCACAAGGAAACAAGGTCACAAGTTTTCGTGGCTGCTTGATTAATCGTCCTTTGAGATTGGTCCTCTTGTCTTAGTCAATTATGTTGGTGTCTGTATATTGATGGTATTTTTATTCTTCTTTTTCTTCAGAATTTCAAATGTGAATTATATGATGGAATGAATTTTATGAAGTGCTTCAACTTAAAACTTTTTCGACTCAAGTAAGGTAGCATCATGAGTGGTTTGAAACATAATTAACTGTTATTCAAGTTAACCATTCCCATAAGCAGTAAACAAAGTTCTGCAGACTTTAATGAACAACCATAACAAGTACATTCTATATATTTGATAAGTTAATCTTTCTCATCCAGAGCATGGCTGAATAACTTTGTAAGTGATATCGTTGCTAGCACTGTAACCTCTTGAGTGTCATCCATGCTAGTTTCTTGATCAGTCATGCAGAATAGTACTTCATGAAGAATGTGCTGACAAGTAGAAAACATGTGTGGAACATGACATAAAACATAAGATTCTTGATTTTATGATTTTTTAGACTCTAAATTTCCTCCCAATGGTGGTCTGCAATGTTAGTTAAAGCCATGTTAGGTTGTTGGTGAAGAATTATAACCTGCTGCATAGAGTTGTAAAGCAATTTAGTTTCCATTTTTGCTGCATCAATTGGTCAGAGAATGAGACCTGGGTTTTATTTTAAGAATTTTTTTCTCTGTTCACCAACCAACAAAAGGAAAATGTTTGTTGTATTTGTTTGGCTTGGATAGCAATTTTCAATTGACCTTAGGGTATACGTTACTATGATTAAAAAAATTGAAACCGAAGATACTGTATTATTGTTGAACTAATTTGTTTTCCGTACGATGCATGGATTTTACTTTGTTAATTTACTTTTAATTATTATTTAATCAATTATTTCTCAATTGTAATTGAAACTGTTTTTTTTTTTTTTTTTGAGGAGATTTAAATTGCGATGTAACAAGTTAAAAACTACTTATTATTTAATCTAGTTATTTGTTATCTATTTCATAAGGTAATCATAAATAATTTATGTGTGTAAAAAAAATTTAACTTCATGATGACATGTAAGATCATTTTTAATTTTATGTTATTTATCAAATAAATATATTTAAAAAATTATTAGTTATTCAAAATTTTAAAATTTAAAAGAAAGAAAATCGTATATATCTAATTATATATACTTGAAATTAATTTATAGTTAAAATACAATGAAAAAATCCTATAAATTATGGTTAATTATAAGGTTTTTTTAAAAAATCACAAATTATTTTTTTAATTTCAAATTTTTTTCTTATCAAATAATCTCATACACTTTTAAGTATGATAATATTATTTATCATATGAAAAATATATAATTTTATATCAATTAAATCTTAGAAAGTTAGTTAAATAAATTTAATTTAATTTAATTAAAATAAATTAAGAAAAAATATTTTTAAATTCATATTCATGTTTGATTAATGAATGTTTTTCAAAATTTAAGAAAAAAATACAAATGGATCGTAATTGAATATAATTTTTTAACTTTATTAAGGTAGACTTGTTCATTACTTAGATTATGAGTCAGATTTATGATTTTATGCATAATTTTTTAATTATAGATTTAAAATATTATTATATTAAAATATTATTTAATTTTAAATTTAAAATACATCTAATATTATAAAATTTTAACATTTTAATAATAAATATAAATTGAATAGGTGATTTAAGTCAAACTTTAAACAAAATCTAAAATTTATAAATATTTACATCTAGATATCACCAAATTCATAAACACTTCTTAATTTTTTTAATTCATATTTTTTAAAAATTATGTTTAAGAAAATATCAAGTGCTTACTAAATGAGATTTGATTTGAAAAATAAAAAAGAATGAAATCAAATTGGATTTCAATTTATCCTAACTTTTTTATAAATAAAAAAAGTGTATAACTTTGAAGAATAAGGAGTATAGCATATTACAAATTTTTATACAAAATCTTAATTGATGCCTTAATTATATTACATACATAAAATATGATTTCAAATGTCAATTAATTATTATTATTTGTAACAATATTTTGATATAAATAGTATGTTCGAATCAATATAATTAAACAAACTATTAATGAAAGTAATTTTGGATATTGTAAAAAAACAGAATTAAGAAAAAAAAATTACCTGATTAAGTGAAGAGTTAAATATATATATATATATATATATATATAAAGGTTTGTAGATAGTACTTACAAAATAAAATAAACAATATTTTTTGTAACTTTGCACTTTGTAAGATATGAAAAAAGAAAGTCAATTGAAAGAAAAAATATTACCTAATTTAAGTAAATAGTCAAAAGTAAAGAGAAAATATTTGTAGATAGCACATACAATATATAAGAATATATATGTTTATTTAATTATACATTTTGTAATATATATATATATATATATATATATAAAAGGTCAAAGTTAAAACTTATATGCTTACTATAAGTATCTAAAAATAAATAAATAAATGCTTTTATAACTTTCACTTTTTAATATAAAAGGAAAATGAGATAACGCAAAAATGGAGAACAATGATAAAAAAAAAATCAAATTGATGTTAAAAAATGATATTAAACAATCATTTATAAATTATTAAGAGATTAAATTTGACCTTTTTAAATAATAAAAGATTATTATGAAATCTATTAAGATAAAATTATATTTGATATTTTTAAAATTTAAGTTATATATAAAAAATTAATTTTAAAAAATAAAAATTATATATTATTATCCTGACTGAAAATTGTATGTGAACTTTTTTATATTTTAGGGGCAAACTTTACAATTATTAATACTATAAATTTAATTGTAAAGAAAATAAAAATATAAGCATTACAAAATGTAACACCAACTACAGATTAAGAATAATTGTGTTTTTTCACTCGTTATTTGATCATTTAGAACGAATCCCATGTCCATACCCATACATATAATTAATTATTAGAAAATTAAATTTTAAAAATAAAAAGATATATTTAAAGGTGTATTTGACAAATAAAAATGATTTTTTTATTAAAAAGAAAAACTTTGGATAATTTAAAATTTTCAAATAAATATATTTTAAAAAGATTTGGATAACCAATAATTTTTTAAATAAATTTATTTAATTTATAAATAAAAAATAAGAACTAATTTTATTTATTTAAATAAAATCTTACTAAAATAAAAAATAATAATTTTATCAATTTAGTTATTTTAAATCTAAATCAGTTTTTCATTTAAAATTTAAAAATTTTAGATAATTAAATAAAATTTGAAATTTATTTTTTGATGAAGAATCTAAAATTAAAAAATATCTTATATATCATTGTAAAAAAATTTTAATAATTTTTTTAAGTGTTAAAATGAAAAACTATTCACATAAATATTCATATCAATAAATTTTATTTAATATTTATATATGTTATAATATAATATATATTTTAGATTTATCATGTATATGAAAGATTAAGTTATTGTAACAAGTTTTAATATTTTATAAAAATAATGATCATATTTAATTAGCACGTATTATTCATTTTAATTAAAAATTTTTACGATTTTATCTTTAAAAAAATCTGATAATAAAACAAATTTTCACATTATCCCAACATAAAATTAGTACATCAATGATAAAAAAAAAAAACCTTTCACCTATTTCCGTGAACAGGCCAACAAAAAAAAAAAAAAGTCAGATTCTAAAACATTCGATTTTTTTTTATCAGATGTCCCCGAAAGCACATCCCATAGCATCAGCATATTTGTTTAGGAGTCCAACTCATGTGCGGATCACTGGGCTAAATTGGGGCCCTCCATTTCTTGGAATTGCCCATTAGCTTGTTATTTGCTGATGCTATGGGAATCATGTTTCCTATAACTGTTTTATTGTAAGCCCCTGTACGCACCTTTATACACCAAAAAAAACATTTCAATTTTTTTGTTACTTTACTGTTCTTTTCTTGACTTCCAAGAAAAATACTCAGGAGTGGACTAAATAAATGATAAAGGCCAAACGGCCCAAAGACCAGGGACCACCTAGCATAATCCAAACCGTTCGTGTATGACATATGCTGTCCTGTAGCGAGTGAGGTCAAAAAAATTTTCTGTCCCGAAAAACCAGACCAAACCCAAACGCAGTAAGAATTAGCGTAGAAAAAAGATGAAAAAAATGGCGAAGGCGTGAGGCTAGAAGAGAAAAGGCCTGGCTAACGGAACAATTAACAGCCTACGTTTTTTGTTATAGCCTTTACCCTCTGTTTCTCTGTCCCCTTTGTTGTGTGTTTAATCTGAGGTTTTCTTCTCACTGCTTCACTACCCTCCACCAGCAACAGCCAAATGGATAGATACCAGAAAGTTGAGAAGCCAAAGCCAGAATCACCCATTAACGAGAATGAGATCCGAATCACTTCTCAAGGCGCTATTCGAAACTACATCAACTATGCTATTGCTCTTCTTCAGGTTCCCCCGACCCCCTTTTTTTTTTTTTACTTTACCTCTCATTTCTTTTGAAAATGTTTCTGTTTCCTTGTTCCTTTAGCATTTAGTGCTTATGGGTTTCTCCTATCTGTTCTGGTGTTCAACATTGGGTTTATTTGCCTTGGTCGTTGTTGGGGTTTGCTTTTTTCTATAACGAGTTCTTAGTTTTGAGATTTCGACGTGGGTATTCTTGGTGCAAGGTTTATGGTTTTCTGGCATAGTTACTTGATGGGTTTTTGGGTAATTTTTTGTGTTTGATTTAGAGCAAAATGATTTCATTGGGTCTTTTTGATTTACAGGGTTGGGTAGTTTGTTTGCATTTGCCCTAGTATTCCACGGGACAGGTTATTTGATGCAAGTTTTATCTAACAGCTGCTTATTCTTTTATTATTTTCAGTTGTGTAATATCTGGGATTTTCTTAAATTTACAGTAATTTATTTATGTTAATGTCGAGATTAATTATATGTTCTTTCAGTTCATAACTATTGATGAGTTAATATTAGTTGTCATATACTTTTATACTTATCTAAATATAGAAGAAAACAAATTCGAACGTAGAATTTTCTTTTTGTGCGATTCTGCCGCCTTTCCCTTCTTTAGCTTGGCTTATCGCACTTTTGCGCATTCTATTTTCTGTTGATTTACCATGAATTACAGTACTTTTTCCCCTCCCGTGAATGGTGTAATGGTGCACCCTTTTTTGGTTTTCCTTTTCCTAATGGAATCAGAAACTGTTGGCCTTTTGTATTGAAGTGTTGTGGTGATGTTTTATTAGGACAAACGTGTGAAGGAGATTGTCTTGAAAGCAATGGGACAAGCAATCAGTAAGACAGTAGCCATCGCAGAGATTATAAAGGTTTGTGCTCTCTTTTATCATCCTGTATTTTGTTTTCCCATTGTTCCTGATTACTCATTTGTACTGTAAAACAGAAAAGGATTCCCCGTTTGCATCAAGATACTGCCATTAACTCAGTGGGCATAACTGATGTGTGGGAACCTATTGAAGAGGGGCTTGTTCCGTAAGTCCAGGCGTCTTTATCCCCGTTTATGACATGTTGGTTTTATTCTCATGTGTCTGATCATTTAATTTCATCTTGTGCAGTGTGGAGATGACTCGCCATGTCTCAATGATATCTATCACCTTGTCAACCAGAGAGCTAAATAAAAACTCTACTGGGTAAGCCACTTTAAGTGTGTAGTTGGGTTTATCACTTCTGGACAATGAGTACGTAAATTGATTAGATGTTGATTGGGTAGCCAATTAGTACCTTTTCGGGGAAATGAAACTATGGAAACTTTTTTTTAATATAATACTTAGCTAGGATTCTTTATCCACTAGATGCCAGTGCTTAAATGTTTTAATAGCCTATGATACGAAAAATCTTATTATATTACTTGCTGAATTGAGATAAATTTTTGCTTGTATGACTTGAAATGTGCGACTCCAGGTATCAAGCTCCACATAATGCAGAACAACACAAGCCACAATATCAATATCAGCAGCAACCACCATCCAAACAGGGCCGCATCCCATATAATGCTTTTAATGAAGGTGACGTCAGGAACAATTAGTTATGTAACTGTTTTCTAAAAACTTTGTTCTTTTAATCTTAACTCGTTTCCTGCATTTCATTTCTAGATTTATACGGCCAAGGAAGGGGTCGTGGTAGAGGGAGAGGGCAGAGTTGGGGCAGGAGTGGATATGGAAATTATCAAGGTATAATATATATTTTGAATGGTGTTATGGTTATTATTTATATTTTTCTTTGAACTTTTACATTTATGGAGAATAAACTTGCCTTCTACTTAGACCATACCTCATACATCGCTCGTTTCTTATAGAAAATGGTGAATACTCAAACTGGGGCAGAGGTGGTAGGAGAGGGAGAGGTTGGGGCTATCGTGGTAAGTATGCTTTTTTCATAGCTTATGTGAGGAGAGTATTTTTTTAGCTTTGAGAAGTTACTTATTGGTGTATCGATGCAATAAACCAATAAGCCATTGTTAAAATCTTACTTGATATATGCTATATAAAAAGAGTTCATAGGTGAAGGTTCTTTGTCTTAAAATTGCGAACCTGTGTCCAGAGTTTCATTGCTGCTCATCAATATTTGCATCATCTATGAACTCTGCCAAATTTGACTCCTTTCAACATAAATAACAATTCAGTTTGTCTGATTGACTGCAATATAAGGAGTGTAGAACAAACAAAGTTTTGAAATAGATCAAATAAAATAATTTCTAGTTTAAATGTTAGCTGTAATCGAGGAGGATTCAAAGAAAAGATATGCAATGATCATACCAAGAATCTTTGAATTTGGATTGACAGGTTTTGGTAGTTAAAATTTAATTAGGAGTGATGGCATTTACACCTATCAAGGTGCTATAAATTACTGAAATTAGTTCAAACTGAAGAAAAGAATCGGATGACAAATGAATCTCAATATGCTAACTATTACTTATAAAAATTTGTTTGGTTCTTTTATTCTGACAGGTGCTGGTTATGAAAGACAAGGAGGAAGAGGTGGAGGGGGTAGAGGCTATAGCCGTGGCCGTGGAAGGATGGGTGGTGTTCGCTTGAGGGGTGATGGCTACTAAAGCATAATCAAGGACTGATTCAGCGCTTTTCTTTTTTTTTTTCCCTTTAGCTAAATGGATGCCTTGGCCAGTGGGGAAGTTATCGCTTATCGCTTTACTGTTTATAATAGCGTTAGATGTGGCTTAAAATCTCCAGCATTATTAAGCAGTGGTTTTGTGTTTCTTTCTGCATTATCTGGATGTGGGTGTAATTCAAGTTACCCTTATGGTTGCCAATAGGCTCAAAACCCAATCATGTTTATATATTTCTTTATTTCTCCAAATTCTTTCGTGTCTCCCTGATTTTCTCTTTGCCCAGAAGCCAGAGTAATTCAAAACCATGCACGGTAAGAGGCAATGGAAAGAAAGGAAAGTCAAAGAAAATATTCCCCTTGCTACCTGGCATATATTCCATGGAATTCTAGCAAGGTTGCCTTGAAACTTATGCTTAAACTGCATTAAGCTCCATAATTTTTTCAGCATCCAATTTCAGAAGCTTGTAGTGAACAGTAAATGTCTGTGCAGTGTAGTAATAAATTGGGGTGTTCTAAATACGCCACTAAATTTTTTTATACACTTACAAATTTTTTTCAAAAAATATTCACATACAAATGTCAATTTTAATTTTTAATAAATGACAAAATTATCTTTAATAGCTTATATACTCGAAAATTATTTTTTATTTTTCAAAAATATAATTTCGAAAGTTATATTATATTTTCATAAATTTATTTTTGAGAAAACAAAATAATTATAAAAAATAAATTACTGAGAATAAAATATATTTTTTAAAAATTTATTTTCAAAAATTATATTATTTTTTCGAAAATAAATTTTTAAGAATCATTTGTATTCTCAAAATCCAATTTTGAGAATACAATTTTTTTAGATATATAATTAATTATAAACTCTTAATAACGAAAAAATTAAAATCTTTAATATTTGAGACTATTTTATAGAGTGTTTAATTTTTAACTAATATGTATACATAGATATGAATTATAGATATATATATTTTTACTTGATTATATATAAAAATAAAAGAGATCAAATTTTCAAGTATGTATAGAATCAAAATATTTTTATCCTAAGTTCAGAAAGCTAAGAACTCAATTTTGCTCATACAAAATAAAAAAGTAGTATTATTGATTTTCTAAAAACGCAAAAAAAATTTATACCATCCATATTAAAAATATTAATTTCAGTTCAATTCGTACACGTAATGGATAAAAATACACCACTATGCTGTTCCCCAGCATTTATCTCTTCTACGATAAAGGAAAGTGGAGTTCTCTTTAATCAATCAAGAACATAGTGAGTGTCGGTATCAGTCAACATCTTGCCTTTAAATTTGTTAAAAGTTTATGAAGGAAAACACATCATCAAGCAGCTAGCTGGACTTGGTTTGTCTTCATTTCTTTTGTACTAATGATAGGTGTATTTCATGGCACCGTGATCTTAAGTACCAAAGCTGCAACTTTTACTTTCTTATAAATAAGGTTGTAACCTCGAATCTCTCTTAATCATAAGAAAAATAATGTAAGCATTTTTAATATATGTACATGATGGGTCTAATGTTTTGGACGTTAAGAAACACGATGGGAGTATAATAATTAGTTATTTCCGTGGTTAAAAATACTAGAGGAGCGGTGACGATGCAAATCGATAAAATGTTTATGGATATTTTAATTTTGAAAAATAACACATTTAAAAAAAAATTTAGACATTTTTAAATGTTTCTTTCTCGACACTATCAAAAAAATCTTTTTGAACATATATTTTTTAATTACAATTGCCATTGCTCGATGCCTAATTACAATCAGAATCAACCAACAGACATATATTATAAAATGTAGATATTCTTTAAAAAAAAAAATTTTTTTGAATCAGCCGTTGGAAAAAATATTTTTTATTAGTTTTATTTAATATAAAATTAATATAACTCGATATTAATCAATGTGTGCCTTTGAGAAAGGTAATAATTAAGTTTTTTTATAATTTAATTTTAAAACACTACAGTTATTAGTTTTATTTTTTTAATTTATAATCTAAAAAAAAATTTTTTTGATGTAAAAATTTGAATCATAAATTTATTAAATATTATTTTTAAAAATAATTATATTAATTAATTAAATTAAGTTTTGAATTAATTAATTTTAATTTTTCAATATAGTAATGAAACATGTTTGAGAAATTTTAGGTAAATGTTATAAAATTTTAATCCAAGTAGTAAATGTTTTGGGATTAGATTATACAGTTGTGATCTAATCGTAACATGTTATTAATAAAAGTTAAAAGTGAAATGCTTTGCTCTACAGAATACCTAACGGAAGAAAAAGAGAGGGTAGAAATTTCAAAGCTTTTACAGTAAATAAATAAAAAGTAATTTTTTTTTACAGTATTTACGTGGAACCTGATCCACGGCATATAATGGTTAATAATTATTTAGAGGGGATAGGAATTGAGTTTTTTAAATAAAAAATAAAAAAAGAGAAGTGAATTATTTCATGGCAAAGCATCCTAAAAATAGTTTGTGGTTTGAACCTAGTCGTTAAAGCAACCACATTCACAGCCTTCATTTGGATATTCATCATATTGATCATGCGCCAGAATTAATCATTAATGTTATATATATATATATATATATTATGAAAGAGAAAAAAAATTTCGATAATTATTTTTTATAAAAAAATTAGAATGAGATAAAACTTTATTACTAGAAAAATGTAAATCTTATGTTTCAAAAAAATTTTGTATTGTATTTATGAAACTTTCCCAAAGAAATTATTTGTAATAAAATTTAAAGTTTACAAATGAAATATTAAAAATTTACTAATTCAACTAATCCTAATTGATAATTAATAAAAATTTCAAAATTATTTGAATGATATATATATATATATATGTATGTATATGCGTATAAACTTAAAGCTTTTCTATGAAGCCAATAGTTTTTAATCTAATCCATTTTATCATCAAATTTAAGGAAAGATATGATATTAATTATAAATTTCGTATAATATCACTTATTTTTTTATTAGAAAAGTTACAAAAAATTATTATAAACTTTATTAAATGACAAATATTATCTTTTAAAAATAAATTTTTAAATTAATTGAATTAAATATTAAAATTTTGTAAATATCGCCGTATATGACACTAACATTTTCTATTAGCACAAACCATTATATGATTGGCTGAGAAATAGAAAAGTCCAAGTACCTATACATTCAAAAGTGAATATATATATGTGTGTATATATATATATATATATATGTTATAAATTAAAAAAAAAAATTTAGGGGTAGATATGTTGTTCAATCTTTCAGATCAAGATAAGATATGTCGTACCTGATAATTTAAAATAAATAATTATAAATCATGTATTTGAGATAACTTCAATAAATAATCACCGACAAGATTCGAACTCAAAGATTATTCATAAAAAAAAAATATTAATTGATTGAACTAATTACTTATTGATTATGTTATAAATATTTTTTCACCTTTCTTAGGCTACAATTTTATTTAATATGAACAAATAATAAATATTTGTAAAAATAATATTTAATGTGAACAATTCAATTACTTCATTTGATGGTAACTCCATTGTTACATAAACCAACTATTAAAACTTAATTTTTGATCATGCAAACCAAAGATTATACTTTTACAATATATTAAAAGATGAAAAAAATGAAATTAAAATATAACAATATGAATTCGATTCATGAATATTTATACTATTTAATATATATATATATATATTAAATTTAAATTACATTAACCAATAATTAAAATCTTTAACAATTAATTGAGTTCATTGATACCATAAATTCATAAATAATTAAATTTATAAAGTCACGTAATTAAATATTCGTGCCATTTAATTAAGCAATTTAATTAATTAAATGTTATTTCATTTCTTCTAAAATATAAATAATAGTAAGATATGGATTAACTATCGAAAATTTTAAAAACACCAATCAATTCGTAAAGTCACTTAAAAATTAAAAATTAAATAATAAAAAATAAAATTGAGGATAAACATACATATATACATAAAATATTACTATACATAACTCTAATAAGATTTATTATTACATAACATAAAAAAATTTTAAAAATTAAAAAGAATATAAAAATAATATTAATAGAGTATAATAATTAATAATAAGGAGTCTTGATAATCGTTATAAAAATACTGATAGTCGCTTCTTTGTCCTCCGTAAGGACTACTATTCTCTTTTATCCAGGGGCATCTTTGCGCATAAACTTTTAATTTCTTTTCTCTTTCAATTTGCCTCTATTATTAATAAAAATAAACTATTGAATAACAAATAAAAAAATTACAATTGTCATCAAATTGAGAGTCTTAATGAATAGTAAGTAATTTGGAGATTATTACGTATTATAGTTATATTTATGGTAATTTTTTTTTCAACTTATGATTCTTTTGGTAAAATTATTTATTCGTGATAAAAAGAAAAGAAAAGAAAAGAACAGTAGAACCGCTTAAAATTAGGGGTATGGTATCTTTCTGTTGGCTCCAGCTGCAGCAAATGGGGGCGTGGCGGGGATTGGTGTTAGAGAGATATGTGATAGGTTGAGAATATAGACGCAAAGTCGTCCGGATACATGTTTTTTCAACCCCATTATTACTTGCACCTATTTTTTTTTCCCAAAGATTGCGTAGAGAACAACAGAAACAGCCTCAAAGCCTCCTTTCTCTTCCAAATCCTCACTTCAGTTTATATATATATAAAAAAGAAAGAGAAATCTAAGAAGAAAAGAATGGAAGGCTGCTCCAAGAATAATTATAATAACAACAAGATGATGATGAGCAGCTCAAGAAAAGAAGATCTTTTTCATGTCATTCATAAAGTTCCTCAGGGTGATACTCCTTATGTTAAAGCCAAACATGCTCAGGTATCTGTCTCTAATCTCTTGTTTTCTTTAAGAACAAGGACCCCCCCCCCCCCCAAAAAAAAAAAAACCCAATTTTTTTTTAACTATAGTTTCTTCACTTTGTTTTTTTTGCATGTTTAGAAGACATAGATCTGTCTGAAATGCTAAGGGACTGAAGCATGTTAGAGCTTCTGCGACAAGCAAATATAGATATGTTCTTTGGTTAATTCAATTATGTATATTTTCCTTTAGTGAAACTATTGCACCTTAATTTTTCTCCGTACACAAACAGTTTAAACTTAGCTAGCAGCAGGGATTTTTTTCTCTTTTTTTCTTTTTCCAAAGGCAACGTTGGAAAAGTTTCTTGGATCCTAGGAAGAGAACAGGAAGATGGATGGAAATTAAGCCTGACATCCCATAAAATTACTAATGTAAATTAAGGAAGATCAGGGTCATAATTATAGATGAGTTGATAACCTTATAGTCAACAGCGTCGTCTCAATGAATAGTTGACTTTGTTTTTTCATCTTAGACATCTCAAATTGATGAACAGCAGCTCCAGAAATCTTCCACTGTTGTTTAACAACTATCTTCTACTGTTTATCGTTTTCTTTTCTCCATTTAAAATCTTTTTTAAACTCGATTAACATTTGTTTTGGTTTCGTTAATAATCATTTAACATTTTTATTATGATAGTCTAATTTTAAATTATTATCATATGTACCTTCCATCTTCCATCTTTTATTTTTTCTATTTTTCATGATATTAAATTAAAGAACACATATTTAGTTGATTATTACAGTTCCCAAATCTCCCTTCTTTCTTCAATATTTCATGAATGTACTTTATGCTTTTCTCTAATTGACATATAATTAGCACTTCAATTACTCTTAAATCACAAGTTTGTTAAACTGTGCCTAGTCTGAGTTGATTTTTTTTTTATGCAGAGTAAATTTGTGAACAAAATTTTATATGTTAAATATTAAGGATATTTTGGATTTTTTTGAACATGTAGTTTGGTCGCCATAATTATGTTTATATTTAAAAAGCCATCATTTTAAGAATTTATGCGTTTGTAATTTTTTTTTTCTTCATAGTAAAAAATTATGCAATAATTACAAAAATGGACATAATTCTCGTGTTGAGAGTGAATTATTATAAATTTTGTACGTTCAAATTTCAATTTTTTTACACTTGTTTATTTTTCATTTTTTGAGGAAAAGAAAAGGACTTTTAACCCGAACAAAAGTTAATTTAAGCAACCTTTTTTTTTTTAACTTTTAATTTAAGCAAGCTCAAAATTTCTTCTTTAAGAAATTGAGAATGTTATAATATGTAATATATCCTTTTATTAAATCTCACCGTTCTTCGTTCATAATACGAATTTAATGAACACATGATCACAAATTTATTTATAACTTTAATTATAGATATATATCTCTTTCTCTTCTTTTTTTTCAACTTTTTCTTAAATTAAATGAAACTAATTTCAACAAGTTACGGAAACGAACTTAATAAATTTTGTATAGATGGTATTGAAGATATTCTTAATTAAACTTTTTTTAAGTATGATCCAATTCATTTGAAACGATTATCTAGACGATCCCGTGATCAAACATCAATAATTTATACTTCATTCGAATGGTCAGTAAGACAAGATTTTCATCTTGTTATCGTATCATTTTAAAGATTCAATCTTGAAACGATGAGATGGTGTAATAAAATATTTTCCTGTTGGCCATCCAATGGAAGATTATTACTTAGCAGCTGTTTTCAGACTGATAATCCCGTGGCTCTCGTGATCAAACATCAGTAACAGTGGAATGACGTGAGCTACCAAAGCATGAATATATCGTGCTTTAGCATTTAAATTAATGTGGGACATTGCTTTTCTTTTCTTTTTCTTGGATAGGTAAGATAGAAATAATTAGTCATCATTTCCTCGTTATTGTTTGTCACTTTATATTGCTTCATTCAATCTGTCAAGAAGCCTCGCAAGAAATTGAACTATGCCTTCATTATTTAGAAAACCAATTAATATACCAAAGGGTTTGGACAACTAGCCTTTGCAGTCAATGAACCATTCGATGACTGGGGCTCCCACTCAAATCTCAATGATAGTTATTAATGACGAGTGACAAGTGATATTATCTTATATCAGTAAGATTAATTTTTTTTTTTTTGGTTTTATGTTTAAATTGATTTTTTTTCATTAATTATTGTTTAATTTTATGTTCAATGTTTAATATTATATTCGAGTTTCGTTGAAAGAAGTGTTTTCATTTCATGTCATTCATCTACTTTTCAAACACATAAATGCAATGCAAGCTATATATGTATAGCATGAGTACACTTTATGCATGGTTGGCTGAATTAATAGCTAAAAGAAAGTATGGAATTAACCAACATATATCCATGGTGGTTTTGCCTTTGAATTATATTCCAGCTGGTACAAAAGGATCCAGAAGCGGCCATTGTACTATTTTGGAAGGCAATAAATGCCGGGGATAGAGTAGACAGTGCACTAAAGGACATGGCCGTGGTGATGAAGCAACTAAACAGAAGCGAAGAAGCCATCGAGGCTGTCAAGTCTTTCAGGGGCCGTTGCTCAAATCAAGCACAGGAGTCACTTGACAATGTTCTCATTGACTTGTACAAGGTATATATAGATGATTAATTCCATGAATTTCCAATCTCCGCTACTATATTTTGTTTTTTCTTTATGATGGCATTAATGATCATAATTGAGTTTGGCAGAAATGTGGGAAAGTAGACGAGCAGATTGGCTTATTAAAACGAAAGCTAAGATTAATATACCAGGGAGAGATCTTCAATGGAAAACCGACCAAGACGGCACGCTCCCATGGAAAGAAGTTTCAAGTTTCTGTAAAGCAAGAAACTTCAAGATTACTGGTATGATTTTGATTTTGCTTAGTAGTTAGTACTACTACTACTACTACTAGTATTTGTTCCCTGGCTCTGATACAACTAGCTCGATAGTTCGACACATAAAAGCACAACGTTTGCAATTATCGATTGCCTATAGTTCATTTAAGAAGCCAACATCAAGAACTGTCTTTTCCCTATTTCCCAAATGTCTTTGCTTCTAAATGGATTATTATCTGAAACTGCATGGAATGGCAAATGTCACAGGGAAATTTGGGGTGGGCTTACATGCAGAAATCAAACTACCTGACAGCTGAGGTGGTGTATCGAAAAGCCCAGATGATCGACCCTGACGCCAACAAGGCTTGCAACTTGGGCCTTTGCCTGATCAAGCAAGGCAGGTATGATGATGCACGTTCAGTCCTGGAAGATATATTGCAAGACAAACTTCCAGGTTCTGAAGACATTAAAGCCAGGAACAGAGCTGAGGAATTGTTGATGGAACTTAAAGCCTTTCAGCCACCAATGGAATTATCAGATATTCTGGGCCTTGATGATGATTTTGTCAATGGGATTGAGCTATTGGTGAATGAATGGGCCCCACTTAGAACAAAGAGATTACCCATTTTTGAAGAGATCTCCACGTTTCGAGATAAATTGTCTTGTTAATAATAATAATTGTTCTTTTGGGTGTTCAAAAGGGTGTTTTGTGCTATAGAATTGGAGAAGAGGGGGGGGGGGGGGGGTTTCAGTTCTTTTAGATTTGTAGGAAAAAGTAAGGTATGCTGTAAATAGTGTAGAAGTTCATCATGTCAGGATTTGTTTCCAAAACCCATTTGATTTGCCTTCTAATAAGACTAGCTTTTTATCATATGGACATTGCAAAAATACAAAAATAAATAAGGAAAGGCTAATCTACTTTGAAATAATGCAATAATGTTATTTTTAGTATATAAAATTTTCTTTGATCAAGTATTTTTATTTTTTTCAAAGTAAATTTCAATCTAAATCTAATTTTTTTAAAAAGGAAATTTGTTATATACACTCTTAAAATTTTTCTTAAAAATACACAATATTTTTGAACTTAAAAAATCACTTCATCTACTCCTAAAATTTTAAAATACTCTTTAATCTTAAGAAATGTTTTGAAGTAGTGCATGTAACACTCCCTTTTAAAAGATAAATTGTGTGAAACTAATAATTTATAGCCCATACACACTATTATAATAATATTAAACAATAGTTATTAAATGATAAATGTAATAAAAAAATGAAATGAAACAAATGGATATTATTGCGAGTAAAGTTTTAATGAAATATAATTTTATAAATAAAATTACAATGTACAAATATTTTTTTATTGGGTTTGGTCGGAAATTTTTTTTTTCATTATTTAAAAATAATATAAATTTTTTTATTTTATTCAAGGATAAATAGTATACTTTTAGTTAAAGTTAAAAATAATATTTTTATAAATTATAATTAATTATTTTTTACTCAATTTAAAATTATTAAAATTTTAGTTTATTTAATTAAAAATGCATTATTCAAATTTGTTATTTTATCCGTTTCCCAACTTCAATCCAAGGCGGCGCTGTGCTCTCGAGTTCCAACTCGAAACCAAGCCGCCACGTTCAGTCATCCTCCTTTCGGTGTATGGCAGCTAAAATTAAAACCCAGTGATAGTAACAAGAAAAGATGAGATGAGGAAGTGGTCAAGGAATATGAGATCCCAAGGGAAAACAATTGGGTTAGTTCCCACCATGGGTTACCTTCACCTAGGTCACCTGTCACTCATCCAAGAAGCACACAAGCTCAGCCAGCTCATTGTTGTCTCTATCTATGTAAACCCAGGTCAGTTTTCTGCTTCTGAGGACCTTTCAACATACCCATCTGATTTCCATGGTGATATTCTTAAGCTTAAGTCTGTTTCTGGTGGAGTTGATGCTGTTTTTTGTCCCAATAATCTGTATGACTTTAATGATAATGAGAAGCAAAAGAATAAGAATGAAAAGGAGAATTGTGCTAGTCGGGGTGAGGTGGTTTCTTGTGTGTGGAGGAAAATGGGAATGAGCATGAGACATAGATGAGAGTTGAGAGATTGGAGAAAGGTTTGTGTGGAAAAGTAGGCCTTTTTTCTTTGGAGGGGTTGCTATTATTGTGACCAAGTTGTTTAACATTGTGGAACCTGATATTTGCTGTTTTCCTTAAAAAGGATTAGCAACAGTGGAGGATTATTCAGCGGATGGTAAGATTTTTTTTAACATTCTCTTCTTGATCATATTAGTACTTTTTAAAATGGTATATTCAAGAAGGAAGCTTTACTATTTCATTGTAACTGTTCTGACTTGTTTGCTACAGTACAGGTTCGAGATATTGATTTCGGCGTTGAAATTGTGGGGTCTGAGATAATGCGTGATAGTGATGGCCTTGCATCGAGTTCGCGAAATGTGCATCTATCCCCAGAAGAAAGGGAAAAGGTTCCACTGTTATTTCATCTTTTTTCTTCTTGGAACGTGTGATGCTTGTTATTGCTGCATAGAGTCTAGACATTCCATTATGTGGTCTACTAAGTTTGAATTTTATTAATAAAAAAATAAAAAAATAAGTGATTTAGTTTATGTAAAATTATTTGAATTAGTTTGAGTTAAGTTTAACGTTAAGGTTTAAAAGAAATTGAGATTTTTATTCAGATTGAGATTATGTGGTTTTAATCCTATAAATATAGACTCAAATTAGAAAAAAAAATACATAAAACATAGAAATTAAAAAAAAATCACACCTAAAAAGCAATCAAAAGGAAATTTTTTAGAGAAAAAAAGTTTTTTTAAAAATTTTTTTGAAAATTTTTAGTTTTCAGTGAATTTTTTTGTAAGTTTTTCGATACTGATTGAACTTTTCAATAGATTTTTCAAAATTCGATAAAAATTTTGATAACAATTGAATTTTTCGGTGACCTTTTAACTAATAAACCTAGATTATAGTAAAATTTTTTAGAATTCGATAAAATTTAACTAGTGTTTTTGGGGTTTTAGAGAGAGAGGGAGAGAAAATAAAGAGAGAGAAGGAGAAATTTGAAGAAGAAAGACCGGATTCAAGTTTTTATACTAACTTTAAAATGATGTCGTTTTGATCTTAATAAATCCATAAGGATTCTCGCGTTTTCATTTGGGGGATCCAACTTATAGTGCTAACTAGTTTATGACCCGTGTTTGACCTTCCTTCAGCTTTTAATTCTAGTGGAGCCGAGCCGTAAGCCAAGTTACAAAGTCGTATCCCTGGAGCTACATTTTCTGTCTCTAGTCGAGCGGAATTCCAATCACCAAACCAAGCCGTTTTGATATTTTATTTATTTATTTATTTAGTTATTATATTTATTTTGTAAGTGTTTTTTTGCATGATTAAATTTAGAAAAAGAATAAAATATTTTTTGAGAATAAATATTAATTATCCAATGATGAAAATTTTAAAAATTTTAAATGATAAATTTTTATAAAATTTCTAGGTGAAGAATTTTGTTTAAATTTTCTCAAATTATGAAATAATTTAGATAAAGTTTCAATAACAATAATTAATATTTATTTTCAAACAAAAAAATAAAAATATTAATAAAAATTTTGGAATTAAATATAAATTATCCAATGATGAGATTTTTAAAAATTTCAAATGGTAAATTTTTAAAAATTCTTTAGATGAAAAATTTCTCTAAATTTGTCTCAAATGGTAAAATAATTTAGATGAAATTTTAATAAAAATAATTGTATTCTTTTTCAAATAAAATTTTTTATTGAAAATATTTGACAATTATCCAATGATGAGATTTTTATAAATTTCAAACGGTAAATTTCTTAATAAATATCGCGGTGAAAATTTTCTTTAAATTTATTTCAAATTGTAGAAGAATTTAAATGAAATTTCAATAAAAAAAATAATTGTTATATTTTTTTCTTTGCAAAAAATAAAAAAAAAATTTAAATTGACCCAAATAGTGAAAAATTTGGAAATAAAAAAAAAATTCTAAATAGGCCCAAACAGTAGAAAATTTAAAAATTTAAAAGAGAAAATATTTCTAATATGACTCAAATGATGAAATAATTAGATATATTTTTAATAAAAAATAAATTTTCAACGAAATATTTTCAAGAAAACAAATGGGATTCTTGAATACTCTTGAAGTGAGAGAATATTTTTAAGGGTTCTACCAGATTGATGAAAGAATCTTAAAAATTATTTTCAATATTTAATATAAAAATTAAAATCATTAGAATCAAGATCTTAGCATAAATTTAAAATAAAATGATACCATCTTTTGGATTAAGAAAACAAATGGGATTCTTGAATACTCTTGAGGTGAGAGAATATTTTTAAGGGTTATATCAGATTGATGAAAGAATCTTAAAAATTATTTTCAATATTCAATATAAAAATTAAAACCATTAGAGTCAAGATCTTAGTATAAATCTAAAATAAAATGTTACCATTCTTTGGATAGTCATATGGGGGTACTATAACCGTTTATATATGTAACTGAACTCTCAAACCTTATTCTGGTTAGTAGACCTAAAACTATTCTTTTAGAAACTTTTAGTCAAGCTTAGGAGCTCTTTAAAAGGTAGATTCATTGGGCGACCAATTGCACCTAATTAAAAAAAATTGATGGCGATTCAATTTGTTAAATTTAACTATAGATTTTTAGATCTATATATTATGATATAGAGGTTTTCAGGTTGTCTTAAATGATAGTTTTATTTTGAACTCCATTTTCAATGATCTGTTTGACGGAGATGCTCTTTATCTAGATGCTTGACTCTCACTGTGTTTCTCTTGTAGAGAATGGTTCAATTGCATTTAACTTATATACTTATCGATACAAAGTGAGTTTTTTTCGACTACTAATATAATTCTGTACATGTAACTGAATTAGTTCATGTTGATCTTGTAGGCGTTGTCTATTAGCAGGTCCTTGTTAAAAGCTAAATCTGCTGATGAAGAAGGTCAAGTTAAATGTAGAGAACTAAAGGATTTGGCTGTACATACAATAACTCAGGCTGGGGGAAGAATTGATTATGCCGAGGTTGGCTACAATCTTTCTTCCTTGACCTTCTAAATAGTTTGCACTTATTAAGAAATTAAATGCTCAAATGACATTCTTATTTCGCTATCCAAGGCCATTAAAATGTTGTATATTGGCTGATCGACTATGCTCAAGTTCAAATAGTATGCTTGGATAACAACATTCCAAGTTGATTCAATCCCCTGAAACCTCCATAAATGCCAACCTTGTCCGATTCTATTCATTCATACCTTTCTTTTCCTTAGCTTTTGTTTCTTCTATTTGGTCTTTTTTGTCATCCTATATCTATTAGCATTATTGAATCAAGGTCAACTTACCATCAATATATAGCTTTGTTCTCATGTGGGGTGTGAAACCAACAGCTACAACAGGACAAGCATCTACTTGAACACTTCACTTACACCCTCTACTCCTAGTGAACATCCAGGTTCATATCCCCTGTGATCCCTCTTTAAGACCTTGCCACAGCATCCATTTGATTATAAATGCATTAAGTTCAAATAAAATGTCAATATTACGTATTAGAAATTTCTTGTTTTGGCTGCAATATCTGTTCAACATTGCATGAAACTGTTAAGACTAGCTGTTTTGTTTTTCGAATATCCATGATTTGTGAACACTACTTGAATGGTGTAATCAAAGTTTATGTCTGGGGCTCCTTACTTGGATGGAAGAAGTTTAATTGCAAGTGTTCTACTTACAATGCATTTTGTTTGCGGATTGTAGACCTGGAGAATTTGGAGGCAGTGGAAGAGATCAAGATTCCTGTTGTGTTCTGCATTGCTGCCTGGTTTGGTGAGGTTAGGCTAATAGATAGCATGGAAATCAACGTATGAAATTTCATTGATCAAGGTTAGGCTTTATGGTTCTGCATTCCTGTTGCATTTCTTTTTTCTTTCTCAGCTCTAGGAAGTGGCCACTGAACTGATCAACTGAATAATCATGCTTGGTCAGCAATTTCTTTGTTTTTCTACAAAGGGTTCTTCGCATGACATGCTTTTACCATATGTTTGATTCTTTGTTCCAATACCTGATGTTTTGTCAAATTTTGTATAATTCCAGCGAGGTGATTAGAGAGAAATGATGCTTATATTGCACTCTAATAGTATTTTGACTTTGAGCCATCTAGTCCATGCATTTTGGGGTTTGAACGCACATACACCAGAAGGCAAGACAGATATGAACCCACGAGGGTTCGTAAGCTATAGAGCAAGGCTAGATTTTAGAACCACAGAAAAATGCTTCCTTCATGTCCCTAAACAATGATCATCTGAAAGTACCTTCTTTAATTTTTTTTATATATCAAAATTCAATTTCCAATAGATGCTTATCAAATTTCCGCACATCAACAAATTTAATGCTATCAAAAGAATCCAAAATATATAAACTATACAAGCACATAGTCTTCAGATATAGGCTAAAGCAGAAAAGAACGTGTAATAAAAAAAATCTACAACTAGGAAGAGCATCAATATTGACTGCAGCAACAGCAATCCATGAGTGCCAATAGAGTGTAGCAGACTAAGCATCATCAACATTTGAAGCCACCACAAGCAGACAGTACGATGATGAGAATCAAGGCGATAAGGATTCCAAGAACTATCAGCTTTATCTTCATGTTCTGCAACCACATCTTTCTCCTCATCTGGGTTCCGTTCTGCCTGAAATCTTGCGCCTACAATGTCCAATCGACAAATAATTTTAAACTGTAAGAAATGCACAATTGAATGAAACAAGCAATTCGTTGCGTGTCACAAATGTTCAAGATTCCACACTTGACATTCTTGTCTTGGACTTACCTTATGATGCTAACAGTTTACATAAATGTACTTTATTTTATCTGTAAGACAACAAGCCCAAATATTTGCCCTACTTATAATCTATCCCAACATTTTAAAGTACAAGAATATCATATACATTTGCTGACCTGAGAACGAAGATTTTCTGTTTTATCCACCAGAATCTCAATTTTCTCGCCACGATCCAGAACCTACAGAATAAATTTGTTAATGAAAACACCAAAAAGGATCTGAACACTTTATTATTCATGATCCAGAAATTTGTAAAGCTGGACTTTTCCCAGTTAAAACCCTCACATTGCACTCCATGTTATCATGTATATAAGGCAACTAAGAATGCTAACAACAATTACCTTCTCAATGTTTTCCATCATAACTCCTTTGACTTCTGAAACTTGAGCTTTCACTTTGGCAATCTTACTAATCTCCTCTGGATGATCAATGCAATACTGCATATGCTCCTTCAATTTTGGCCTAGATCAATGATCATAAAAACATAGCATCAATGCACTTGTTAACAAAGTAGACATTCTATTTAATGGTCAAGGAAAAGAAAATACCCAAACTCTTTGCTCAGGCTGTTTGCAGGAGCAGTTGCAGCTTTTCCTCCACCATATCTCTTGTTAAAATCCTCCTTAATTCTCTCCAGAAAGGCAATTGGAACCTGTCGGCCAGCGGATTCAACAGCAACCACACAGTAAGCTACAAAGAGGAAGGAAGGAGGTTAATTCAAGCAAGGAATGAAGAAACCTTATTTCTTAATAGAGGATACAACACAAGCTGTGAAGTAGCAGGAAAACATCATGCAAGCACCAAAAGGATATGAACGCCTAAGCTTTCAGTTTTTCAATGTACAAGCAAACATTAAAGGACCAAACATGCCTATTCTTCTACAACCATAGGGATGTGAACAAAGGACATTAATTATTTACTAAAGTAATCAAATTACATAACAAATTAACAACCCCAAAAGATATATATATATATATATATATATACACATACATACATATATATATATATATATTGAGAGAGAGGAAAAGTATAAGCAAACAATGCCATCAAATTAAAATTTGGAAAGCACACAACCATTCACCTGATTGAAATGAAAAATACCAAACATTTGAATTATACTCTGTTTTGACCACTTAATTTTCCGATATATATGACTGAGTTTAAGGAAAAACATGCATGTTCTAGAATTAAAGATTTTTTTAAAGTAAATAGCAATGCAACTGCCGGCTTTTTAACATTTCTTAATTTGAGTAAGAACAAATTCAAGAAAAACTGCATGAATTGAAACCGAGCGAGGTTCTGATCAATCTAGCCCCACCTTATACAGGAACTTCAAAGCCTATTATCATAGTAGTTAACAGGCATATAAAAGAGCACAGACACTATAGAATAATAAGATAATTAAAAAAAAAAAGAAAGCAAAGAACTTATTAATTAGGTTTGATTTGATCGTTGTTTTTGCCACTTGCTTTGTTACCATTAACTTTTTGCTACTTGCTCTGCTACTATTAACTTTTTGCTTCCTCAAAAGTTAATAAAAGGCAAAAATAAATAAAAACTAAAATCATATTTCCTAAGAATGACTAAAATGATTAAAATATAACAAACATTCATTCATAATTGTGGATATAAAGTACGATCTGCATTTGGGTATTTATAAAAGCTTAAGTAATTTTTCAGTTTTTAATTATTCAAAAATATTTCGTATTTGCTTTGGTATCAAAATTAGATTAATGCTTTTGGCTTCAAGATAGTGGCTAAGAAACCCTTTGTTACAAGATTTCTATGCAGATTTAACTCATTTGAATCGGCCAAACATTCATCATTCTTTTAGTTTTTACTCCTACTGAGTTTTGGAAAGTTTATCAATATAAAGAATAGGGTTTTATGTATACTAATAGATGCATACTTCATTTATTGCCCATCTTAACCAACTCTTTTCTTAAAATAGAAATAGTCCAACCGATTCTATCTCTTTTCCCTTTTCTATGCATTAAGTTACGCTGAAAACACAATTAATTTTAATAACCTAAATAGAAATCGCATAATTTAATCATACAAATCATTAAAAAGTGAAATAAAACTAATAAACAAAAAAAAAAGTATAAAAAGCAGCTAAGGAAAATCGACCAATAACGACGACGACGACGACGACGACGACGAGGAGGAGAGAAAGAGCTTCATCGTCGGATCAGAGAAGCAGTAGAAAGATAGATCAGAGAGATGAATAAACGAAATGAGTAAAATAGAAAAAAATGGAGAAAGAGACAGAGAGGGAAGAGGAGATTACTGAAGCCGTTATCGACAAGATAGTTGAAAGTATGCCCATCGCAGTTGTAAGTGAACTTGTTGTTGGAAGCAGGAAGTTTCTGGAGACACTGAGAAGCTATGCTGGTGAAGTTGCCTGTGAATTCGGTGTAGTCGGCTAAAACCACCGTGCCTCGCGCCACGAAGGCGTAGATCAGCGACTGTTGCCCCATCACAATGAAAACCTCCCCAAACCCTAGCCGAAAGAAAGAGAGAGAGAGATAGAAACAAACGGAAAAGGATAGAAGACGTAACGTTTTTGATTTGGAGAGGGAAATAGGAAAGAAAAAATGGAAAGGATTTTATCGTTGAGAAGAGAAGAGAGAGAGAGGAAGGAAGGAAACTTCCTCTCTTACATGGGAAACTATGTACCGTCAGCGTGACTTTTTTTTTTTTTTCAAATTTTTTGAGTGGCCCGGGATTTCAATTCTATGAAAAATAACGGGGATGCCACGGAGTTTGAGCTTTGAAATTGGAATATTTGTGAGATTTGAATGAAAGTTTGGAATTTTAGCTTTAGTTTTGTGTGTTTCTAGAAAAAAATAATTTTCTCACTTTTTTTTTCTTTTATTTTGTTTGGATTGTTTATTATTTTCCTTCTCTTTCACATTTATTGCTTATATTAAAAAAATCCAATCTTGTTCAAAAATTTTCCAATTCATTCATGGACCACGACTTTTCTTTTCTTTTTTTTTTTTTTTTTTCTAGTACTGCTATATTTATATTACATATTTATTACACGGTATGTGATCATGGATTACGCAACCAAACTGACATTTTTTAAACCCGAACGACTACTTATGCTACTAATCAAGTTGGATGCAACGAAAATAGGATTCGAAGATTCCAAAAAAAAAATTCTAAACTTTTTTTTTTTTTGTCATTCTCATTTTAAAAGGAATAAAAAATATTATTTTTATCTCATCTTTTTTATTTTTTTTAATATTTTAAAATTATCTTTTAAACACTTAAATTTCTTTTTTTTTTTGTGGTCTAAAATTATTTTTCATTAATTTTTGTTATTTTTTCATAAAAATTACAGAACATCATAATTAATAAAAAAATTAATACGATACAAACTAAAACCAAAATTATTTTTAACGCTAAAAATCTATGAGAAACTAATAATATGGAACGAAGAATATACCAACCATAACGATTGGTATAATTCAATATCCATTTCAAATTTAAATTAGTCTTAATTATACTCTCACCCAATCTTTTTATGATTAGTTTAATATGCTTTAAATGTTTGGTTGGTAGAAAAGATAAAAGAATAGTAAGGATGGAAAAGTTTTTAATTTAATAGTTAAATTATAAAATAAAAAATAATTATGAATTTCAATCATTAAATTAATAAATTTTTTATTCTCATTTTTTTAAATCCTTTCTACCAAATAAAATATAAATAATTTAAAAGATGACAATTAAACAAAAGACGTGAAATTACTAGAAAAACAAGAAAGAAAGGATGCGAAATTTATTTTATGTTAGTAACATTTTTCTTGAGGAGTTCTAAAATGGTACTTCAATGAGTAGTTTTTTTTTTTTTTTTTTTTGTAACTATAGTATATTTTGGTTTTTGTTTGTGACTCATGGCATCAATAACTTTGGTTCAATCTAATACATTATTAATTATGGTATATTATTAATAAAGATCAAAAGAACCAATTATAGCAAGGTTTTTTATAAATAAAATAAATGAAATTGCACGTAATGAAAAATGATGTCAATTGTTAAAATTTACAATTTTAATTTATTAAATATTATTTTTTAAAATAATTATATAAATTAATTAAATTAAATTTTAAATCCAATATGTTGTTTTTCTTCTTAATAAAATTTTCTCAATCATTTTTCAACACTATTAGCCACGAATTTGCTTAAAGATAAAACTGGAGGTAATCTCGAATAACCTTAGGCAACGATTACTAGACAATGATTACAATTAAGATTTGTTTTGACGTTACTTTTTGTTTTTTTTTAGTATTTTTTTTTCATTCGTCTTCTATTTTATTTTATTAACATTTTAACCAAAAATTAAAACAAAAACAAAATTATTTACCAAACTATATATTATGCTCTACTATATATACTTATAGATACATCAATTACGAATGATAGTGAATAATTACTTGAGTTTCCTCAAATAAAAAAAAATGCATGAGTTATAGTATTGTTTTTTTTTTTTTAAATTTTTTTTATCGTCAATCAAACTAAGCGGCCGGTGGTACAGAAAAGATTTGAACAACAGCCAAATTCTAAATTATTAATTGAAGTTAAAACCAATATTATAATATATACTATATACTTTGTTTGTCAATATTTTGCGATGGATCTCAAATCTTTTATTAAAATCCAAATGCTTAATCAATTTTTTCAACGTTCCTGTTTGCTTAGCTATATTATTATTATTATTAAAACTATATCATACAGGTTACTATATACTTATAAAAACACATTGTATATGAACAAATTCATCTAAAAAAAACATGAGCAAGTTTCCTCTGTGGAAGAATCTTATTGGCTTTACTTATCAGAAAATATTTTTGCCCCTGTCATTAAGTTTTTTGGATTAACAATTTTCCAATTTGAACAATCTTAAGATTGATTGGAGGGTGCTGAACAATCATAAAATGCATTAAAGGCAGTGGGAGCCATCTAATTAGACCTCAAATAGACCCTTGGAACCACAGAATTGATCCTAACGGATTAGGCAATTGGTTGAATATGTTAAACATAATCTAGTTGGAGCCCATGATAGGGGTAGTGTAGTTCCGCCCAGAAGAGGGCTAATTGTCTGTATCAACCAAGAATAAAAGGAGGAAAAACAACAGGCTATATAGCCCAGTTAGCTGGGATTCATTAGGAGTTAAGACCCAAACCCGTTTTTCTCGGAAAAAAAATCTAGGATATTCCTTAGATTTTAATGAAGGGGACAAAAAGTACAGAAATACGGGAACTGAAAACTGAGAAGAACCGAGCAAGAAAGAACAGACGAGAAAAACCATGACCGGACTTGCTTCAGCTTCAACACCCACTTCTACTTTCCCATATATTCAACAATCTAAGTTTCAAAGCAGGCGTTATATCGATCCATGTAACTCGGTTGTGATTCCTACTACTCAGTCGTTCTCCTCAGATCTCAGCTTTACAAGTTCTAGGAGCTTTGCTGTGGCCAGATTGTATCACAGAAGCAGTATTATCTCCAGAAGTAACACTAGACCTGGTGCTTCCCGTTCAGGTGTATTTCCCTTTTTCGTTTCTTTGGTGTTCAACTTTATGACTGTGATGTGGCCTGTGGATTTTCAAAAAAGAAATTGAGTAATTTCTTGAAAAGAGGAAATGAACCCAATCCATAATACACTATAGCTGCTTTTTGTTTTTTTTTTTTTCTTTATATGCAAATGAGTGATATACTTAGTGTTGCAGGTGATAATGAAAGCAGAAATGTGTTGGATGCATTTTTCTTAGGAAAGGCTCTAGCCGAAGCATTGACTGAGCGAATCGAGTCCACGATTGGGGAGTTTTTGAGTGCAGTTGGTAGGCTGCAGGCCGAACAACAAAAACAAGTAGTGGATTTCCAGGTAATTAGGGTTTGTTGTTGCAGCTATTTCTTGTTAAATTCATTATCTATGTCAGGGCTTTTGCCCTTTCTATCATCAGTTTTGCTGAGTTTATTTCAAGCCTTGTTGGAATAGCTTCTTTTTTTAATGCGTAAATGGGACATGGGAAGGTTATGCATTATTTTCCCGGTTGAACTCTGTTGTGAAGGCCTTTTTTTTCTTCCTATGGGAGCATAGGAGGAAGTAATGTGAGCAGCCCTTTTTTTTCTTTTTGAGCTTCTAGGAGGATTGTCATGCTCAGTTTCATAAATAAAATGTATCTGATGGCACTTTCAACAACCCATATCTATTCCTTTTTGTGGAATTTGAATTGGTCCATCTGCAATATTGCTGCATTTTACCATCTGAGGTACATATTGATAATTCATTGAACATGACATCTCCTGAATTCATTTAACACAGGAAGAGGTGTTTGAAAGGGCCAAAAGAGCCAAAGAGAAAGCAGCTCGCGAGGCAATGGAGGAACAAGGTCTTATTCCGAAGTCTACTGCTGTAAGTGCAACATCAGTCACCAATGGTGCTGCGTCCAAAGCTTCGCCCTCAACCATCAATGATAGAATTTCTGCAAATTCATCCTCCTATGATCCGGCCACCCCTGCAGCTAATACAGATACTGATCCTACTAAACAAGAATGATGCCGACGCTGAGTATCTCCTTATGTGTGTATCTGATACAATAGATTCATACTACCTAATGAATATCCAGGATGATTTCAATCTGTAGACGTTTTTGATTGGTCGACACAAACCACATAATGATCCTTTTCTTACTGAATCGATTTCTTGTCCATTTTTATTCAACAAAAACTGTTAAAAACTCTATGCAATATACGTTATGAATCATAATCAGGCTATACCCTCATCTCATGCTGGTTCATATCAAGTTTATACGCAACAAGTTGTCCCAAAAGACGGTACTTAAGTATTAACACTAATTACTTAGAAGTGGGTCGAATGCAAAGAATTCACTAGCACATTTGTATTTCTACAAAGTATCCACTTCATTGCATATAAAAATGTTTATATTCAATTATAAAGTTGACATATTCCATAAATATTGTCGAATGCCTACATAATCACCATTTCATTATCCAAGTATTCAACAATCAAATATCATATCGCTAGCCCACCACATATAAAGATAGTTTGAGATTATTTCAAGGGTTTCTGCACCTTCTAGGGTTTCATTGACTAGAAGCAGTAACGTGAGATGTGAATGATGACAATATTCTTTATTTCCTTGGATTCTTGTTTGCAGCCAAGTGAGGAGAATTTATATTTGTCCCAGCTAGTGGGGTACTGCAGAAACAATCTAACAGAAGCATTCATCAGATGAACACATTAAGAAGTGACGGCATTAAAAGAAATTGCATATAATTAAACAATATTTCTCATATCTTGCATGGATAATGTTCAAAGTGTACATTTCAACCAAAATATAAAAGAAAAGTATCATCAACATGACATTTTTTGATATGGATGGTTAATTCTCATAACTCGTCAACTTCAATACCTGACATTGGCACCCCACCAGTGGCTTGACCTTTTCCCTTGACATAATCCACACCAAAGTCATAGTCATCATCATCCATAGCATCGTCCCCTGAGGTTAATTTAATTTTGGCTTTTTTCCTTCTCTTAGTCTCTGCTCTTTTCATCTTTGTGTTAAGCATACCTTCTACCTCATATAGCTTTTCGTTTTGCCTGCTTGTAGCGGATTTTGACTTCGCTTTTTCAGCATCATCTTCTTCAGAAGCCATGGGCTTGTCATTACCACCATCATCAGATACATCTTGGTTTTCATCATCTTCAGTTGATGGCAAGGGTTGGGCATTATCCTGAGATGCACCAAAAATCCAACAGATTTATATTAGCATAACACCATAATGTTCAAGGTATTCCATCTATTAACATGCAAAATAAAACATTTAATTGGGCCACCAGCCACTTCACATATGCTCATGGGTCTTAACCACATCAGTTCAGAAGTGGGTATCCATTGGGAAAGCAATTGCAACAACCAGCTTGGGAAGCCACATATAATTTAAAAAGAGCAATCACAAACCTCCAGCATAGTCTCATCAAAGTTGAGGGGGTGGCTAGGAGGAACTTCAACAGAGCGGAAATCATTAGCTGACTTGAGACTTCCAATGAATGAAGATTCTGTATTGTAAACCTCATCAACATTAAACTCTTTTTCAAGTTCTGTAACAATCCTTGCCTCTGAAGGTCCTTCTTGATTTCTGACTGGGGGCATGGTGTAATATGGAATTTTACCTGAAATATGCCAAATGATAGCAATGTATTAACTTGGTACTGAAATCTATATATTCCTAAGCAATTAATTTTTCTATCTTTCAGATTTTCTAGTAGTTGAGAGGAAAATAGTAAAAAATGCATTGACACGCATACCTTCATTCCAGTCATGCAGAATGATCCTTGCAGCAGCTTCAACATCCACAATACCACCCTTTTTCAGCTTACCCCTTACAGTGGCCACATTCTGAAGGAATTCCTCAACTGATTGAAAGCCTGGGATCCTGTATATTGTCACCAACAGTCTTTCCGGACAAAGCTCGAGAATCTCTTTTACTGTGTTATTAATAAAGAAGAATTACAAATTAGTATTGCTAACTCAAATTTCGCAAGACAAGTTAAAATATTAACATAATTGAGACCAAATGATCTCCCATTCAAGAATTCCGGCCTAGACAAACAATGCACTTGAACTTCCATAAACATGTCACTATATATCTCACATGTCAATCTTAATCTTGTAGGAGAATTTGATGTCAGTGTAATTCCACAACTCATTTAGACTCTCACCAAACTTGGGAACCAAAATCTCCTATTTATTTCTACTATGTTCTCTCCTCCCAAGAAAGTTTGCAATTTGAGAGAACTGAAGTTTACCTTTTTATTTCCCTTCAGCATTGCACATAGTAACCATTCTTATTTATCTTCATTGAATAAATGCATTAGAAAAGATAAATTTTAAAATATGCCCAATTTAGATATATATTGAAGGAAGTCTGGTTTGTACTTCTTCTGATAAAAGTATAACAATAAGTAGACCAGTTAAATACACCTAAATTCCAAACTAGTTGTTCGAGTCATAGCAAAAAAGCAAGTTAAATCTCCAATTAAGCCCATCTCAACTAAACTATGCCTTAATCCCAAATTAGTTGCAGCCAGCTACTTGAAACAAAAAATTCACAGGATGAAGTACCTGGACCAACTGGATCATCCAACTTCTCAATTCTTTTGCAGTTTCGAAGAGCTATTGATGCATCATTCCCTCCAGATTGAAGCATAACAACTCCAGGACAGTCCAATAATTTTACATTCTTGTCCAATTGAACCTCCTGCATTGATCTCGTCAACCCTGGAGTAGCACCAACATTGACAACGTGGCATCTTTTCAAGCTGTTAATTAGGCTACTCTTGCCAACATTAGGCAGGCCAATAACACCCACAGTTATGGACTTCTTTATCTGCAAAAATATGCATAGAAATGGGTACTTGCAATAAAACAACAAAAGATTCAAACTACAACATGAATTTGAACAGATGGATAAACCAGACAAGCATCAAATAAAGAGGACAGAATTACCACTAAGCATCAACAAACAGAGAAAATTATATTCTGGTCAGAAAACAACTAAATGTACCTCATGACTTCTTGAGTAATTTTTCAGCAATTTAATAAGAGTTTCAGCTCCAAGACAGTCACTTGTTTGAAGAATGTTACTAGGCTTTGCTGCCTTTGAAGAAGATTTCCACCCTAACTTTGATCTCTGCTCTTGAGTGCTGCACTTGAAGGCAACAGCTGGCAACTCTTCCCTAAGATATTTGAGCCACTTTTCAACAGCTTCTCGAGGAACAAGATCTGAAAAATAAGTTTTCATTAGATACAGTTAAGGCAGAAAATTTAAGAAAAAAATTAAAGAAAAAAAAAAGAAAATGTAAATGGAAGCAATGCCTTGTTATGTACTATGGGAAATTTGAATACCCAAAAATTGCAAAATTCAACTAACTATCCAGAGGTTAAAAATACAACCATCCCCGTGTAAAAATTCAGCCTTCTTTCTTTGTGACTGTTAGGATGCCTAGAAATTTCTTAAATTAGACATACTCGTTGTATAGGAAAATGGCATAAAGAACTTACCAATTTTATTTAAAAGCAACACTAGGTGCTTATCAGGGCCTGATTTCATCACCATCTTTTCCATATCAACGCAACGGGTACCAAGAGGATCTCTAGCATCAAGTACTTCCAGAATGACATCTGATGCTTCAATGACTTTAACCAACTCCTTGTAGAAAGCTCTATCCGAGTTATCTGCAAATAAGAAGATATGTCAAAATATGAACCATCCACCTAGAACCAATCAATCTCCATTTCAATATCAACTTACCCCGGGATTTCACAATTCTAGTAGAATCATCAATGCCCTTTCCCTCTTCAATATTTTGCTCTTTTTCATCATCCTCTAGTAAACCCATCTTCCTCTTTTTAGCCTGAAAAATCATAAGAGTCCAATAGATATAAAGTAACCAATTGCAACTTCAGAGCAAAAGAAAATATGATAATAAACAATTTACCCAAAAAAAATCAACATTTGCATTAAAAAGCATTATAAATTACTAAAAAAAAAAAAAGAAGAAGTTAAAGTTAAATGTCGTCCTTTAGAAACAACCTTAATGGGCTTATCATATGATCAGCAATACTAGGGAGTATGGTAACAATTCGGCCCGGCATCAAATTCATTCCTTCAAAATACTACTACTCATGAAAATTTTCCAATTTAAAACACAACCCAAAAGCCAAAACAATAGTAAAACCAATAAAGAAACTTAAAAAAAAAAGGAAAGACATTGAAGTAATACCCTCTCCTTGCGGGCAGCTTTCTTTTGCTCCAGTTCCTCAAGTGCCCGAGCTCTACGAGCTTCGAGAGCCTTGAGCTCTTGTTCCTTGAAAGGCCAATCATTGGGGATACCAGGGTCTTTCTCAACCTTTCGCTTACGCTTCAATCCCAACTTCTTGGCTTCCTTAGCTTTCTTCTTGTGATGCTCCTTTACTTTTCTTATAACCTTGTACTTTTGCTTCAGTGAAACTCTCTTGCTCTTGCTCTCTGCAAAATCACATAACCAAAATTGTAAAACCGACACTAAAAAGGAAAGAGGAATGAAAAACTGAAGTTGGGTTTTGCTTACTTTTGCTCTTCTTCACCATTATTGTCTTCTATTTATGTTGAAGTTAAAATTTTTGGTGGGAAGTGGAAGCAGCCGACTTTTGCAGGTTTAGGGTTTTGGGAGAGGATGGAAATAAATAAAGGGTTTTTGGAAGAGTGGGTCGGTGCTGACCCGTTTTTATAAAACATAAATCCAATTGCCCATTTCGGTGAATAAAAGAAGCCCGATTGCCCGATTCGTTTATCTTTAACCAGTTTAATAAAACCAGAAAAGTTTTTTTGGGGTGAGGGAGGCTCGAACGCTCAACCTCATGTAAGGAAAAGCGAAAGGGATGATCTGGATGAGGCGATGAAAAAAAAATAAAGTACTTATCATTCTTTTAATTATTTTAATGATTATTAGAACTATATCATATATTATCAAATTATATAAAATTTTCTCAATGTTATATTTAAAATTATCAAAATTACATTATAACTAACCAAAATCGGATAAAGATTATTAAAATTATGTCAAATATTATTAGAGTTTTATTAAATATTATCAACATTATATCAAAATTTTTTAAAATTTTATTAAAGATTAACAATATTATAAAAAGGTTTCGAAATATTCTATTAGATCATTCTATATTAATTATAAATCCTAAAATTATAAAACTTGAGATAAAATTAATTGCAATAATTTATTCAGATCATTTTACCTTTATCCATAAACTTTTTACAGACAAGTTAGAGTAGAAATTAACTAAAACATGAAAATTGTTTGATTGTGGTTTCATATATAACTCAAAATATACAATTATTAACCAGTATTTGATACAATGATTGGATGGAATATATTAACGAGGTTTTGATTTAATGACAATGAAAAAACTTTAAAATTTTGAGTTTTAGATTTAAATTTTATTGTATATGGATTTGATTTAATTTATATTATATTTGTTTAATTATATTATAATTTAGTAGTTGATTATTTAAAATGATGGATAATATATGAATTTTTTATTAAAAAATAAAATTATAATTTTTTATAAATAAAAAATTAAGAAATATATCATCAACAATTCCTTTTACTATAAAATTATAATTGTCCAATCAAAATAATAAAGTTATGTAAAGCTCTACCATTAATAAATTTGAGCTTCACATAAATTTTTTTTTATGATCTCACGTAATTTAAAATTGTGATTAATAATTATATTATAAAATATTTAAAAAATTATCATCTAATAAATATATATATATATATATATAACCTAGAATAAAGAGAGATAAAACAAATTGTACTTTTATTTAAAAAAAAAAAATGCAGCAAAGTTTCTTATTCGTCACCGAGCTAACTAGCTAAGCAAACAGAAGGAAACGAAATTCATTTGGCTTTAAGACTTGATGAGTTGTTGAGCTTGTAACTTGTCTGGAAGCGATGGGATGGCTCCTTTTTGAATAGTAGAAATTGCTCCACAAGCATTGGCAAAGAGCAGAGCCTCCTTCAGTTTCTGTTCATCCTGTTTCCAAAAATCACAAAAAAAATCAAATTCAGAAAGAAACCCAAAACTTGAAATTGGAGGAATCATCAAAAGAATATATATATCAAGCTAGTACATTGAAGATTTTTGTATCATTGGCTATACAATATAGAAGTGCGCCAACAAAAGCATCCCCAGCTCCAGTCGTGTCGATTGTTTTCACCTTGAAACCATTCACCCTTCCTTTGAAACTCTGCATTTGTTTCCCCAAAGATTGGAAAGTCATTTCATGCATTTTTTTTTCCTAGAGTTGATCAGGACATAAATTATACCTTGGTGAAGTATCTACAACCCTTTGGTCCATCGGTTACAATGAGCAACTTGAAATTGTCATTCCATAAAGACAAAACAACATCTTCTTTTTCAGGATCTCCTTGAGTGAGGAAGGCCACCTCATCATCACTAACCTGCATACCATGAAATTCACCATTTTATACTGGTTAGTGCCGTATTATGTGACGAAAGCTCAGAATCAAAACCAACCTTGATGAAATCAGCCTGGTTCCAAATGCTCTTGATCCCATCTCTAGCAGCCTGGGGAGAAGGCCACAAAGGCAAGCGCACATTGGGGTCATAGGAAAGCAAAACACCGGCCTCCTTGGCCGCTTTCATGGCTGCCATATGAGCTGATTTGCATGGCTCTGATATCAGGCTTATGGATCCATAATGGAATATCTTAGCTTTCTTGATGAGCCCCATATTTAGCTCTGAGTCCTTCAACAACATATCCGCGCTGGGGTTTCTGTAAAACATGAATTCTCTTTGCCCATCGGTCTTGAGTGTGACGAATGCCAGGGCGGTCCTGGCTTGTTTATCGAAGCAGACTCCATCGCAGTTCACCCCATTCTTCTTCAACAAATCCACCAACATGCGTCCAAACTCATCTTCTCCAACCTAACAATAACATGACCATCAATTGAATTTGCATAGCAATAATCATATAAATTGATCATACAATCAATCATGAAAACCTTGCCAATGAAGGCAGAGACGCCCCCGAGCTTAGCGATGGCACATGCAACATTAGCAGGTGCACCACCAGCAGCTTTGATGAAAGCAGATGATTCAGCCAAGGAAACGCCAGCAACATCAGGCACGAAATCAATAAGCATCTCTCCGAACGAGACGATCAAAGGGCCTTGACTCTTTGCTGAATTGCTCATCTTCTCCAATTTCAAGTTTCAACCTCACTCACTCCCTTAATTATCTTTGCTAACGCTAAACTGTTATAAACCTTGGATGTACTTGGACTTAAAAAACACGTCATTTGATAAATCAAGAGAAGTTGCTAAAACAAGGTGATCTTGATAACCGCTTCTGTTTTGATTTGCCACCTTTTTAGTTTTTAGGCAGACTTCATCAAGTCTTTTTCCCATAATAATAATAATAATTAATATTTCCTGTTTGCACAAGATTTAATGATTTATTTATCAGTATGCACAAATTTTTTATTATATTCAATTTACTTTGTTACATCATAAATGAAATTTTTTTAACTATTTAGTAGGTTAACTTGTTAATAATAAATATTTTGTTTGTAAAGTTTAAATTGAATTCTTGTAACTAACAAATTTTAATGGACAATTTATAAATTCAATATAAATTTTCATGATACCTACAATATGTTTTTATATAAATTATATTTAAAATAAAATAATCTTTTCTCACCTAAATTTTTATAAATTTTTTTTTATATTTAGTATATTGTAACGTATATATGTACCATATTTATATTGATTTCTCTTTCACTATTATACCACTTACTAAAAATCTCAAATTTTAACAATTTATGAAGAATATTGTGTAGAAAATATAAGTTTTAAATACCCCTTTGACATTATATTAATATTATATTAATGATATATATATTATTAGTGTATAGATTTTACATACTATAAATGATACTACATTATTAATAATTAATATGAATATGATGCTACCTTATTAATGAATAAAATTTAAAAAACATATTAATTTTTTATATATTTATTCTAGGAGCTAATATTTATTTATAAACGAGTTAGCATTATCTGATTTATTAATAGTATATCAAATATAATATATATATAAAAGAGTTAAAAATATATGTTTGTAAGTTAAAATATAATATATGGTTATTATATACATTTTATTCTAAAAAAAATTGCTTATATATATATAGTTATTGTTCAACTTCTCAATTTTATCATAAATTATAATATATGAATAAATAGATTGTGCCGATGTTATTATTTTTTATCTAGCATAAGATGTAGTAAACAAATAAACATTTTATTATAACTTGTAATTATTTAATTATAATAAAAATATGTAAGGATTTATCATATTTTTTATATAATATTTTCGTAGGATGTTTTTATAAAGTACATGATTTTAATTGATCATTTATAATGCAATCACAGGATAGACATTCTTAGAAAACTAAGCAAGACATGAGTTTTAACCTATCAAACCTTGACATCTGTCCCACTTGATGAAAGTGCTGTGAACCTAGTCCGTCCAAGGCGCGTTTGCAACATCTCCAACAAGCAGATGCCCCCTAACAACACAAGCAGCTGAGCCCAAGTTGGCTTCAAAATAAAAAATAAAAAACCAAGAAGACGTGGCGGTGGACCGTTGACTGACTATTTATTTATTTATTTTTTTTCCTCCGTATTTTTATTTTGTTATTTTGTTTATTTCTTAAGCATAATTACGCATTTATGCCATATATATGCGAAGCGCTGGGACCTAAAAAAAGGAGAGGTGAGAGGAGATGATAATTAAGAACTAGGTTCGCACATTTCCGATCTTCGTATCATTTTTCCCTCCTCTTTCTTTCCCACCTCTCCTCTTCTCCCTTTTCCATCCAAAAACACAAACCCATTTATTTTAATTAAAAATACCTTAACCCTAACTACATTGCCCTCACTCCAATGCCGTTATAAGCTCTTCTCGTTTTGTGTGTAGGATTTGATTTGGTAAATGCAGGGGGAAACGTGGTGAAGGCTTTGCTGGAAATTTTTTCAATCTAATGGCGAAATATGCAGCTTCACCTTCATGCATCAAGTTACATTTACACCAAAGTTTCGTTAAGCAAAGAGGATTTGTGCTTCGGAATTCGAATCTCAGGACGCCACAAAGGTCGGCCAACTCAATCTGATACATATAATTATTCATTATTTCCCTTGGAAGAACAATCGGGGCTTTACCCTGTAGTTAGCTTTTACACACTTTATTATGTGATTTCATATTTGATTGTAAGAAGTTAATGAAATTTCTTAAGTTTCACTATGTTTCGGAAATCGGAATGCCTCCACCTTTGGTCAAACTTGTAGCTTTAACTGCATCAGCTGCTAATGGGTGTAAAATTGGAATGCATAATTTTTCTATATGCTGTTAGACATTGCAAAGTAACCAATGGAACTTTGCTATTAGCAAATATGTTTTTAGCCTGACATTGCATTTGTTGCTTTATTTGTAGCAAATTTTCCTTTGGCAGCTGTAAAGTTTTCTGGCTTTCAACATGGAGAAATTGGAAGGTTGATAACCCATTTTTCTCAAATTTCAATTTTAGCCCCTGCTTCAGGGAAACTTCCTTGAGGTCTACTTGCATTCGGTCTTTACTGGACTCTGATGGTATAATAGCTTCTGATTGGATTCCTGTCGGTGACCAATTACTTTTGATGGGTAGTATATTTCTTACGTATCTGGCTGGAGTAATTCCTGTTCAAAAATCCAGCTCCACATCTCAAAAGAACATAGCTGATGATGATGCCTTTCCTAAAAGCTCAACCTCTTCTGGTAGGTAAGGGTATGCGTATCAAATATTTAAAATCGAACGAATATTTTCCTTATACATGGATCATGGAACACTGATGCTCTTTTTGCCATTTAGTACTTAAGTGCAGTGCTTTGGCATGTGTATTTCTTGTTTCTATCATTTGCTGAGGACATATTTACTTTAAAAATGCAGTGCTAGGACAAACAGTGGCCAAGATAATTTGAAGCATGTTTGGGATGTAGTAAGAGGAAAACTTTTGATTCTGTAGAATCTATTGAACGTGGGAGTGATTTCAGAAATGGAGTCCTTGATGAGCAACAGCATGCAAAGCAACCATTAAATCTGCACACTGTATCTGAAGGTCCAAAGATAAGATTGCTTTGGGGTTCTCTTCAGCAACTTGAGGAAGAGGCAGGCACTGTCTCTAGTGGTTCCTTATGCTCTAGTTACTTTGAGTATTTCCTTATACTGGATTAAATTCATATAAATTCATTATTTTCAACGAAACCGCATTTTTAGTTGGCTGCTGTATACCATCCTTGCTTTGCATCTTTCAAAAATACAAAACTAAAAGGTCTTTTGGGTAGCAGTTAGCAATGGGACAAAAATATTAGGTTTATGAAAAACTTAGGGCACTTTTGTTCTGTGGATTTAACTTTAAGAAAAAGAAATGTATTATCTTACGAATTTTATATTTAACTCCCTGATAATTAACGAGTTACTTAGTTGTTTACTAAATCCACGGACCATGAAGTAGATCTGAGTTCGCATGAGAAGAAGACTTAGTGTTAAGTAAAGGGGTCATCTCTTACGATTATTTTGGGTTTGCAATGAGGATACCCTTCAGCATGCAACTTTAATAAATGAATTTATCCTTTGGATCTTATTAAATGGAAATTTCTCATGCTTTTCCTAGTAAATTTCTTCATTGCATGCTAACCGGGTAGAATATTAAGTTTGTATTTTCCTTGAAGGTTTAAAAAATTGTTTTTCAGGTGAAAAACAATGTTGATGCTTCTGATACTGGCAATATGGATGATTGGTTGATAGTCTTTTCCAGAATTATTGAAATATCCTGTAAGTCCATATGCTTTGCTTGGCTGAAGAAGGAACTTGGACTTGAAACTAATAATATGGAACATAAAGAATCTTATAATGACTGTATGATTTTTTTTGTTGTTAGCTTGTATGTATGAAATAACTTTTTTCCCCCTTTGGCAGGAACTTGTTACTCTGATAACTGAGAAAGTAAATGAAGACAACACAGTTTTACAAAATATTAGAAAGTCAGGGAAGGAAAATTTGTATGCAGAATTGTTGTTTTTTCTTAGATTTGGTTCTCTAAGGTAAAATAAACTCTGACTGCCTCTGTTTTTTGTTGTGTTTAGCATAGTCTGTTCAAAGATTATTGTTTCTATATGTTTTAATCTTCGTAGATTACCCAAGAGCTTTGTAGAATATGAATTTCTGGCTGGTGACAATTGCTTTTAGTTTACAGTGTGAAAACTTCAAGGTTACTCATCTTATCATTTGTTGCATGCGTTATTTTGTTACATGTTTCTTTCTCCTCAGTAACAATTTCTAGTTAATCTTTTATGCATCTATGTATGCTAATGAATAGATGGAGATTGATAACAAGATACATTGTATGTAACCTGTCTTAAATCATGCTTGAAGATGTATAACAAGTCTTTTATTTCTCAGCTGCTGGATTCATAACTCCCTTCTCGTTTAAGCCCACTAACTGCCACTAGGAATCTCTTGCATTATTGGGTTTTCAAAGTGCATGAAACAAGTGGCTTTTAATTTGGTTCAGAGGAAATGTGCCTAGACGTTTCCAAGATGTGGGATTTAAATGGCCTTGATGGCCCTTTCTGCTAGCCAATATGTTAAGAGAAATATTTGGAAGGCAAAAAAAAATTTTTGACAGTTACAAAGTTTTGGATCCCCTAAACTCCAAGACTCTGTGAAGTAAAAGAAAACATTACATCGTAGTGAAAAACTATGCAACTGATAGAACTCATAGGTTTTGTGGGAACTGACTGCTTAGCTTTATCTTTTTCCATCTGAAATTTGTTTTCCCTTAACTTATCTTCTTTCAAAAGATTGTTTACTGTTGAAAAACTAAAAAATAAAATTGTGTGGAAAACTAAGAGTAAAACTGAATGTATATTGAAAAGTTGCTCATAAAGAATTATACAAGTACCTTAGGTTTATAGACAACTAACTAGTGGGTAAACTAGGAAACTAAATCTTCCTAAAATTGATCCTATAATTGAGGGATTGTCTATCTTAATTTTTTGTTCTTAATTCTAGAGATACAAATACTTAATTCTAGAGACACAAATATAAATACCCAAATTACAAGATTACAATCAGCTATAAATAAGTGTTTTCTCACACTCCCCCTCAAGCTAGTGAATAGGTGTTTTTCATTCTCAGCTTGGAAATAATTTCTTGAAATGTTGCACTGCTGAGACCTTTAGTCAACGCATTTGCAGGTTGACCCTTGGTTGATACATACTAGTGTACAAATCAACCCACTGTGTGCAATGCTTATTGCAAACTTGTTATCACAGTATAGTTTTATTGGTCCATCCCACTTGATCTTCAAGTCTTCTAGGATAATCTTTAACCATATTAGTTCACAAATTCCTTGAACCATTGCTTTAAACTCTGCTTTAGCACTTGATCTTGCCACCACATTTTGTTTTTTTACTCCTCCAAGTCACAAGATTACCACATAGGAAAGTGCAGTAGCCTGAGGTGAATCTTCTATCAGTTATTGAACTTGCATAATCAACATCTATATATGCCTCTAGAACCAGTCTTGAATTTCTTTTGAATAAGATGCCTCTCTCAGGATTGGCCTTCGAATAGTGCAATTTACAGTAGAGAGCCTGTACGTGCACTTTTTTAAGACTATGCATAAATTGACTTATCACACTCATAGCATATGCTATATCAGGTCTAGTATGTGAGAGATAAATGAGTTTTCCAACTAATCTTTGGTACATCTCTCTATCTACAGCAACATCTTCATTTGCTTTTCCAAGTTTATGATTAGGATCTATAGGGGTATTTGCAGGTTTACATGTGAGTTAGCCAGCTTTCTTCAAAAGATCCATCACATATTTCTATTATGAGATGAAAATACCATGCCGTGATTGAGCTACTTCAATTCTTAGGAGGTACTTCAATTTCCCTAGCTCTTTTATCTCAAATTCTCTAGCCAAACACTGTTTTAGAGATTCTCTCTCTTTTTCATCATCTCCGGTTATAACTATGTCATCAACATACACTAATAGAACTGTGACTCTCTCTGAATCAGAGTGTTTGATAAACAATGTGTGATCTCCTTGACTCTACTTATATCCCATTGCTAGCATCACTTTGGCAAATCTCCCGAACCAAGCCCTAGGAGACTGTTTAAGGCCATATAAAGCCTTTTTTAGCTTGCATACTTTGTTTGCTTCTAGATGACCTCTAAATCCCGGTGGAACCTTCATATATATTTCTTTTTCCAAATCACCATGTAGAAAAGCATTCTTTACATCATATTGTTGAAGCTGCCAATTGTAATTTGCGGCCAATGATAACAAAATCCTAACTATATTTATCTTGGCAATTGGAGCAAAAGTTTCTTGATAATCCACTCCATAAGTTTAACTTGGCTTTAGGCTTTTCAACAGTACAATCTGCCTTGTATTTTACAGTGAAAACCCATTTACATCCAACTGAATTTTTTCCTTTAGGCAATCCTTCCAGTTCTCATGTCTTTTTTTTCTCTAAGGCCTCCATTTCTATTTTCATGGCTTGCCTCCATGTCTCACTGGATAATGTCTCGGATAATGTAGTTGGAACAGAAATAGTGTTTAGGCTCAAAAGAAAATTTTTGTGGGATGGTGAGAATTTTTCAAATGACACAAAATTAGAGATTGGGTATAGTGGATGCTTAGTACATTCTCTGGTTCTTTTCCTAATGGCAATAGACAGCTCATAATCACTAGTTATAGTTTTAGGAGATTCATGCTCATTTTGAGAAACACAGTAAAAAACTATAGTTACCTCATTTCCAAAATTAGGATCAGGTTCTTGGACTTGCCTTGGTTTAGGATCTAGAACTTTCCTTCTTGAGTACACCTATAATTCCTTCATAGAATCAATAACAATATTATTCTTTGTCACATCTTCTGTGTTTGGAATGGGTTCAGACTCAAATTCAGTGTTTGACTTGGACTCAGAAGAAACAGGTTTCGACTTAGAAGAATTAATGAGTGAAAATGTTGAAGAGGAGGACAAATCAAGCAAAAAGAAGTCTTTATCCTTATCTTCCATGAACGAAGTCTCCCCTGAAGATAAGATTGAGTAAAAAATGGTTTACTTTCTTCTGAAGTGACATCTGCAGATACATAGAATTTTTTGGTAGGATGATTATAGCATTTATACCCTTTCTAAGTTGATGAATATCCCACAAAAAAAGCACTTAATTGCCCTAGGATCCAACTTCTCCCTATTGTAACTGTGAACATGAACAAATGATGTACAACCAAATATCCTAGGTATGAGCTTGTTTGTGGTATTAAATTTGGCATAGAATTGTGAGAGTAGTTCCATAGGAGTTTTAAATTCCAAAACCCTTGAAGGTAACCTATTTATAATATGTGTGGTAGTGAGAACATCTTCCCTTTAGTAGGATTTGGGTACGTTTGCTTGAAAAAGTAAAGCTTGGGTTGTGGCTAGTAAATGATTGTTTTTCTTCTTTATCACTCCATTCTGTTGTGGAGTATTAACACAAAATGACTCATGGATAATCCCTTCTTTTTGGAAATAGGTAGATAAACTCTAGTTGAAATAGTCTCTTGCATTATCAGACCTAAATATCTTGATTTTCACTCCAAACTGATTTTGGATCATGTTTTGGAAGCTTAAAAATATACCATTCACATCTGATTTGGATTTAAGTAAAAATATCCAAGAGACCCTGGTATAATCATCTATGAAAGAAACAAACCACCTTGCACAAAAAATATTGGGAATTGTAGAGAGACCCCATATGTCACTATGAATCAAGTAAAAAGGAGTAGAACTTCTTTTATTGCTAACTGGAAAAGACACACGTCTATGCTTTGCAAGTTCACAAAAATCACAATGAAGATTTTCGGCATTTAATCCTTTGAACAAAGAAGGAAACATGTCTTTCAAAGTTCCAAAAGAAGGATGTTCAAGACGAAAATGATAAAGCCAGATTTTGTCTTTATTGGGAGATTTTTCAAAAAGAAATGACAAAGGTAAACTATTCTTGATCTTACTTATGTTGTTTGATGTCTTAAGATAATATAGTCCATTCTTCTCCTTAGTAAGTCCAATCCTCTTCCCTGAACTCTGGTTTTGAAATTCACAATAAGAAGGATAAAAAGTCACTTTGCAGTTCATATCTCTAGTAAGTTTTTGTATAGATATCAAATTAGTAGACAATCCAGGAACATGAGGAACATTTTTAAGAACAAACGAGGGATTAATTTGAATATCTCCTAATCTTACCACTGTAGTTAGTGAACCATCTGCAAAACTAATTTTCTTATTACTAGGACACATGGTATATGTACTAAACTTCTGTGAGGAATGTGTTATATGGTCTATGGCTCATGAGTCAATGACCCAAGAACTTATAATAGGCATAACTGAGACATTTAATCCATGAGAACCAAAAGCTTTACTTGAACTAGAGACCTCACCCAATGAACGTACCCCAGTGGGCCTTTTGAAAGTTTTCAATAAGTTTCTTAGTTTCTCAATCTCTTCTCTATCCAACTCTCTTTGTTCCCTAGACTTCTGTAGTACTCTGATGGTTTCAGTTGTCACTTCTTCAAGTTAGGTAGTAGTGGCAAATTCTGCTGTCTTTGGCATAGTTATCTTTCTCAGAATTAAAAAGAGTCTTGATAGTAAAGGTTTAACCAGAGACGATTCTAGGCAATGAGGCCAAAGAAGGAAAAAATAAGACTGAAAGATTTAACAAGATTTGACTATGAAGGCCTGAAATAGAATTCAGTAATGAAGGCTGAAACAATTTTCTTCCCAAGAAGAGTCTAAAGCTCTGATACCGTGTTAAGCATCCAACTTAAAACCAATTGGTAGTAATAGAGGGGCTCAATCTGAATATAAGACAATAGGATATTTGAAATTTACTAGATGTCGGATAACCCACTTTAACAGGCCCCCATCACATGTAGGGGAAGATGGAAGAAGCCTTCCATGTGACAATTAGGAAAGGGCAATGGAAGAAAATCTTAGCCCAATACCATGTGGAAAAACTAAAAAATAAAACTGTATGGAAAACTAAGAGTAAAACTGAATTTATATTGAAAAATTGCTCACAAAGAATTATACAAGCACCTTAGGTTTATATACAACTCACTATTGGGTAAACTAGGAAACTAAATCTTCCTAAAATTGATCCTATGATTGAGGGATTATCTATCCTAATTTTTTGTCCTTAATTCTAGGGATACAAATACTTAATTCTAGAGATACAAATATAAATATACAGATTACAAGATTATAACCAGCTGTAAATAAGTGTTTTCGCATAGTTACTCTTGTTTCATGCATGTGCCTTTTCAGAAATATAAATCTTAATAGATATGCTTCTAACAAGAACAACATATTCCATTGACCAATCCACTGGTTAGAGTAATGCTAGATTGATTACCAGATATGGATAATGACTCTAATCATGTGTAGTTGGATAGGATACTTTGAACTAGGCTGTTAATTAAATCTTACTTTGGTTTCCATACTATTAGTTGTTTACAGATAAACAGAATGGGGGTAATTTGCACTGATAGTAGTTCAAAATAGCATTATTGAAGAACCTATGATAGTGTGTCAGGTATCATCATCACTTGGTAGAATAATCGTGCCAACAACAAAAGATTTCAATCTCAGATGGTTGCTGTGTTTATAAACATTTACTGCTACATGTTATATGTTGTCCAAGGATATCTTGCTTTTGGGTACAATCCATGTAGGCTTTGACATCTGCCTTTCACTTTTGATTTTCATCAGATTCTATTGTCAAAATATGTTTATCTTTGTTGACAAACTTATTTGTCCCATTTATCTATTTTTGCAGGAAAGGTTGTTGTTATGACCAAAGCTTGTCTACTTTATAAGGGGATTCCATATTGGAAGATCTGGTGATAACTTTAGCAGATGGGATAGCAAGCACTTATTTGGAGCTTATTTCTGTTGACGGCGATTTGTCAGATGAAGTGAATAGTTTGGGGTTAGCTATCTGTAATTTGTCTACTCGTGCACTCCAAAGTTTGCGTAATGAGTTATGGCTTTGTTTCTTGTTTAGTTGTAGCACCTGTTTCTCTTTAATTTCTTATTATATAGCTCTTGTTCGTGAGCATATTTTCTGAGTACTGTTATTCTAGAAGTAATTAAAGAATGATGTTCTCTAGTTTTGAGGTTTGGTGGATGGACTGATTGAGCATACTGGGTTTGTTAACTTAGTGCAGGCACTAAGCAGTTCAATAGCTATTCTTATGCAGAAATCATGAAGGCTTTTTTATCTTTTTTCTTGCCCTTACTTCCTTTGCATTTCAAGCTCCTTACATATGCATAAATGTTTATCTGTTTCATTTATGTTTATGAATATGTATATCCAGATGCATTGTCTAAATCTCACATGGAGAAATATCTCTTAATTGGATTTGGAGCACTTCAATAGTGTTTATTTTCAGCACTCATTTCGGATGAGTAGGGAATCATTTCTCGTATTTGAAATACTAAGAATTTCTTAAAACTTTTATGTGATAGAAGTGCCGGTATTAAATCTGTATGGTTATTGAGTGAGATAATATGATATATTCAATATGAGAAGATTTAAAATTGTTCATATTAAGGCACTATAGATCTTTGCACTAGATGTCAGGACTTCTGGTTATAATTTCATCAAGATTTTAAAACATGTGTTTGTTAACAGGTGGCTTTAAACCAGTGGTTGTATCAAAATCCGGAGGCAATTGTATCAATGTATGAGGATTGCTTTGACCTCTACACACTTAAGAACCAACCCATTGAGGAAAAAAGCAGTGATTATGCTGAAACTTATGGTTGGTGGAAGAAGCTCACACGAAGAAAATTTGAAAGTGTGTCACCTTCATTAAATTATGTTGTGCTAAGCCATTTCTCTATGACTGTAAAACGCACCAAGGAGTTGAGAGCCTTGACAGGGTGGTATGTTTTCTATACAGTTTCCCTCGCGAATAATTTTCTTTAATTCTATCCATTATTAATCACAGTCCTCCAGTGTATGTAGATTGGCTTAGAGTAACATTGAAATTTGTTAGCTATGAAGAAACCATATGGCACTTACCTTGTTTTTGTCACCTGTTAACCTTGGTGGCTGGGATATGCCCTTCTTCTATTATTGTCTTGGGGAGTATCTAGATTACCTCTTCTGCACTGGATATGTGCATGAAGGTGTTGTATTATCTCACATAGTGTGGACAATTATGAAAATTGTGCAACTAAATTGATTTAGTGGATAAAAAGATATTGTCAGAACTGGTGATTCCATAGGGATATTTGTCTGTACAATAGTTGGCATATTTGGGGAATGCAGATTGAGAAAGTTTCATGAAGTTGAATTTTGACAAGGATAACTGCAGAAAGATGGCATAAAATATGAGAGTGCAGGTGGTGGCAAAGGCTACTGCCTTGAAGAAAGTATACTCTCATTGATACATGAATGCAAAAATACATACTGCTAACCCATGTGACAGCATACTTGTGCGGGCTTCTATGTATCGATTTAATTTTAATGCTTCAGCCCAATGATTATGTCTGAACTGCCCAGGTAGCAGAGTTAGGCTGTGTACTTGTAATGGAACAGTAACTTCCTCAATTTGGTTTGTTCTATGTCGAATAATTGAAGTTCAAAAACCTTGTGCCCACTATGTAACCTGGCAAATCAGTGATGAGCCACACCTATCGTCTACTTCGCCTTTAGCAGATATTAATAACAGCAATCTATTCTAAAGTTAAGGTGTGGATTTTTGGGACAGAAGAGGCACATATTAAATTACTAAAACATTTTTCCAATCTTTTTACATGAATATGTGAAGGTAATAGTATGTAGTAGTGTATCATATACACATAAGGATTAGGAAAACAAATGTTTTAATTTAGATTTAACTGAATACCATGACTTTGTACTTCAATGTTATGATCTTGCTGCATGTTTCAGATGCTATCTGATTTTTAATGGTTATTAACTTGGATATAGTTTTAAATCTAATATTTGCTTCGGTCATTACAGGAGGTACTATTTCAGCCTGTTTCTTGAGTTCTCTGACATTAGCATGCCTATGGTTAGAGCTATCATTGACAAAGTCAGCAACGCCATCTCATTCTTTCTTGTTTGCTTGATTGGGAGGTCATTAGGACTCATCTATACTGGAATTAGGCAGTCCCTCAGATGGAGTGAGATGTAGATGGTACCTTTCTTTTTTGTTTATCACAAATTTCTATTATATTCATTTTTGATTGAAATAGCAGTCCATAGGAATGTGATCTGTGCATTATTACACTAAAAAGCTTAATTTTTTAGCCTTGATCCAACCTGATCCTTCTCTAAGTCTTTTGGTCAACAAATTGTGAGGGGTTGATTCAGTTCTACGTTAAGAATGCTGTTTACTGTTGATATGTGATTTTTACCATGTGGTTGCAATTTCATTTATGCCCATATAATGTGGAATTTGTACTTCTATGAGCTGTTTCCTCTCCTTTTCTTGCGTTATTGCAGCTTGCGGATAGAAACCACCCCAGGCTTTAGAAACAATGTGGTCATCAAATTGCTTTTGGCATGTGCAAAGTATGTGGAGTGATTTGTGTTTGTGTTTGAGTTTGAGAGAGAAGATTTGAGTCCTTCTCACTGCTACATGGAGGGATAGTCTTAGCACACGTATCTTGGACAGTGTCACTGAAATAGAAATTTCCGAATGGATGGCATGCCTGAGTAAGGTGAGGGGAATTTTTAAGATTTGGCTGAGACTTGGTAAATGAGGCTGTTTAGCCAGTTGTGCCCACCCATAGGCTCTACTATAGGGGCCTAGTTAGCTAGTCAAAGTGCCTCAACTGCTTTGCTGTAAATTTTAATCTTTGATATAATCATAAAGATGCCTTAAGTCTCAAGTGTCCGGTTCCTCCCTCTAATGGTTGAATAATCTCCTCATTTCCCGTTTAAACGTTAGGATATGTTAACCAGTTGTTGATTGATTGTACTTGTACTAAAGATTCAAGGTTAAAAGCTATAATTAACTAATTATATTCATATCTGTAATCACATCATTGTTTCTTGATTGATGGCCGGTGGTTTTGCATGTGTGTTAATTTTCTTAATGTTCATTAAGAAAGTGGTGGGAACACAGATATGGGAAAGTGACAGACACAGAGACCATAATCTTCTGAAAATATTGGCAAAATCAAAAGTACATTTCAGAAGATAATCTCTGTGCCCTACCATCTTTACATGATAATCTCTTTTGCCGAGAAACTTCTTATTATACATCAATCAATTCATGGTGTCAAGCTTTCTATAAAGCAAACCTTTCCCACTCTGAAACCGTGAATTGAGCGTCCCCTATTAAGGAGATCCGTTACTGAGAAAAACTGGGGTTAGTAAGGTTAGGAGTAGGGTTCTACTAGCTCAAGACACTTTTTCCCGTGAATTTTTTTTTTTTTGCTAGAGTTTATTTGCATTGAGAGGCTTGAAAGAACAAGACTTTTATGTAGTGTGGAGAAATCCTATTGATTTGTGCAACATTTTCTTATCAAGGACTCGAGCTTTTTTCTTTTTTGGCCAGTAAAAGGAATTGAGGTTGACAAAATGGTAAGGAAAAAGAAAATCAGAAAATGAAGGTGAGGAAAGGGTTTTGCGTGAAAGGGTTGATGAAGCATCACTATCCAAACTGAAAAAAAATGGAAGATTCAAAATACAAGGCTGGGTGTTTTTCTCACAAAAAATTGTGGTGAAAACTTTTTATGTGCAATCATTGTAGAATCATGAAATACGAAAGATATTTTTGTGTTTTTTCATGTGGACCTCACTGGTCTTGACCACTTTCTGACTTTTATTTTATTTTTGGCTTGGCGAAAGGAACTTATCAAGAAATTAGTCAGGTAAGGCAGCTGGAGCTGTTGTGGTTTGATTTTGATAATGCTAGTATTTTCATGGAAGAAAAAAAAAAAAGGAGTAAAGGACGACTAGCCTTCATCTCTCAATCTATCATTGCCTTCTCTCTTCAGTTATGATCATAATTGGTGGTAATTTGGAGTACTTGTGAGTTGTTCTCATATTGACTCAAATGCCAATTCTGGGTTTATGTTTAGACATCTTTAACTTCCATTAAATATGATAAAAGGAGTAAGTTGTTTCATCTGAGAAGGATTAGGCCATGTGATTTATCAACGAAACAGTTTTCTGCAGTATTAAAAATAAGGATTTCTCAGTGTTTCATATCAGATTCAAACTAAGTCGTATAATTATCTTTTCCATATCTAAAATCATTATCCCACATTAATATGTAATTCAATTATGCTTTCAAATTAAAAATCCAGAACAGAAAACAAAAACTCCATAAAACATTTTAGCATCGCTTTATTTTACAGCAAAAATCATTAGAAAGAAACAAATGCTTTTTTAAAAGATAAAAAGTAGTAGTCCTTGTTATCGAACGGGCAAAGGGTACCTTATTTTCTTCAAAATTTCTCAATTTTCTTTTGTAGAACCAAATTGTTTGAATTATTGAGAATGATTTTTCCACTAAAGCACTATGGTTTCTTGTTCCTTTGTTTCAGAAATAATGTTTCTGTCTTGTTACTTGCCATCTTGTGGAATTGCATAAGCAATACTTCTCAAGCTAGCTTATCTTTCCTTGACTAGATCAACGGTCTTTCCATATATATTCATGCTTTTGGTTAATAAGGTTTTTGATTGATAAAATCATAAATTTATGCTGAAACCTTGCTTTATTTGCCTTTTTGGAATTGCTGGGAAATTTAAAGCATATTTTAATTTACTAATACTTTATGTATGTGTGTACGCACGGATATTAAGTTTAACTATCTGGTATTGTGTCTGTGCATGCACCCACACACACATACTTTTGAGTAATAGTTTTCAACGTTTCACAACACAATCAATTTTAAAAAATATAGAAATTAAAAATTCTAATAGACAAGTAATCTGTTGAGGCATAGTTTCATGTTTAAACAAATGGGCTCGTAGTTAGAACGTAAGGGATTGCTGTCCATCTGAGATTGCTTGCAAGACATGAATGGAATTTATTTTTTAAAGGCACGCTAGCTACTACAGATCGATTTAATTGCTATCAATCAGACAAGTCAAGCATCATTGCCAGCAATCAGACATCATAGATATAAATAAAGCATTTGCGGCGTCGTACGAATGGTTTATCTTCTAACGTATAATCTTTAACTTTATTATTCATTTCTTCTTAACTTTACATGCCTTTAGACTACCAAGTTCTTTGTGCACCAGATAAAAAGTGTTGTCTATTGCTTTCTTTGTCTGCATTTTCTCATTGCATTGTCTTGCGTATGATTATCTTATAATCCGACTTTTATATATTTCAAATCTTCTTTACTTTTTTTTATACAAAAGAGACTATAACTTTGGATAAATAAAAAGATTATAAGTATCAAGTAATATAATCTAAATTTTAAATATGTTAAATATTTTTTAAAAAATAATTATATGAAACAATTAAATTAAATTAAGTTTAAATTTTTTTTACTTTACATGCCTTTAAATTAGATTTCTTTATGCAAACGTATCGTCGAATTCTAGCTAGCTAAGCTCACTTATCTGCATTTGTATTTGTTCAGTATTTGATACGAATCACAAGACATGCAGTTTCAAGTTTTATTCAATTAGTTTCAATA